TTTAAGGGGAAGTAGGAACTCAGGGGAAGGGGCGCTTTCTGTCAATTGTTTCCTCTCCTTGCAGCCCCCCACTTCCCTTTCCGTCATGGTGTGCAGTACAGCCAAGCATATGTATTTTACACCATTTCTGAGGTGCATTTTGGAGATGGGGGGCATCTTATTTATCTCAAGTATCCAGACTTGGCCTCTATAAAAAGCTAAGCCCTTCCAAATCCAACACAGTGTTTATGAATTAGATTTAATGAGGGGGAAGCCATTAAAACACACCATTCGATCTCTGATTACAGACTCCTCTCATCAAATAGCCAGATTAAGAGAGTGTGTTGTAGCGTAACATTAGGATCCTATGGGGCTGGGTGGGGTTAGTGTGACTTGTGTGTGTGTGTGTGTGGGGTGGGGCTATATTGTTTGGGTGACAGTCGTCTTTCTATAAATGCCTCAGAAGCAGAGGCAGATTTATGACGGCCATGCTCTTTGGAAAGCATGAGGGGGGGATGGAGAAGCAGCTCTCACTTTCGAGGATATCTTATGCCTCCTCTGAGAGTCACTCCCCCGTCTCTCCAATTTCACGGCTGTCTGTCTATTGCATTGTCTTTGTCTTCTTTCTCTTTATTGCGAGTCATCGTTTTCTTACTTATTATTGTAGTTGTTATAATTATTTCCGCCTTAATGGTGGCTCATTTCATCATTTTCTTTTGTCTCAGGCCTCCTTTGCTAGAGCACTTGTTTCCTTTGTCAGAGAAGCCTTTTAATTCCTTGTATTTGTGAGGGTGAGAGAGTGAGGGCAGCTCATTCATACAGGAGATGTTATATCCATTATGACTGAGAGCAAAAACAGGAAAGACTGAGACACAGTCAAAGAAAAAGGGCAGAGAGGAGGTAGCATGGGACAAAGAATGAACAGTGGCAGAGGGTCTGCTGTGTGGCCTCTCAAAATGATGACACCCGGTAGTGCTTAAAACTGTTGTACACTTGAAACGGCTAATGAGGCACTTACACAAAAGAGAGACGCTTTTTGCAGGTCAGATTTAGCTGTCAGTTTAAATATAAATGTTCTTAGCTGACTTAGGAATATATATATATGTTTTCTTGGGTTTGACATTTTGAGGAATGTGCCTATTTGTTTTTGTTGGAAGTAAAAAACAAAGATGGAAACCTCTCTTGTGTATGCTAATATGGAGCTACAGAGGATTAGCTTAGCTTAGACTGGAAGCAGGTGAAACATCTGGTGGGGCTCTGTTCTCCCGGCGTTTGGACTTTAAACTAAGCTAAACTAATTATCGCCAAGGTCTTACTCCATATTTTCCATACAGATATTTAAATTATATTGGAATTCTCAAAAAAGAAAAAGCTTTATACTAAGCTAAGCTAAGCTAATTATCTGCAGGGTCTAACAGCACATTTTACTTTCACTTTTATTTATTTTATACAGATATTTCAGTGATATGGATTTTCTCAAAAGGAACTGCGATCTGATAAAATAAAAGAGAACAACATAATGATTACTCAGTGGTAAGGTTTTTTAACTTTGTGATTCAGGCTCAATTTAGTTGGGCTCAAAGCAATAGTCTTATCATGTACGGTCTATTCCTTTCTAATTGTATTACTTACCAAAATATCCCTTCACCAAGCATCACACAGGAGTAGTAATGAGTTGCGAAGAACTTGGATGTACAGTCTTTGAAGCCTAAAGTTATCTATTATATAGGAAGTCCCGTCTACCGGTCAGCGTCACTTGACACCGTGAAACCCTGATACCCTGCCCGTGATATTGTTTTGGAAAGACCCATGTGTTGCCATGGCAGCAGAGCACTAGCTATTCCCAGTGCGATTGTAGTTTTCCACCTGCAACAGGAAAAATACCTCCTCCCTCCCAAACACTGTTTCCATGTAAACATTTTATGAGAGTGTGTGTGTTTTATTTCCTAGTGTTTGAAGCAGACTGAGGTTGTTTTATTTTGCCAATAGCTCCAGGAAGAAATCAATGGGTGCACTGTTTTTTGGAGAATCAAAAAAGGCCGTGTGTGTGTTAGCTTTTCTGTAATATTTGCAGTTTATACTTTTCCTTGGGGGGGTTGTATGGGAAACAAGAGAGGAGTGGAAGGTGCTGATCTGTGAACAGCATGAGGAAGAGGCCAGCTGTGGTAGAGGCTACAAATCAGCCGAATCACAAGTGATGTGTTCACAAGACGGATGGAGAGATGAGACAGCGAAAGAGAAAGAAAGAGGCAGTTAGATATATGCGAAGATCTAGGGGCATATAAACAATGTGCGTGAAAGACAGACGGAGAGAAACTGACTCAAGGCGGCGTTAGAAGCAGCGTCTGGGCCGAGATGAGGTCAGACGTGGACAGACTGAAGCCTAGTGTTTGACGTCCACAGGCTATAGTGAGCCATTAACAGACCTGTCAAACGTAGCCCCTCCCCCATAGGAAACTGCTGGTATAAACACTTTATTATAATGGCAGGCTAGTAATAGTCCTCACTTTTTTGTAACTTAGCAATCCCTCAAAGAAAACATTACATTTAGCTAAACTGGAGCTTTTTAGGTTGTAGCTTGTGTTTGTTTTTGTACCTTAGACACATACATTCTCCAGAAGGCACTGTTGAGTCAGAGTCAGGGCTGCAGTGATTCACTGGGCATTGTATCTACAGTTTATCATTATTATTCATGACTGTGGTTTTAGGTCTGTGACTGTGTTTCCTTTTAACTAAGGGGTGGTTACAGCCTAAAAAATGTAGTTTGGATCCTCAATATTTCTGGCCCCAGGGTTGTGTGGGCACTAAATGCATTCCACACAGACTCACACACATGCACACACACACATGCAAACACAAAACCTCACTGTGTTTCTAGTGACAGCATTTTTCCACAGCAAGGTGGTAGGAAGATCAAAATTACTGAAGCTATGCTCCCTAACATGGATACACAGAGGAGGGGTTCGAAAAGAAAAGAAAAAGAAACACATTCCAGGATGCCACTAATTTCCCACTTGGTGTTTTTAGCATCCACAACCCTTATTTTTAGACCGTCTGTAAATCAGATTTAGTTAGTGAGTAACCTCTAAAAAACGTTAGATTTTGTAAATCAGTAATCTTAATAGGCAGAAAGACAGTTAACTGCACTCTGCTACAGGCTGAATGTTTATGTGTGAACATAAAGCAGAACATTTATGGTTGATCAACACAAACAGGAGTCTTTTGAAACTCAGAAAATTATAAATAAAACAGCATAATGCAGGAATTGCAAATACCAAACTAAGTCTAAAAGTGATGGAAGAATTTGTAGAACACCACTCAGTTTGGTTTGCAAGATTTGGCAATGTGGGAAGAGAGTGTTTGCATTTTACACACACACGCACACGCACACGCACACACGCGCACGCACACACACGTGTCACACACAGGGCCTCTATATCGGTGTTTGCCTGGCAGGAGGCCGCTGGTCGAAGCAGGCGCATTGGGCAGCGGCCGCCCACAGGCAGCAGCTAGTACGAGAAGCGAGCGGTGGGTGGGCTGAAGGTCAGACGGGCCCTGAACACACCACCATTGTTCTTTCTATCTCTTTCCTTCACACTTTGACCTGCGAAACATATGTCTGTGTATCTGCGGTTGTATGCTAAAATATCTCAACGAAAGAGAGGTGTAGAAACAATGGAGGCACAACATACTTTGGTAGCTGTATGTGTTCTAAAGCTGCTTTTAAAATAGTATGTACTAGAGTGTATTCTGCATGTTTGTGTGTTGACCGTGGCATGTTATTAGTCTGAGTCAGCACAGAGGAGGCCGGCCTGCTCTCTGAGAAGAGCGGCTCTGTCTAATGTAGGAGTGGGAGGAGATGAGCAAAAGGTCTTCTTTGACATTCAAAGATGCATGATGTCTTCCCCTCAGCTGTTACACACCAGATTCCCCGAACCGCTGACTGTACTCTCCCCTCCTGGAAGCAGAACTATTTAAACTAAAACATGTTTAGTGAAAACCGCAACTCTAACTTGGGAATGGGATGCATTTCCTCATGGAGTGCAACATTGTGAAACAAGTTGTTTTAAGTCTAATTTGTAGTTTCTTTGCATCCAGCTTGACCTTTGGTTTTTAGTTGTTTTCTCTCTTCTAATTCTCCTCATAAAGAACATCACACATAATCATATGCAAAACTACTTTGAGCTGGTATTTTCCCACAAAGAAAACGATTGCAGAAGCTGGTCAAAGGCAGGTTACAGAAGAATTTCCCCAGAGATGCTTCAGAAATTATTTGAACCTTGACCCAGTTTGTAGTGGTTGGCCTCTTCAATTGCCTCGTCTCAGAGCTGTATGTTTTGTATAAGGGCATGAACAAAGATGAAGGGGGAACTCATTTGGTGTGCCCTAGTTTTGTAGAGCCGCATTAATTAGTGTTAGAAAATTAACTTTGCGCTGCACAAGACAACCTTCTGTGAGCATCAGGCCAACCAGCAAATGTAAGACATGAGTCTAGACAAAGGATATTTGCTGAGATTGAAGCTTACTTAAGTTCTTTGAGATATGAGAGTATGGATTTAAACTACTGTTTTGCATAACCATAATGACAATTGTCTGCCTCCCTATGTCAGTGGAGTGCACCTCGGAAAGCTTCACAGTTATAGTAACTTTGGTGATTTGCTAAATGTGTCGATTTAGGGTGAGAGGTAGAATGGTCATTCCCTAGTCAAAGAGTTGAGGGTTCAATCCCTCAAGCCTCTGCGGTCAACATATCCGAGTGTTCTTGGGCCAGAAACTGAACCCCAAATTCCTCTCGATTTCATGGTGTGGAGTGTGTGTCAATGTTTATCATATCTGATGAGAAAGTGACACCTTTTATGGTAGACACTTTGTTTGAATGTCTGTGGAAATGGGTGAATGCTAAAATGTTCTAAAAGAGTGGTCTCAAATACTGAACAAGCTCTGATAAATGCTGGCCGTTTACAAGTCCAGATAAAAAAGTAAAAGTTACTAACAAACTGTTTTGTTTTCTCCTATCACAGACGGTCATTTCACCGGGACCCCTCCATCGTACGGTTACGATGCAGATCGCGCAGAGGAGCAGCGAAGGCACCACGAAATCCTGCCGTACATCGATGACTCGCCGTCATCTTCACCGCACCTCAGCTCAAAGAGCCGCAGCAGTCGGGACACGCTCTCCTCCGGATCGCTAGAGTCCTCCAAGTCGGTCAGTACGCCTGCTGCCATTTCCTACTGCTGGGTATTGTATTAGCAACATTTTCAGATTTGTAAAGTTACTGAGAACAAACCAAGCTGAGAGATATTTCATAGGAGTTTTCTTTCACTAGTATCATAGCGTGGTGCAGGGCTGAAGTTTTTTTTGTACGGCAACGGTATTACAGTGGTTTCCTTGACAATTTTTTCAGATTTTGGAATATTGCAGAAAATAAGCTCTCTTGCAAACAAACGCTTATGATACTTACATTTTTCGATAAGCTGGACACAATATCCACATACAGTATAACGTTCACTTTTGTAATTTTTAAAGCATAAATGCATTCACCAGAAGTTAATTTGAATTAAATCACGGTCACATGACTTAAGGTCAACACCACCACCATGTTAAAGGCAAACTCATATTCAGCGTGTTGTCCTTTAGTGCATCATTTAGCCACTTGTTAGCAACCACCGTTTATCTGATACATAAATGCTTCACACCTTCAAATGTGAGATATATACTGATGTTTTTTTTTTTACGTAGAACAAAAAATTTAAAAATCTTAAACTTGTGTTATTTCATCCATCTAACCATAAACCCATTCAGAAAACTATTGACATCAAGATAAGGAACAGGAAGTGCTAACTCATTTCGAGGTTTTGGGACTCATTCCTGCATCACCCTATATCAGGGGTCACCAACATTTTTTAGGGTGAGGGCTACTTTAAAAAAATAAAACAAGTCGGGGGCTACTTTTACTCCTCTTTTTTTTGTTTTTTGCAGTGTATATATTTAGCACATTTTAACATTATGATATGCTGACCTTTAACCTTTGTGTGCTGTTTGGGCCTGTGGGACCCGTTTTCAGTGTTTACTAAAAGAACATGTATGCAATTTAATTATTTTAACCTGCTTTATTTGGGGGTGGACCTCACATCCTCTAGGGGGGTCCTCACCTCCTCTAGGGGGGTCCGGGGGCATGCACCCCCGGGAAGATTATTTTTAAATGTTGAAGTGAAATGCATCAATCTGGAGCACTTTGAGCACAACATGAATTGATGGATACAGCTCTCAACACTCAGATGAAAGGGAGCTGTATACTTTTCAATAATCCAAACATCTTTAGAATATGATCACAACCAATAACAAATCATTTAAACTGGTTTATTCTTATCTTATGTTACCTAGTTAGCATTCTTTCTTTTTATGTATGCTTATTTTACTAATCACTCCCCTTTCAAACTGTTTTTTGTTTTTCTTACTGTCCTATAGTACACATTGGAATGATTTCTTACTTTATCTATATTAAATAGATAAAGGTGTGCTCTCCCTAGCTCTCTCTCTCTCTCTCTCTCTCTCTCTCTCTGTCTGTCTCGCTCGCTCACAGAGGCTGTGTGCTCCTCCGTGGCGATGACGGCTTGCGTTAAAAAATAATAATAAACATATTTGTAAAGTGGGGGGACACAAACGGGATTTCGAAAAGAGCGGGGGACATTTCCCCCCTGTCCCAGGTGGAAATTACGCCATGCGTGTGTGTAAAACTCTGCCCCCCATGTGTTGTATAGGCTGGCATGATAGGCTGTTCAATGGGGCTGATGTGTTGTGTAGATTATGCCAGAAGGAAAATCAGCGGGGAGGTGCCACATTGCTTTTCTTCCCGACTGCAACGCTGGTCCCGCAAATCAAGCAAGAACGTGATTGGTCGATACTCATTGTGGGGGTGGGGGGAGGAGGGGTGTTAGATAGCTATAGAGTTGTAGTAAGTAGATAGACTTCGCTATGATTTAGGTTTCGTTTATGCATAGGGTAGATTCTTTTAATTACATTTCCTTTTTTGTTTTGTGTATTTTATACATTTTGGATTTGCTTGGCGAGCTATTTTTAGAACATGCCCCGCGGGCGACTCACGTTGCCCCTGCGGGCGACCAAGTGCCCGCGGGCACCGTGTTGGCTACCCCTGCCCTATATCATATGAATGTAAATTCCTACAAACGTGGCTGTAATCACTCTTCAATGGCCAATAGCTGCGTACATTGACCTCAATGCAGCGCAGAAGTGGGCTAATCTATTCTTAGAGCAATCCAGAGCCATCAGAAATATGTCGATTGACGAGAAATAAAATCTGCCACTTGATGGGATTGATATATGACGATATGGCCTGCCTCATAAACCCAGAGGTAGTCGCCTAGTGAAGAAACTCATCCCCCCCTAAGAGTCTGGCTGTTCTTCTCAGGGTATTAGGCAGAATTACCTATCACCTCCATCGCCCCATCACTGCCTTCATCCTCTTACCCTCCCTCCTTTACTCTTTCTTGTCCTCGAAGAGAAAACCAGTGATCTATGACGTCTGGTGCTATTAAAGGTTGCCATGGAGAGGAGGCACACACACACACACACACACACACACACACACACACACACACACACACACACACACACACACACACACACACACACACACACACACACACACACACACACACACACACACACACACACACACACACACACAAAACCATAGCGTCAGCAAAGATGAGAATGGATTCCAGAGCCGGAATCTATTTTAGCATTTACACATTATTTCTTGCACCAGTGAATTTAACAGAAACAGATGAACATACTAGAGCCATATGTCCGTTACAGATGGAGAGGTATTGTGTGAGAATGTAATAGGCTAATACTGCATCTATCTACTGTGCCCTTGGAGGAAGTAATTGCATCAGTGGCCATGAAGCAGTATCAGTTGCTCCGCCCCCTCCGTCTGAGCGAGAGCCCGTCAATCTGATTGATGGTAGAATCTGCCAATAAATGATGAGTCCCTTGACTGCATCTAACCTCCGACCTGTGATCCTGGAACTCTCCCTGATTTGAATTTATACACTCATGCACACATATAATGTCTTCTAGTCAGCACGAGACAAATGCAGAAAGCAAAAATGATATCAAATAACGTTTAAAGACAATTGATCTCATGTTTAGAGGCAGAATCTTAGAGAATACCAGACGCTGTGTGTGTTTACTGTCAGTAGAAGTGCCATCTGATGGCCAGTTAAATATATTACACAGCCAAACAGCAATTATCCATCAACCAAATCCCCAAGCTGTCAATAACTGCCATGAAAATGGAGTTACCATCCACCGTCCTTGACTTGCCCTTGGACAGCCAGTCTTCAAGCATCATCCCAGTCTGCCTCCCTAATTGATGAGTCACAGCCCGGACGAGCTCCCATTGGCTGATGGTTTTGTGATGTCACTGGGATGAGTCATCACCATCACAAATACTGCTGATTTAATTTTCTCTTATGATCTGACTCTTCCCAGCAATGAGAAGGAAATAAGGGGGTGGGGGGAACTGTGAAGTATGAGAACTGTGCTTTTATTAAAACAATTTATAATATGTTATATCAAGGACTGCAGGAGCCAAATCTTTCTTTTATAGATGTTTCACGAGATTGGGAATAATCATGTAACATTTACTTGGCCAGAATCAAATCTGGGATGTTACTTTTTATAGTCAGTGGTTACTATGGCACCTCCCAAATTCCTCTTAAATCATGAATCATTTCCTCTGTCTAAATCCCCCTTGTTTTCTTTGCCCTATGGTCTTTTCTGACATCAGACATTGAGGCTACATCATCAGATTAGGAGGATTAGATCCATGTAAGGAAAAGTCTTGTTACCTTGCAATTAAAGGCATGTTGTGATGCAGCACTGCGAACATCCTTGTAAAAAAACAACAACCCTGCAGACACCAACTCTGTCAGCGTCCATCACGTCTGCCTGAAGTGCGGTTTAAATAACCAGAAGTAATGCTGCATTTAAAAATATTTAATAATATTTCTCCCGCTGCATAGGGTAATTCTAAGACGGCTCCATTACTTAGCAGACATGTGGAGATAGGAAGCAATCACATTAGGCCTTTCAGAAAGCGAGGGATGGCAGAGCAGGATGCTAAAGGGATTAGAAAATGAAAAATGAAAATGGCTAATAAAGTTCTCTCCTCTCTAACTCCGAATGTTTATATGAGCTGACAGTCTCCTGCCCTCCATGGGTAAGAGACGGAGAGATTTGGGAATAATGTTATTACAGTCGCTGCTGCTCCGTTTCTATCTGCGCCTCCTGAGATACGCGCTTCACAAATAAACACCGTTTGCATTGATTCTCATGTATCTCCTGCGAACATTATCTTTGCATAAACAAATCAGAAGCAAATCAGGAATTAGGGAGAGCACGATAGGGTGTTGAAAGAGCTGAATTTAGCATAGGTTAAGTATTAGCTTGTTTCACACACTGGATGTGAAAAAATAGACAAACCAACCCAAATATACCCAGGAAGAGGGAGATGTGTCTTGCTTTATGCCCAAAAAAGGAAGCAAGACACCCCTTTTGGTCTGAACCCAGAGATTGGCTCATTAGTTGCCACGGCGATGAATAAAAGATGATGTGTCTGGAGATGAGGGTACTTCCTGGGGGAGTCGTCTGGGGTCTGAAACGATGAATAAACACTTTGGTCTCCCCCTATGCTACTTCACTAACATGTGGCGGGATGGTAAAGTTGCCTCCTTGTGATTTCAAATGTTCTTGATGCTTTGAACGGACCCTCGTAATCCTGCGAGGGTAAAGTCAGGCAGCTCATGCCGATACTTGTAGATCAGCAAGGACTCATTCATTTTTCATCAAATCACAAACATTCAGGGGGCTCCGTTGCCGCCCCAGGCTGTCTCTTTTAAGTCTGAAAGGCTCAAAGCGGCTGCAATGCAATAACACACATTTAAGAGCAATCAGAACTACTTATTACATAACTTATTTACTTTCAACTCCAGTTTATGTGCACTCTTAATATGAAATGAGGACATTTTCCGGCTTTTAGTTGTCTTAATGAGCAATTCTTTGTACTGTTCTATACAGCAAGGATCCCCAGACAGCTCAGTGTGATGCATAATACATGTATGTCTGTCAGAATGATTTCCTTTATGCTTCACCTGGGAAACAGACACAAAGAACAAGAGACTGTGGAAGTGTTAGCCAGAAAATATAATAAAACAGTAAGATAATGAGGAGGATGATTTAAATACTGTCCCGTTCTACTTGAAGTCAATGCCTGTTTGCTGTTAACTATATCAATAAACTAAGAAGGGCTCCAAGGATTCATTGATTAGTTATTTGACAGAAAAGAGACAGAAAAACAATCCTAACTAAAACAATTCCCTTGTTATATACCTTTTTTTGTGAGAATTGTTTGCATTTCTTTGTGCTTCATTGATTCTTGGTTGGACAAAAATGAACATAGAAGACAGAATGTGTGATTTAAAGAAATGTGACAATTTTTTAGACCAAATATTCAATTAATTGAGAAAGTATTTGGCAGATTAATATATAATGCAAATAAGATAAGATAAGATAAGATGGTACTTTATTGATTTTTTGTGTGTTGTGAAAATAAAGAAAATCGAAAATATACATGTTGAATTTGACAAGATATTATATATACAAATATATATACATAAATATATGACATATGGAATATTAATATTAAATATTGAACAGAGTAAAATGTACAACGTGGTTTTATTCCAAGAGAAACTATGGAGTAGAGAGTTCTCTTCCAGCCAGAGGTGATTTGTTTTACAGAGTTATTATGCTGCAGCAGTCTGTTGGAGAAGGAGCTCCGCTGACTGTCCAGCTGCAGGTGGAGAGGATGGGTGGGGTTATCCATGAGCCTGTTCAGTGTCCTCCTCTCCACCACAGCTTCAAAGGGGTCCAGCTTGATGCCGATGACAGACCCAGCTTTCCTGTTCAGTGTATTGATCCTGCTGATGTCACCGGCTCTGATGCTGCCCCCCCCCATGCAGCACACGTTGAAGGATCTCAGCTTCCTCAGAAAATAGAGTCTGCTCATCCCCTTCTTGTACACGGCAGACTCTATTTTCTGAGGAAGCTGAGATCCTTCAACGTGTGCTGCAAGATGCTGGAGATCTTCTACCAGTCAGTTGTGGCCAGTGCACTCTTCTTAGCTTTAGTTGCAGCCAAAAAGTAAATAATCTTTTCTTTATTTAAAGCTTTAAAGTAATGCAAAACTCTGTACACACGTGATTTGTTTAAAGCTGCGTTCATAAGGATGAAGGTTTATTGGTTGTAAGTAGAACTGTAACCACACGCAGTACAGTAACATGTAAATGTTGTGTTATTTTTATTCTTGCATAGGCAGTGGCCATGGAAACAGGCTTCAGGCCTATTTACCCCTTCATTTAAATAAAACTGTACACCCACAGACATCCGAGTACAGTACAGTGCATGCTGAAATGCAGCTCACAGGAATACTGTTCATTATTTGAGCATGCATATTTATACAATACCTGCCCTGTAGATATGTACTTGTGGACTGAACATGTGCAGACAGTAACTAAGGAGCCAATTATAGAAATGATTGTTTAAGTTGTTTCTTAATCACAACTGCTAAACACTAATGCACGAATATGCTGCTTTTCTCTGATGTTGTCACTTTAATATTCGGCTTTTAGTCTGTTAGTTTTACACACAGGCAACTTTAAGTCACCTTCTTGAGTGTGAGGAGATTGTGATGGGCATGTCCACTCTTTCTGACATTTTATAGACAGACAAATACATCAATTCATAAAAAATAACCCCTATCTAAAACAAAGGATCGGATCTATCTCAAACTAACTTGAATCCTTATTTCCCATATGGGAGGCGTGTGGCGCAGTGGATAGAGCCTTGGTGTTGGGATCAGGGGGTCACAGGTTCAAACCCCACTGCAGTCAGCATGTCGTTGTGTCCCTGGGAAAGACACTTCACCCCAAGTTGCTCCTGTGGGGATTGTCCACAGTGTTGAGCATGTAAGTCGCTTTGGATAAAAGCGTCTAACAAGTAACTTGTAATGTAATTTCAGATCTGGCGATAAATCCATTTCTGAACCAGTTTATCTCACATTCATTTTCCCATCTCGTGCTCTCACTCCTGACCTTCCTTTGGCCTCTCTCACATGTAGAACCCATATGATCTCTGTGTACAGTAAACATGCACAGCAGCATTAGGGTGTAAAGTCTATAAGACTCGCAGAATGTGTAAACACTGGACAGCTCCTGAGACGCAGGCATTACAGATGCTTTATGGAAAGTTGTTCTTTGTTCAGGAATCTTATGGCTTTGTTTACACTGGCTAAGAATCCGAGGAATTTGAATGAGAAGAAGCATATCAAGATCGAGCTTTCCTACATATAAACTATGGCTCCAGTATATTTCTCTTTTAATTTGTTTTCTCCGTCTAGCTATCTTCTCTCTTGCTTCCTTCTTTCTTTGCATCACTCCCAACCAGAGAGGCAGAGCAACGGGAATCCTGCCTTCTGCTGCCCTCTCTCTTCCTCTGGTCTTCATTATGTCTGCTCTTTTCTACTTAATGTATCCTCCATCTTTGTCTCCCCCTTCATCATGTCAGATATTTTGTCTTCTCCCTCTTTCCTCTTATTTGTGCCTTGATCTCCTTCTCCATCTCCTATTCTCTTTTTCTTTTCTTTTTACATTTTCTCTCACGCTTGCTCTGTGTTTCCTCACTTTTTTCCTCCTCATAGCCTGAGGGACGGGAAGTTTCCACGTGTGTGTGTGTGTGTGTTGTGTGTGTGTGTGCACCCTCTGCACTTGCACATTCCCTCACACACACATTTAAACGCCGACCTTGCTCCCATGGGAGACCCTGCCTGTTTGAGTTATTTCAGATTTTGTGTTTAAAGAGGACAGCCTGAGGAATCTCTCTGTCTCTCTGTTTTCTTTCATGTCAGTGCTCCTCCGTGAGCTTTGACTGGGCTGAAGGGGATGAGGGATGTAACCCGGGGAGGATTTTCTTAGAGGTGCCAATGTTGCCGTTTGATTTCCTAGACTTTGGCGCTCACAAACGGCAAACCTGAAGAAGTTGCCAGGAAGCTAAAAACTAGGAATCACTCCATTCCAGATTTAAAAACAAGGGAAATTGCAGCTCATGTAAGGACTGAAATGAAGCTTGGATTTTGTTCATGCATCACCAGACACAAAATATGAAAGTTCTGTGCCATTCAGTGTGCAAATAGTTGAGAAAAAGATTGGAAGAGAGTACATCTTAATCGTTTTTTTTATCTGTATTGTGTCTGTTTGTGTTACAGAATGAATGTGACCTGGAAAAGGGTTTGGAGATGAGGAAGTGGGTCCTGTCTGGGATCTTGGCCACCGAGGAAACATACCTCAGTCACCTGGAGGCACTGCTACTGGTGAGAACACACAAACATACACACCCACATACACACACTCACTACGTATAGCCATAATGTACGGTACAATGTAATTAGTAGTAGGCCGATTGATTAGGCAAATTGAGCTGTAAGTATGGGATTGAATTATAGACTCTTCACACTTAATTTGATTTAGTGCCTTTTAGATGCATCTGCAAAATGTAAATGGTTCAAAGTAACAAGATGGTTTCTTTTTTGCTGGCTGGCCTGATGTAGATTAAAAACCACACTAATCGATTTGAGGAATAGCCGGCAGAAAAAAGAAAATTGTACAAGTACTTGATCTAAGTGGCCCGAAACTACTAAATGAATCCTTATTTTCTCGAGGTCTTCTGGATGTGTAGATATAAAACAGTTTACTATAAGAAATCCATTTCAGTTGTTAATCTGACCAGCTAGAACCATTGCTCAAGTAAAAAAAGAAAGTCTTAAAGTTGACAAATGAACGCATTAATGTTAGCTTAAAGCTCACACAAAGACCCTGCAAAGGCCACTTTGTCATCTTTACCGTTTACTTCCTCGCAGCCGATGAAGCCTCTGAAGGCAGCAGCTACGACGTCGCAGCCTGTGCTCACCGTGGCTCAGATAGAAACCATCTTCTTCAAAGTGCCTGAGCTCTACGAGATCCACCGGGAGTTCTACGACGGACTTCTGCCCCGCGTCCAGCAGTGGAGCCACCACCAGAGAGTGGGGGACCTCTTCCAGAAACTGGTGAGCAAAAAGAAAGATACATCCAAGACTTCTGTACCCATGATGGCAGATGTAACCTTGCTCTTAATGGAAGGGACGACCTTGGGCACTCAAGAAAGTGTATTTGAAGAGACCTGTGGTCATGACACCAATGTGCTACTGTGACATTATTCACAGTAATGTTGTTTTCTGAATCTCTTTCAGAAGCAGCTGTCCGCATAATACAATAAACCAATACTAGAAATTTAGATTTGATTTCATACTGATGCTCTTTTTTATCATTTTATGTTAAGACAAATTTCAAATAAGTGTTTCTCTCTCTTTCCCTCTCTCTTTCTCAAACTTATGCTTGAACTCTCTCACACACACACACACACACACACACACACACACACACACACACCACACACACACACACACACACACACACACACACACGCATGCACACACAGAGGCAGGTGCAGCCGTGTTTCACAATGCCTCCCTTCTACCCCAGGCAGCTGAGGCCATCACTGTACTGTGTGCTTTGTGTCTCGAAGAAGCTGCTATAAATAGGAACCCCTCTCTCTCACACACACATATAAAGACACACACACACACACACACACACACACACACACACACACACACCACACACACACACACACACACACACACACACACACACACACACACACACACACACACACACACCACACACACACACACACACACACACACACACACACACACACACACACACACACACACACACACACACGAATTCACTAACTCAGTAGACTCAACTTGAGCATTGCTACAATATTAGGATTTCATTTATCTCTCTCACTATCAAGGAGGCAGACTCAAATTAAATATTTTCTTTAAAAGCTCCTCTAGATGTATTTCCTACTTTAAAAATATTTAATTTGACAAAGCTCCCCCCGAAGAAGTGATGTCATGGTTAAAACTTCTGGTCATGGCTAAAACATGAATATTAAGCAGAGTGATTGTACAGTGTTCCCACGCAGACACTCACACGGTTTCTGCTCCATCTCCTACCTCTCTCCAGACATTAGTTAATGGAAGTCAGCAGGAGAAGACGCTTAGTCCACAGAAATGGGGAAAAAGGAGAAATGCTACATGACAGTTGGGAGGTGGAGAGGGAGGAAGAGATTAGATGAGAGTAGAGGAGGTGATACAGGCGAGGGACGGGGGAAGGGAGGATGAGAGTCGGGGGAGAGTAGATTTTTGGCTGCTGCTACTCCAATAGAGCTGTCTCACCATGACTCTAATATCTGAGAGGAGAGCAGACGGGCTTAGGAATCATAAAACATCGGAACAAGGATGGCGCGAGACGGGGAGAAAAGAGGAAGAGGCAAAGCGTCGCTGACAGGTTATGAGCATGAGTGTCAGAGAGAAGTGTTTGAAGGCCTGAAATCACACTTCTGCTTTTCATACCATCACACTTCATACAAAGTGGAAAAAGTGAAGGTTATACATCATGAGGACAGACAGGCAAACCGATAAACTGGCTTTGGATGTTGCTCTTCAGAGATGGAGGACCAAGAAAACCCTGATTTTTTTTATTTATAGAAGAATGATCCTTCGTTGGGCTAAACCAACCCATAAAATGTTCTTCGCTCTGTTGAATTAATACGTTTAATAGGTTTCTTTGGTCTATACCATTGTACAACATTTAATTGACTAAATGACAACTAGTCTCCAAACATGCTTGATTCCCCCCTGGTTGCTTATCAAATCTAATCACAGCCATCTACCAAAATAGTTTTAGCAATGCTAGTGGCGTTGCTTTATGGCTGGAAATGTCAGTGTATTTGTTTGTCCACAATTTTGACTGAATTTATTGAATTATCTCGACAACAATTCGATTACATAGATCACATTTTATCCTGTGAAATTTCTTAACATATACTAGACAGGTCAGCACCAAATGTTTGGCCTCAGCACATCTTGGCATGGTTAAAAAATAAATTCATCTTAGCATGCTAATACGCTAAATTTAGATGAACAGGGTAAACAGTATCCCTACTTAACATCAGCATCTTATCATTGTCATTGCAAGCATATTAGCATGTGGATGTTAGCACACAGCATCACTATACAGCCTCACAGAGCTGCCATCATAACTGTAGCCTCAAAAGAAGAGGCTTAACCTTTTCTATTTCTGTCTATTCATATCATTATATCATTGTAGACTAAACAGCCTTTTTTTTCCTTGTCACAAAATATCCCAGTCTGGTAAAACTCCCTTTTTAAAGTGGCTAAATCCAGCCTTCTCCTATAATGGCCGTAGTCTGTCATGAGGCTGTTTTCTTAATGTTGTTTTCCGCTGTGGATTACACACATACTCTCACACAGGACAAATCCCGGACTGAGAAAATCCAAACACCCAAGCATTTTCTTTCATCACCCAAAGCCACTTTCTGCCATGATACTGGAGCTGCAGACGCACACGCAGTAAGCCTTCGCGGTGTTGTGCGACTCTGTGGATGTGGCTGGCAGACATCCGGGCTTTCTGTTCTCTCCACAGTCAAACTGTCACGCTCTGAATGGCCTCCACTGCGCTACAGATTGTGTGGCCCAGGGCAGGACACAGGATTGCAGGATTGTGAAAATTGCTTTTTTCCTCGCCTTCCTCCTTATTTACTCAAGTTCTAGTGTGCGGATAAATGTAAAAAGCACTGTATATCCATTATGGAGCTAGTTTGCTGCCTGAAATTCAGGAATGAGTGTATAGAAAACACAAATTATGACAAACATTTGGTAAGGTACTACTTTCAGCCATGTATGTTTCCTGGGCTTTCTATTTTCTGGGCTTCTATAAAGATTTAAATGTAAAAAGCACTTTATATCCATTATGGAGCCAGTTTGCTGGCTGAAATTCAGGAATGACTGTATAAAAAACACAAATTATGACATGCATTTGGTAAAGTACTACTTCAGGCACATGTGTTTTCTGGGGTTTTCTATTTTCTGGGCTTCTGTAAAGATCTAACACACACCACGTACACACTGTAGATGCCTGCAACAACATCACAAGTGTCAACAATGTTAAGAAATCTTGTGACTTCACATTCCTGGCAGAATTGAATCTCACACCTATCCATGACAGCGAAGATCAGGGCATTTTCCGAAGGTCATGCCTAAACAGGGATGAATGAGGTCAGTTTAAGACAAGAATAACCATGCGTGTGTGTTAAAGTCCTTTAGTTGTAGACCACTTCTAATCAAATTATAAAGTGCTTCCCACAAGGAAACTATTCAAATCAACAAAAAAAGCACTAACTTAGCCAAAGTCTAATTTGTTGCAACGTGGGTCTCGTTTTCCCATCAGTATCTAGTAACATTCTTCATACTTGATGGTGGTTTACGAAGTTGTTGTCGTACTTGAGGGAGTGTTCATCGAAATTTCAAGGAAAGTCGGGAACAATTTCTTCAGGTAATTCCATAACAACATGGATGCAGCTCAGATTCCCTATCTTCCAATGTTAAATAAAGCGAAAAACTATTATGTATCGCCCCATGTTTAGTATCAGAAATGTATTAGGTTCATCCTTGGCCAATGAGGAACCCTTCCACCAGATTTCATGAAAAACAAGCTTGTTGCTTCTGCCAAAATGGACAGAACAAGCCAGAAACATAACAAGTACAGTAATAACAGGCAGACATTCAGACACTAACCTCCATGATAAGAAAACTGAGAAAAATACTGTATGTTAAACCTTTTACACTTAATGGCAATTAAATGCATCCATCATAGTTAACAGACTAGACTGTACAGTTAAGTGTACTAAAAACTCACTTTTGGTTCAACCTCCAGATAAAGTGGTTTGGATCATCTGTCGTATCTGTTGGCTTGTTTACAAGCTTTCTGACATTCAGACCGCTCATTTCTCACCTTGTCTACTTCCATCACAGCTGGGGAACAACATCTCAGAGATGAGTAAATTGCTATCATAACAGATAGAACTGATGCTAAGTACTACAAGTGTGACGTACTTGACGACCCAAGTTGTTATAAACCTAGATTTACCTTAAAACCTTGCCTCTCCAAAGGACAAATTAATCTGCCCGAATTACTTAAAATCCACCCAGCTCTTATGGGGCTAAAATATAACAATACAATTTCATAAAGAGCTCTAAAGGTAATACATAATTCATGTTCCATACACTCAGGAAAGATTTCGTATTATTTCGAGAAGTCTGTGTGTGTGCGTGCAGGCCTATCGACATGACACACAGAGCCCATCTCCACTGTACTCTCTCCTCCGCTGGCTTTTGTTCAGGAGAATTGATTGTGCTTTTGTTCGCCGTGGAGATGGATCGCAGTGCTGGCAGGCAGCGTTTGGTGGAGGTTTATTCAGCCATCCAGTTTCCTAACCGTACTTTCATAGCCTCCGTTACACCAACCATTAATTACTCACCCCGGCACAGTGTAAGTCTCGCCGGTTTCCAGGGCAACGGGCCCGGCTGTGAGGTGCACCGTGGTAACGTGCTGTTGTTGGGACCGTGATCTACGTCTCTCCTTTGCTGTTTGTTTCGTTTGATTGTCTGCAAGTCCCGTCTCAAAAGCAGCTGAATGGATTTCATCTCAGATTCACGGATTATACGTCACACTGCCTCAATGTAGCATTCTTAAAGTCACCCTGAGAATGTTAAGGTGGTCTTCATATTGTCCAATGCAAAGATTTGTGTTGTTTTTCTAACAAGCCAACTAATCTGAAGGAAATCAAGTTCCAGCTGGGATCATCATCATTAGTGTTCCCAGATTTCAACCTTGAGCATCAGTAGTACCCATATATATGAAATTAACCTAGATGCCAATTTCCCTTTGGCTCTGTTTGCTGGATCAGAAATTTGAAGCGTTTTGCACATTCGCTATAAGCAGTCTTCTCACACAGATATGCCTCTTGACAAAAAAAGCATAATCCTGATGAACTGGAAAGTGAGCAAATTATCCTCTCAGTGTTAATAACCGTTCTGTGATGTTCCTTCCCATTTCTTCTTTACGCACAAAATAAAGCCAAAGTTTCAGCATTTTCCTTTTCCTTTTTTGTTATTTGGATAATCCAGAAGTAACACAAATAATTCACGTTACTTTTACCCTGTAGAAAGTAAATAACTTAGGTTCTAACAAGTTTACATGTTGTCAAATATAGCTTGGCATCTGTGAAAAACAAAATATATATATTCTGTTACTCCTGGTGAGTGGTGACTGATGTTCAAGTATGTCTAAAGTAGCAGAAGGGCTGCAGTTTGTATGGTGTTAGGAAATGAAGTGGTGACAATTAGGATAAGGAAGTAGTGAAGAGGACTATTGAGTTTGTTTGAAAGACTGTTTTTATGGGTTTCACTGCTCTTACTGTCTTCACAATGAACAGCTCAGTCTGAGACTAGGCAATGCTGCTATTTATAGAAGCTCACACAGGGTTTACTGTCACTGTTATTTGTATTTGAATTTGACACATTAAGTGCAGGCAGAACAATCTCTATACAAATGACTTTCCCTGACAAACATCTCTTTTACTTTGAATATGTTAAATAATGTTATTTAAAACATCCCTTCTCTGTGTCTTTCCCTCCATCAGGCCAGCCAGCTCGGAGTTTACCGAGCGTTTGTGGACAACTACGAGCTGGCTGTGGAGACGGCGGAGAAGTGCTGCCAGGCCAACACACAGTTTGCGGAAATCTCTGAGGTAAGAAGAAGAAAGGGAAAAACCGAAACATAAATATGTTTTGAAGGCTATACCGTAGATGTGGGGATAAGAAATGGGGGGGGGAAAGTTACTGTTCTAGCTTCAACCTCAAAGCTGTTGCTGGAGTCGAAGCTGTGATCTCACAGTTATGGGATCATTTTACAACCGTGTAAAATCGGTCAGTCAGACTCTTAACCCCCTACATACCAGCAAATTATCCAATTGCTTGTTCTTTTTATGATGTTTGGAGCAGAGCTGTATCTAATGTAGATGAAAGTTAGTGAATGTTAAGTTGAGCATTCATCACAGCAGTGATTTTCACTATCACATTACACAAAAAAGTGTATCCCATAATTCCTGTCTATTGCATCCTTTTGTTGCACACATTTTAGTTTATATGCACATTTGTTTAATCCAAATTGCTACTACAGCACATTTAGCTTAATATAATTTGATCGTGTAATATAATTTAGCTTGTTGTGATACTGGATATCAACTTGTTGGCATAGTAAAGCTAGTGTTTCTAATACAGTTACTTTTATGTCACCATAAAACAGTTGGTCTTCTGTAGCTGTATACTTATTTTAATTAAAAAATCTAAACTATAACCATCGAGCTGCAGCTGGACACCATCTTAGAGAAAAGCAGTGTCACCTAGTCATACAAACATGACAAAGAACATACAGTATAACTGACTAACAGCAAAGTGATAAATGTGTTTCTAGTTAAAGGAAAAGTGGAGAGGTGTTTTTATAGAAAGTGCACTCTACTTGCAAAAGGCTCTCTCATTATACCCCTACTCATCTTTCAGCATTTCTCTGCACTCAAATTTGCATGTTCTGCTGAATATTTGTATACAAATGCAACCAGACGCAATTATTTGTGTGTTATTATTCAGTGTGTATAAATTAAATCAGGGGAAAGGCAGAGGATGGTTGCTTGGTCTTTTTCTCTCTCAGAATCTGAGCCGAGTATCACCTACACAGAGCGGGGATGAGCCTTGACAGCGTAACAAATCTGGTCATTTATCTTTTCCCCAAACACAAGTTGCCAACAGCTTTCGAGGGCTCAGAACAATTTATTTTATCAACCACAAACTAGATTTGGAAACACTTATTCTCATGCCTCTAATGTAGTTTTGGAGGCTGATGTAACAAAATTGACCCTGGTTTTGAACTAATCTACATTCCCAGCAGTGTTATATTCAAGAGTTCAAACACCATTACAGCTCTATTCATACATGTGGGGATGTTTCTATTTGTCCAGCAGCTACAAAAATAGTTTAAGATGCAGCTTTTAAAACATTATTTTCACCACTATAAAAGCTGCTCATTGTGGGGGGCTTATTCAAACTACAGTGTATATATTAAAACAAATGTACACCTCTTTTTCGTATACATTATTTTAAAAATGTTCAAGTAGTCTCCGGGACACCATCAGTCTTCGTCAATGTTTTATGAGGTCTACCAGTTAGCGTTGAGCTGGTGTCTGCATGCAGGGTGGGGAATTCATCATGGAGGGTTGTTAATGGCCTCCGTAATGATGCATGACTCTGAGCCATCTGAGCAAGATGGTGGGGGGGGAAAAGCTGCTGAGGATGGCATAATTAATTTGCAAGTGGATGACCTCAGTGCTAGAGCAGGGATGCTAACCTCAATATGTTTTCATATGGCGGAGACATAGTAAACATGTTTTTTAAAACCTGTGTGTCCAAACAGAACCTGAAGGTGAGGAGCCCGAAGGACTCTAAGGACCAGACGGCCAAGAACTCTCTAGAAGGTCAGTCACATCCTGTGTTTTATTAATTGTATATCTAAAAATTGCTTATTAAAATACGTAATAATAGAAAATGACAGTAACAACTCAGTCTTTTGTATTTTTTTCTCATGCACAGCGCTGCTTTATAAACCAGTGGACAGAGTGACTCGCAGCACTTTGGTACTTCATGTAAGTAAGAGCAATACATCTTAATACTGTTTGATCACACATCTGTATCTATGATATGTAGTAGTGGCCTTTGTTGCCTACAACATAACTCCAACATTGTAAGAATATAACATGTAGTTTCTTTTGTATATCTTTGTCACAACCTATAAAACATTTTCTCCATCAATACACACCCAAAGTCTCTATAAAGAAATCCTGTTAAAGGTGGGGTAGGTAAGTTTTAGAAACCGGCTCGAGATACACTTTTTGTTATATTCCATGGAAAGCTCTTAACATCCCGATAGCAATGAATATCTTAAGTGCTTTGACAAAAAATCCATAAAATAATGTCATCTGTGGAAGCTGTAGTACTGTAAAAAGCACGACCAATCATTTTAGCCGGCCCGGCTAAAGTAACTGGATGGCCTACCTGCCTGTCAGCCTTCCATCTGTGCACAAACTTATCTCGTGCCCTCATTGGTCATGTGCGCGTTCGTGTGTGTTGGAGGAGGGGCTCTGTAAGGAAGTGGCAGATTTTTTCCGGCTGTGTATTTTCAAATTCTAGCACACTCGAGCTGGTTTCTCCAAAATGACCTACCCCACCTTTAATACATTTGTAAAGGTCAATTCTATTAGATATGTAACAAATAATTGGTATTTAGGTCTTCGTTTATTGTATCGATGAAAAAGTAATATCACTTTACCGTACTGTTTTCAGCAGAGGTGTCATTTAGACAGGGTGACTGCACTGTTTATGAATCATTAGGGCTGAAAAGGAAAAGAAAAGAGCAGCGTACACAGTAATACATACTGTGCATACTGAATATGTGGTCTTTAACCAGCACAAAGTCAATATTTGTCCTTCCCCACTGTTCTCCAGGATCTGCTCAAACACACGCCCACCAGCCACCCGGACCACCCGCTGCTGCAGGACGCCCTGCGGATCTCCCAGAACTTCCTGTCCAGCATCAACGAGGAGTCGACGCCCCGACGCCAGTCCATGACTGTCAAGAAGGGAGAGGTGAGAGATTCTTTCTGGCACCTTTTAATCAGCATGCTCTTTTTCAATTAGTTGATACGAAGAATTATATATTACTTGGATCTTTTTACTGGGTGGTGATGGGTTGGAACGTCTTTTTGCGCATTGTGTTGTGTCTTTTAAGGTTGTCATTTTACAGTACATCTAACTGAACTAGAGCAAATAATAGTAAATCAGAATCTGATTCATACCGACTGTCCCTTTACTACATTTGGCTAACAACATTCACTGAAATAAGACTCAATCCCATTTCCTCCACAGAGAGGTGTTAGCAGTTTATTTTTCTCATCATTTGAACTCTTTCCTGCTCCGATGTTGAGCATGGTGATGTCATAACCCCGCCTCCAAAATGACCATGAAGTTGCTGCCAATTGAGTGAACATGAGCCGCCAATCTGCAGCCTAAAGCAGAGCCCATGCCCTTATATGGTCATACAGGGTTGCCTGGCTGAGGCTGATTCTCTGTTTGCTCGGTGTCTCTCTTGTGGCTTCCCGTCCCTCCCATCTCCCCTAACGCAAACACACACACACACACACACAACCCACCCCCCACAGTCTCTGTCATCCCCGGAGATGACTTGACGCACATGAATGGACGCCCCTTGATTTATAGCTTGCGTGACACTGCCGTACATAATGCCTTGTAATGAGCCACCGGTCCGCTCTGACTGGCAGATTCCAAGTTAATTATTCATAAATGAAGGGTGGGAGAGAACGAGCAAAAAAAAGGGTCCGTGCGGGCTCCTCCCTCTGCTCACAGGGGGGTCATTACTGCACCCTTTCCACACACAAACACACTCTCTGTTCCATTCACTCGCTCTCTTTCTCTTGTGTGCCTTTGAACATGCGCACACACCCGGACACACACACTTACCCTCCTATATGTCCCCGCAGGCCCCAGTTCCACCCCGAGTCCATCTAGACCTCCACACCAGCCATCAAATATTTATTGTGGATACATGAAAGCTGCACATGGAAATCAATGGGGCTCATTATATCTTACCTTGGCGTATATACAGTAAAATGCCTGAGGTTTTCATCCACATTTCATCACTTGAGCTGCAACATATATCTTTCTTTGTCGATTCCCATTAACTGTAAAGTTTAGAAGCAGTTATTCAATGAGCAGGACGATGCTTAGACTCCACTTTTAGTAGAGAGGATGTGTTTTAAAGCTGCTTTTATATGCGTTTTACATAAAATGATCAAGTTATTTGAGTTATAGGATTCATTACACCCTCACCCTCCTAAATTGCCGCTCTGCTGATTCTGTTCTCTGACCCCTCCACGATGTATGTGCACATTAACATCATTACAGTCCTTTTTCTGAGCCTTCAGATGTCCAAAAGGGAACTCAGGCCTTTGATCGGGTTGATTGTTTAACTTAGTAAAGGAGATACCCTCATTATCCTTTATTCACGTGATGCCAAAACAAATTTGATGAGCGCAGGATTAGGTTAAATGACATTGATATAATTGAATCAGTCGTTTTTACACAATGAATGATTGTTATTTTTGATCTTCCTTTCAATTCACCTGATTCACTTTCATTTTGTAGAAAGCTTTGCCTCTGTAACGTTTTTTCGTTGAAGTATCGGACATTTCCGTGGCTATATCTTGGATGGGCACTTGCGATCTGGCACCAGTTAGCTGCATTTTCATTAAGATTGTCGCCCAGAAGCATCCGCAACATGGCAAAATTAATAAAAAAAGAGACAGTACAGGCAGAGAGCAGATACAGACACCGCAAAACACTTAATACTTTGTATACGTTGCAATAGTTCCTAGGACAATTCGACTCATTGCGCCCTGTAGAAGCTCTTAACACAGTCATAAATGTCAAAGGAACAATAAGTCTATCAACATTAGCATGGTGTTGTTCTATTGTTGTCTCAGTTAAAACAACACTGATGGTTTGAGTGCGTGGGGAGCACTTTTGCAACATGATCGTTATTGAATTGCGTCAAGTCGATTAAGACAAAAACATTCAGATAGATGTTAAGAATAGGGAAAAGGCCACAGTGCTCATTGAGGATCCGATCCCAGGGAGCACTGAAGTGTCACTCCATGTGTTCACACTAGTGAGAAACCTGTGGTCTGTTCAGTGGAGGAATGCAGTAGCATTGCAGCACAAGTGTCCCCCGGAGGCCCCGAGAGGCCAATGAGACGAGGGGAGGGGACAAACAGAAGCTTCTTGATTAAAATGCAAATGACGGCGCTGCCTAAATCTCAATTTCCCCCTTCGCTCTGCTCTGTTTGCCTGTGGGAGACATGTGCTCCTGATGTGACTGTTTGTGTGTGTATTTTGGTGCTCTGTCTGTCTTTCATGACACAAACTAGTCCCCTTATACACACATTGTTTTACGCACACACAGAAAACACACAGGCGCAGCGCAGAGAAGCCCCTTCAAGCGTGCGGTCTAAAAATAAACATGTATCTTTTGTAAATTCATGCCATTACTCGCGCACACGCTCTCAGAAGGCTCCTCCAGGAGATGGTCAATATTTAATCTGCGTTCTGTGCTGTCAGCACGCTCTGCCTCACATCGCCTCGCTTCCACGTGCTGCTGATGCTCCGGTCAGCTATTATGAGAACGGAGAAAGTCACATTTCTCCTACTGGCTGTTCAATATTGTGAAAATGTCATCTGATGAGCTGAGACAGCTTGTATTTCCCCCCCAGTTGCAGAGCAAAGCAGCAGTGTAAGCACATTTTTAAATGCATCAGATTCCTGATGTAGGAATGATCATTAACTGGAATATGCGTCTGCAACCAAAGATAAAAACAATGAACATTGATTAAATGAGAAAATAGAAGTCTCTGCAGGCATTCAGCGAGTGTGTTAAACCTTTTATGCAGCGTTTAAATAACACATCTGTTGAGATCAGCATTATTAATGCTATTCTTTTTTACTGATTCAAAAATGAGTGCTTTTAATGGAGTCAAAGTTAATGACAGAATTTGAATGTGCAAGTTATATAAATGCCTTTGTGTTGCAGCATTTTAGTAGCCAGTCTTGCTTTATCCCTTCAAATACATTCACATTCACTCCCACACAGTAGGAATCCTGTAAATCCTTAATCTAGCTGTTATCCCTCCTTCTATGTTGTCTCTTTTTATCATAGGATCAATGACGAGGATTATCACAGAAGCTTGATGGGCAGCGTAGTTTCCCAGTTGGTCATTTGAAGTCCAGTTTACTTACCTGAACATTAAGTCTAATCCAATACAAACATCAGCATTAGTATTTGTTTTTGAGTTAACTTTATAGTAATCCAACATAATGTACTTTGTGCTTTCTGTTCCATATTAAGGGGCAACATTCTTAATTTGCAGTCTGCTCTAAGACCATCCATAGAAAAAAATTATAATTTAAAAGAAACTCGAGGCTAGATTTTTGGAAAGATGAGAAACACAGCTGCCCTGGCCTCTGTGGGCTGAAAGCTACACACCCAACATCCCAGCTAGGTGTGGTCAGGTGTGGTCCCTCGTAATGTGACCACAGCCTGCTGGTGATGTAGGGTGGTACCATGGTGCCACGCTACATCACTGCTGCACAGGCTGTGGACAAAGATGTTGCCACCACTAGTGGGCCTGTCAGCAAGGATTAAAACAACTAAACTCTTTAAAGTTGGAAGAGGAGAATACAAAAATGAAAAAGAAGTAATTATACAAGTTTAGTATACATCCAGCTGTTGTTTAAATCTAGTTTAAATCTGTAGCTTACCGTTCTTTTCTTTATAGCCACCATTACGTATACATTTTGCCACTTATCTGGTGAGATATCTGACATTTTTCTACTTTCATTTTTCCAAATATGATTCAATTTATGACAAAACATCTGCTAAACTGATGAAATACCCCTTCAACCTCAACTGTACTTGGTGCTAAGTGTTTAATGCTAACATGCTAAAGTAAGAGGGGACTATTGCTAACATGACAATTGTTAAACATCAACACGTTAACATTGACATCCTGAGTTAGCATGCTGCTGTTAGCTTGCGGCTGAAAGCTACGCCGTGCTAGCTAGGCTGTGGAGTTGTGGTCCTTTTACCATATCTATTTATAAATGGCATACGAAAGTTATATCCCTTTATGATGTATAGTATACTGTACGTAATTGGCAACGGATTAAATGCCCTTTTAACCTCAAATCTGTGATTATGTTATAGCGTCCAATTGGATCAGACTGATTGTGCATCTATGCTTTTAATATACACGGCATTATAGCTTAAGCTCCTGCAGCTACTACTCATTCCTTCAGTTTAATGTTGTATACTGTATGAGGAGCTAAACTAAGCAAAGCAGTGTGACCAATGTCTTATTCTTACTTCTGTACAGTACTTGTTATATTTATAGACCAACATGACAGCATGCAGACTGATGGGAGTAACGAAAGATGGGGCCTTGTTTTATATTCTAGCTAGAACATATCCTCAGGGGGATTATAATACATGTGGAGTCTTTTCATAGATGTGCTGCTCTTCTGGCATCAAAGTCCAAAGAACAAAACAAGGATGGAGATGGAATTTATAGTAAATACTTAACAGCAATTTCATCAAATCTCAGACTGTAAAACATCACAGAATGTAGCCTACCAGGAAATGAGACGAGTTGTTCCCTGACAGATGTAGCATCTCAGAATCCACGAGAGAAATATGCCATATAGACAGAAAGCCACTCATCTGGAAGTTATCTATCACAGGTCGACATCATTTCAGGCTTCATTATCTCGCTGGTAATGAATAATTGTATTCCCCCGCTGGGAAATCGATTTTTATTAGATCCTTATTGCGGGGATAAGAACATATTTGTAATCTGCTGCAGGATCTTCATGTGTGCTCGCATGTGCATGTGCATAAAGAAGCACCTTAACAACAGATGACTGCAGTGGAGCTGTGTCACATGGTTTGGTATCTACAGTCTGAAACTGCAGCATGACATCAGGATCCTTTTTCGTCCTGCGTCTTCTCTTTAAGCCATTTAGTTTCCTTGGGATGTACTCTCAGGCTCTCTCTGACTCTGTCATCCTCTCCATCACGCACTAACACCGAGTGACACAGTATGGTCCCCCTCTTTGCCAGCAGATGTCCAGTCAGGTTTTGTAAAACATAAAACCAGCTCCTCTCCAGTGTGTTCTGGTGGTGACAGTGGCTGTGTGGTCCTGATGGAGGGGGGACAGGAGGCGGGGGAGGGGGCACAAAGATGAAGATAAGGATGCGAAAGTCAATGTTCTTACTTTGACTTTCAACTAGGACATGGAAGCAGGCACAAACATTAAGTGTTCATTGACAAAGTCCTTTCCATGCTATATCCTGTTCTCCCGGTGAGTTAAAAAGCTAAATTAAACAATCACAGTTGTTTTTTTGTTTTTTTACCCTCCCTCAAGCTTAAAGTAAAACCAGTGTTATCAGCATGTAAAGGTGGATGGTTTACTACTCAGTGGTGGCTTGGCATTTCTTTGCTCGGTTATTGTTCTAAGTCCATTCTTGTAAATGTGTGTTGTAATTTAGAAAAGGACATTACTGCCCCCTTTTGGCAGATGACAGTATTACACATCTCATTATGTAGTCTGACATCAGCGATTCCCAGGCTGCCATTACCTCATTCATTCCTCTAGAACCTGGGCATTGATGATTATGCTGGTAAATGACAAAAGCTTTTGTCAGGCGATTAGTTTAGTTCATGCTATTCATGCAAATTCCTCAAACATTCTGCGGGTAATATGTGGGGTATTATTCAATAAACATTACTAGGTTGCACATGAGCATCGTCACTGATGTTTCAATAAAGCCGCATTTTTGAGGATTCTGCAGCAAATAAAAACAAAATCCTGTCACCCTCCTCACATCTTCACTCGGTTTTTTATTTGTCTCCTCTTGTCGTGTTTTTGAGGACTCGTATGGTGAGAAGAGAAGGAATAAAGATTTAGGATGCAGCAACAATACAAAGGCTTTACACATCCACATATTGTGAAAGCGTTACTGACCCTCTACGGTTTTCCCCTATGCTAATTATGTGTATATATCCTTTTTCATTTATCTAGTAAACAAACTATGTGTGTATTACCTTTTTGGATGCAATTATCCACGATGGATCATGTATGAGTTAAAAAGGCATCATGCTAATCTGTATGCTACTATCTGTTCAACATAATATTATTTAGTATTTCCATATTTCTCCTTTTAAAAATGTTGTTTCATTTATTTTTTTGGACTCTTGAACTGTAACAAGAACATTTTCCCTGAGCTGGCTCCATTAGTCTTGACTTATCTGTACTGATCACCAGTGTTGTGTGTTGTATCCACAGAACCGGCAGCTTCTGAGGGACAGCTTCATGGTGGAGCTGGTGGAGGGAGCGAGGAAACTGCGGCACGTCTTCCTCTTCTCCGATCTGCTGCTCTGCGCCAAGCTGAAGAAACAGATCGGAGGGTAAGAGACTGGGAAAAACACTCAAATATATGAATTACCAGCACTGCAGTAGGACATGTTATGTCATTATAGTTTAACATTTATTTCTTAGGTTAAAATCCCTGTATTATATCAATAAATGTCCATCTTCTTTTTCTTCTTCTAATTACCCGAGTTGCAGAAGGTTTTAGAAAATATTCGGAAAGTTTAATAGAAACCTCTAGATAGATAAGTTATCTATCCTCTAAATATTGAGTTAGTATCAGTTATTTTAAGCCTCATTTATTTTATTTCCAACATAAAACCAGCACTTTAATTTAGAGTTTGCAAAAGAATACTTTTTTTTGTTGTTAACGTTTCCCATTTCCACTGTCCCCTTCCTCCCTATTCATCCACACCTTTGAACCCTCTTTATCAATCCACTCATCTCATACCTCCATCCCCTCTCTTTTCTCCTCCCCTGCAGTAAAAACCAACAGTATGACAGTAAGTGGTACATCCCCCTGACCGAGCTGACCTTCCAGGGTCCCGAGGAAGCGGAGCCCCTCACCATCCCACAGGTCCCCGACGAAGAGCTGGACGCCATGAGGGTCAAGATCTCACACCTCCGCAGTGAGGTTCAGAGAGAGAAGGTAGACACCGTTTCATAAAAATATGTTCAGGAACTATAAAATCTACTTTCCAGTTGGGAGAAATAATTGAATGACCTATTTGGAAACACATTTAAATGTATGATGATCAGGTTTCCGCACACAAACATACACAAGGTCACACAGGTCACCTCTGTGTTTTCAGAGAGCCAACAAAGGCTCAAAAGTCATCGACCGCCTCAGGAAGAAGCTGTTCGAGCAGGAGTCCATGCTCCTCCTAATGGCTCCCAGCCTGCCGATTAGAGTCTACAACAAGAACGGCAAGGTAACGACACCTTCATCATCGTTTCTTACCCCCATCCCCCTCCTCCTACTGCTCCCCTGTACGCTCCTCTTCTCTATATTCTTTCCCTCCTTCTCATTTTACTCTATTTTGGTCACCATCTGCTTTATTCCCAGCACAATATCCATTACATTGGATTTTATTTAGCCATGGGTTTTATCCAAATTGAATTACAGTAAGTGCATTCATAGTCTTTCTGCTATCCTAATATCATGCAATGTAATGTAATATAAAAGAAACAAATAAGATGTGTGCATGATTTCCATTCTCATTGTTAAAGGTGGGGTAGGTAAGTTTGAGAAACCGGCTCGAGATACACTTTTTGTTATATTCCATGGAATGCTCTTAACATCCCGATAGCAATGAATATCTTAAGTGCTTTGACAAAAAATCCATAAAAAAATGTTATCTGTGGAAGCCGTAATACTAAATAATACGTAATAATAAAAGCACGACCAATCATTTTAGCCGGCCCGGCTAAAATAACTGGATGGCCTACCTGCCTGTCAGCCTTCCATCTGGGCACAAACTTATCTCGTGCCCTCATTGGTCATGTGCACGTTCGTGTGTGTTGGAGGAGGGGCTCTATAAGGAAGTGGCAGATTTTCTCCGGTTGTGTATTTTCAAATTCTAGCGATCTCGAGCCGGTTTCTCAAACTTACCTACCCCACCTTTAAAACATGTTGTCAGTATGAAGCATTCTCTGTATAAAATGTTATTAGGTTGAAGTTAGCTGGAAAAGAATGCATGACATTTAATTGTAATATTGTATCTGTGCACAGATGACGTGTGTCTGCCTCTCCTCATATCAACTGAGGATGAAATAACAGTATGTTTGTGTTTATATTCAGAGTTACAGTTTCCTGATTTCGTCCGACTATGAGCGCGCAGAGTGGAGGGAGATAATGAAGGAACAGCAGAAGAAATGTAAGTGTCCTAGAAATGTAATTTTATTTTATTTGTGAAGAACATCCTCGGCACTTGAAAGATATAAAGCTAAATGTGGCCAGTACTAATCCGAGAGCCTTGAGATTAAGAAAGCAAGACCGATATACAGTGTCATTTACAAGCAGCATTTACTGTCTTCCCTTAAGGTTTGAAAACGTCCTCCTTGACCTCCATGGAGCTGCAAATGCTGACCAGCTCCTGTGTCAAACTGCAGACTGTACACCACATTCCACTTAGCATCAATAAAGAAGGTAAGGCACTCGTTTTTACATTTGTTTTTACACTCAAACGTGGTTTACTGAAAAGAAAAGTTGCACGGATCATTCTGTATTTCTTAATAATGTCCTGGAAAAAAATGATTGTGATTAATAACTGTGACTTAGATGAGGATAGAAAAGTAGGCAGACGTTTAGGCAGCGTGTGTTTTCTGTCCAGGGCAGTTTTATCCCTTCCTTCCGTGTCTGATTTGGTTCCAAAACAAACACAGATCTGCATGCTTTTCTAATCCCCTCTCGCTGACTGTTTTTCCTTCTCTCTCTGCCTTCTGACTGTTTTTCCAGAGGATGAATCCCCCGGTCTCCACGGGTTCCTGAATGTAATCGTCCACTCTGCCTCCGGCCTCAAACAGAGCTTGAGTGAGTCATTCCCCTTTAGCCTTCATGCACACAGCCGAAAATACAGATAATCAGACAAAATGAGGAAACTCTACAGACCACTGAGAAGTAGAACACGGTGTTTTATTTTTGAAATTCACATCTTCTTAAACATTGTGACAAATTGAATGTGATTCATTCCTATTTGACTTCCTGTGGATAACGTCATGTAGTCAGTTCTGCTACTGTAATACATTCACAAACTACAGTACACTTCTTTAGTTTTATAAATGTCCTCTGTTTTTAAACCTCTCTTTCAGATCTCTACTGCACAATGGAGGTGGATTCCTTTGGCTTCTTTTCAAATAAAGCCAAGACGAGAGTGTATCGATACACTACTGAACCCAAATGGAACGAGGTATGAGAATAGCACAGTATAAATACGTGACTCTACAGATTTACTGTTTGAATAAAATGTCCCTGCAAAGTCTCTCTAGATGATATAAGGACCAATTATATGTCGATGGTGAAATAATAAATACTTAGTTAATCAATCTTGAACTTGTTATCTCTGCATTATACAAAGTGGAAAAGCAAAAAGGGATTACATTGCAAACAGACAAAAAAAATAGACAAAATCAGTATGCCCAATGAGTTGTTCACATAAAAAACAGATAATTGACTTTTTTCATATTTCATATGGGAACACTTATCTCAGTATTTGTGGAGCATCCATTTGAACAAAATCGAAATCTATTTTTATCTTACCCAACATCTTGCTACAAAGCATTGCGTAGTCACAACATAAATGTACAGTAGAAGACAAAGTGGAAATAGTTTTCTATACTGTTTAGACCAGCGGTTTTCAAAGTGTGAGGCGCGCCTCCCCTGGGGGGCGCCAGAGAGCTTCAGGGGAGGCGCAGCGTGAGAAAAAAATAAAGAGAAACAGTGAAATCTAGCTCGTTAACTTCAGCTAACTTTATGCGAGCGGCAACATGGATCGATTTTTAGTGAAGTTATCTAAAGTGAGAGAGGAGACAGCGTCTGGCCACCCCAGTTGGCAGCTTTGTTTTGAAATAAAAGTTGTGGCTCATCGGACATTTATCAGAGAAAATCCCTGATGTCCGAGGGCAAGTGAATGCAGCACAAGACGCGAGCCTTGTAACCCTGGCGCGAGCGAGGAAATGTGATTGGCGGCGATTTCAATTGAACGGGCGGCAGAAAACGAGAAGCATTCGGACCCAAGTACACGGAAGGAATAAGGTATTTGCGGTCTACAATGACAGAGAAGAGACTGTCAAGTGTGGCTGTACTCAGCATTGAATCAAAACGCACTAAAGCTTTGGATCTTAATATTTTGTGAGGCGTTTTGCTGAACAAGATGGTAATCGCCGCATTCAGCTGTAATAGGCATGCCAACTTGATGCTCTGCTCACGGATGACTCGAGCATAAAAAACTGTTAAGATGATGACCTTACGTGTGTACATATATTTTTTTCTTTGTGGGGTCTGCCCTGAGAAAGTCAAATAAGATGGTGTGTACAACTACACTGCCCAGACAAAAATAAGTAACCACTTTGATTTAACTAGGCCAGTAGGTAAGGGCATTCCACTGGTTAATAATACCCCTGCATTATAGCAACAACAATAATAATAATAATAATAGCAATAATAATTGTGAGGGGGGGCGCGACTGTTCTTATGTTCTCTGAGGGGAGGCTCACCTTCCCACACTTTGAAAACCCCTGGTTTAGACAAACCATCTGACATATCTGCTTTTCTTTTTCTAGAATAATACGCTGTCTAGTTTCCACAGTCAAATACAAGATCTCAACTGAGCACACTTTTAGATCAATTATAACATAAATCTCTGTCATATCAAGTTTTATCTTTGTAAAATTCCGCCCACTGCCTTTGTATCTTTTGCAAGTTTAAAGTCCTTTTAAATATAAAAATGTAATTGGTATCTGCACAGATTGGTTTGATGTCGTATATATTTTATTTGAAAAACGATTCAACATGTTTGTTTCTTTTCAACCAACATACAGTAGACATACATACATATATAAGCACATGTGCTGCTTGTCACGTATGAGACATCTGGTCTTGTAATCAGTTAGCTGTACATCTCTAAGTAACCCCTGCAAACATATAGCAAAAACATACATGTATGCATACTGCATATGTATGCAAGCAAGCACAAATACATGCACGTGAATGCATTAATGACACAGCTGGATGTTAGAGGTCAACCTAACAGAGGAGAGCTTTGAGACACAATCAGTGGATCTGTTCATCTGCGGCACAGCTTTTTTTCCATCGTGGACCCAAAGACTCTTTGCTCAGCAAAGTGGAAATAATATCAGCTAATGAGGGGCTGCTGGTGATGACTCACATCTGTCCAAATGTTAAGTGAACCAACACAGTGTGGGCCCCAGAACGATGCTCAAAACATATGCAGAGCGCTCCCGAACATAATTACAGGGAAGTATGGTCAGCTGTGTGGTGAGATGTATGAACTAAATGGCAGGGTGTATGCTGATTTTTCTTTTGGACGTGTATTGCCATTCTTGTCTTTATTCCCCTCTCCATTGGTGATATTGCACTTAATTCTTGGACATTTCTGCACCATATCTTTGCAAATACTTTTGTTCTTCTTCCCCTTAGGAGTTTGAGATTGACCTGGAGGGCTCTCAGACCCTGAGGCTGCTCTGCTACGAGAAGTGTTACAACAAGACCAAGCAGAACAAAGAGGATGGAGAGAGCACAGACCGCATCATGGGGAAAGGACAGATCCAAGTATGTCATGACGTCACCCCCCCCCCCCCCCCCACACACACACACACACACACACACACACCTCAGCCCCATCCTTTCAGCAGACCCACCATGACTCATTACTGATAGGCTGTTATGTCACCACGGCTGCCACAAAGCATGAAATCCATATTATTGCTCAATGAACAACTTCAACTGAGCATGATGTTAAAAGAATCAGCTGATTAGATGAATAACCCATAATGTAATGGATGGGTGGTGATTGGTTAAATTGAGAGAAATATCTCAGGATGTGCACAATGACGCAAAGCTCTTTTTGTCATTGATATGTTATCATGCTGCCAGGTTCAGATGTTTAAAATATCACTTACTCACAGGCCATGGATTACACTGGTTATTGAGTAACATATTGCATCAATACTATAGGCTGCTTTGTCCGTAGAAAGTCCCAAAATCCTGATGAAAAAAACCCACAGACGCTGTCCTCAGCAAACTAGCTGATCGCTGGTTGATAGCACATCTAGATAGCAGGTGATTGTGTTGCCAAGACGACGGCAGACTGCAGGACAATGCCAAGTGTCACTCAGGAGATCAACAAAGAGAAAGCAAAGATACAGAAAGATCTAGTCATAAACTAGAGTCTCTTCTTTGTTGCACTGCCTCGTGTGTGTGTGTGTGTGTGTGTGTGTGTGTGTGTGTGTGTGTGTGTGTGTGTGTGTGTGTGTGTGTGTGTGTGTGTGTGTGTGTGTGTGTGTGTGTGTGTGTGTGTGTGTGTGTGTGTGTGTGTGTGTGTGTGTGTGTGTGTGTGTGTGTGTGTGTGTGTGTGTGTGTGTGTGTGTGTGTGTGTGTGTGATCATACACTGCTGACACCCACTAAAACAGACAAAAGGATATTTTTTGGTGTCTGGAAGATGTGTAATTACTTATTTTGGGTTTTCTGTCGACAATTCGTAGAAACAAAAAGCTAGGATAATGGCAAAATACAAAACCATTAGTACAGCAGTTCACTTTGTTATCAGACAATTTAAATGTAGTAAGCAAAGAACAACATATGTACACATTAGCTTTGTGTCATTATTCTGAGGAGCCTTTGTCCTGAAACTCAAATTGCAGCAGATGTGTTCACTATACTAAACTTGTTTTATACCAAACTGTGAGTTACAGTCTCATGCTCCCCCTAGTGGCTCCTCTGGTAATCCTGTGGCATGATTGCTTTCTGAAAGATGATGTCATTCGAAACCAAACACACAGGGTGGTGAGAAAGTTATTCAGCAGGATTTTCATAAATCCAGGGCAGGAAAAATACCGCAGTAGAAGAACATCATGTCATAAACACATAGCACATGCATATCCAGGTGATATTAAACTATCATTTATCTGCCCTAAATGCGTTTCTCACACATGTAAAGATAGTAGATTTTGAATGGTAATTTCTCTTTATTCTCTGTCATCGTCTGTTATTTTTGCTCTTTATTGCCTTATGCAGCTGTGACTCTATTTCTGTTCACCCTTTTGGAAGCTCATTTGCTATCAAACAACATTTAATTTCATTACTGTATGCAAATCCATCCCACATATACAGAGACATGTTCAGTCCTATATAGTTATAAAGATTTATATTGTCTCGTCATTTAAAATTGAAATCCATTTTGGTCCAAGATGTACATAGTTACACAAATACAGAAGAAGAGAAGGGGAACATTGTTCTAGTTGTTCACTACTAGAAATGTACTAACAGAAAATACATTTATTATTTTACGCTTGTCCAGCTCTTTTCTTTCTCCAGTATTCAAATTCATCTGAAATTACATTATATATAAACAGTATGTATATTATACATTCGGGAAATATTTAGAACTTGCACCGATCAGCAACTAGATAACATGAATATTTGTATGCATGTTTCCATTTTTATTCACTGTAATAATTTTTACATAGCGTTTCTAAACTACCTTAACCCACACTTTATGTCAGTGTTTGCATAAAGTCTTAACACAGCGTAGGGCCTTCTAAATCTTCGATCGATAAAGTCTATAGAAGATACAGTACATTCATGTTTGTGGGGCAAAAACTTCAGCTTTTATAAAATGTTATCAGTAAGCAAAGAAATGTTTGCCGTTATTCTGTGTCTGTAAACGGTTCTCACAAAATGGCACATTCAGCAGTGGAAAATTCAGTTATGAGAAACATGATCCAGCCTTGCATGCAACCAGATGGGGCTTAGCCCAGGTAACATACAGTATACTGTGTGTGTGTGTGTGTGTGTGTGTGTGTGTGTGTGTGTGTGTGTGTGTGTGTGTGTGTGTGTGTGTGTGTGTGTGTGTGTGTGTGTGTGTGTGTGTGTGTGTGTGTGTGTGTGTGTGTGTGTGTGTGTGTGTGTGTGTGTGTGTGTGTGTGTGTGTGTGTGTGTGTCAGATGTGTGTAAGTACTCAGATATGAAGAGACATGGCATATGGGGTCCATACAATCAAAGTGTGCTTGGGTGGGAATTTACACTCTTCACACGGAAGACATTTGTTTATCCTATTTATGAAAATACATTGAAGGGAAGATACAACATTCCACTGGAGAGAAGATTTGTACTGCTGTTGCAAATAAACCTTAAGGCACTGCTGTTGAGCCTAATTGAGCAGTACATAAGTAGGACAACAGTATGTAAGATCAAATAATATTCACAATAAAAGTAAACGTGAAAAATGCATGTAGCTGTGGTTCATGAGAAACTAGTGATCCTTGACCTATAACCCTCTTTGGCTTAATGACTACATTTCAAACACACACATGAGTTATTCATATATTTTTAGTAAAAAAAAAAGTAAATTCCAACAGATGGGTAGTTATTTATTTAATCATGGGAAAACCAATTGAGATCAAGACTCTCTTTCACAATGGTACCGTATATACATAATTTAAAAAAAGTGCTAAAATGTACATTATTTTACAAAACGTGGATACAAGACCAACTCCAAATGTTAAACCATTTCACATTTCACACCAGTTGAGTAAAAAAGGACAAGTTCTTTATATATAATATTATGTATTGTACTTGATCTGAAGGAAGTACATCTCAATATTAAAATCAAGTATTAACTATAGCTTTCAAATAAGTAGACTTAAAAAGTGAATGTTGCCTCTAAAATGTAGTAGAAAAGAAGTAGAAACTGTAAATTGTCCTTAAGTCTATCACTTGATTTAATGTACATACTGTTTGTGTACATGGGTACTTCCAACCACCGCAAATGGTAAACCAAACTAATCACCCAGCATGATCTGACAGGCTGGTAATGATTATCTCAAATAATCAATTGTGTGGATGTGCTGAAACCTATCTTCAAATGAAATATCATTAATGCTTATTTGTATTGTCCTTTTGTGTCGCCTCCTCCAGCTTGACCCTGCATCTCTCCAAGGCAAAGACTGGCAGAGAACAGTTATTCAAATGAACGGGGTGAGTACGGCACATTGTTGTAATTGCTTTCCTGTATTTAAACATCAATTGTTCTCAGGTGTAACTCTAGCTCCAATACATTTATGTTAAAGTAGCACACAGCAGTAAGGACGTGGTTCAGCAGTTCATTTGAGTCTACATCTGGTTTTAACATGGCAGGATTTCCTCAAGATCAGCAAAAGCCGTTGCAGATGGCTCGTAACAACCTGTTTTAACGTTGAGCCGTTTTTTCCTGTGTCAGATCGAGGTTAAACTTTCAATAAAGTTCACCACCCGAGAGTTCAGCCTGCAGAGGATGCCCTCACGGAAACCAATGGGCGTGTTCGGAGTCAAGATCTCCACCGTGACCAAGTGAGTTCACATTTCAACACGCAGGTCTCTACTGTTTAACTTCAGTTCTACTTTTTCTTGCCTGTTTTTTGGGAGGCCTGATCAAGTATTACTTGGCAGAACATAACAGACAATATCTCAACATATGAGATATTTGAGATGTGAGAATGAGTAGATTTTTTGCATTTTAAAAGCAGTGGCTTTAACGGATAACAAAAAACTGTCTGAAACTAGAGGCACTGAAACTAAGCTAATAAAATCTTTCAATTACATAAATCAAGCAAATTAAGATAATAAATCGTAAGTTAGGAGTCGAGCTGAACTGTGATGTGAGATTGAAGAGCATGCAAAAAAACACCTATTATACGAAAATACAAAACGATGTATTTCTAAATAATTTATTTGGTCAAATTATGTTAGGAGGAAAATGAGGCAATGCAAGTTTATTTATAAAGCACCGTTCAACACAAGGCAATTCAAAGTGCTCTACAAAAATGAAAACATTAAAATAGTAGAGCAGAAACACATTTTAAAATGGCATGTAAAAACAGTCATTAAAGAGATTCAAAGAGAATCAAATAAAGATAAAACAAGCTAATATATAAAAACATGAATAAAATGTACAGTGCAGTTTAAGATATGAATAGTTATTAAAAGCACCTGCAAAAAGAAAAGTCTTCAGCCTGGGTTTAAAAGTAGTTGCAGCGGACCTGAAGGATTCTGGGAGTTTGTTCCAGATAAATGGAGCTATTAGAAGCCTTAGTGTGTTGTGTGTTTGTGGCCATTGTTGTCCCTGATAAACATAAATTAAGGGTAATAGGATTAGAGATAATGAGTAGGCTAACTAGATTTAGCAGCAAAAACAAATCAGTGCTGCAGAGCTACAAGCAGTTATTCTAACAATGCAAAACACAGCATTCAGTTTTTAGCCTTCTTCATTTCCTTTTGTCTCGATAAACAAAACATTCGTTGTTTTCTGTATTCCTGCTGGTAAGAGTTTTACCAATATAAACTGCGTGTTGATCAATAATGTTTTTCTCCATCCAGGCGAGAGCGCTCCAAGGTGCCCTACATCGTCCGGCAGTGTCTAGAGGAGATTGAGAGGAGGGGGATGGAGGAGGTGGGCATCTACCGAGTATCAGGAGTGGCCACTGACATTCAGGCCTTGAAGACCGCATTTGACACCAGTGAGTATTCCCTTCATCTACGAAGTGTATGCTTTGTGTAAATTATGTAATGAGGTCAAATGTGTACTGTTGTCCCTTGTAAACCAATCAATTTGACCATATTTCTGGTCAAATCCAATGTGTTATGTGAAATTAACGAAAGACATAGGACTAAAACTTAACTAAAATCTTCATAGAAGCCAAATAAATTGGATGACAAAAAGATTATATTTAGTTTTAATATGTACAATATTAAATATGCCAAAGATATAGATTATCTTAACATCCCATTTTGTGAGATTAATACTGTAACTGCCATGCATTTCTAGAAAACATTCTGAGATTGATCCTCACCTGAAGGAAAGTTTTTTTAAATCTTTCTATTTCTGTTGATCAGGTGATCATTATTGTAGCTGTGTGGCTAACTGTGAGCTAACATGAAGTGGTTTCTCTGATGTGAAATGATTAGCCAGATTTATGAACTTAACATGTTTGTGTCAGCTAATCGTATATGTATCTTGCATGGATTGTGTGTACCGGTATATTGCGATTTCAGAATGAGCGGATGGCAACTGCTGCTTGTTTTGAGGTGTTTTCCAATCTTACCGTGTCCCTTTTGGACCCTCCTGTCTTCATGTCGTTCTTGCTTCTCTCCTGCAGATCACAAAGACGTGTCAGTGATGATGAGTGAGATGGATGTCAACGCCATCGCTGGGACCTTGAAGCTTTACTTCAGAGAGCTGCCAGAGCCGCTCTTCACTGATGATCTCTACCCTAACTTTGCAGGCGGCATTAGTAAGTTCCAGGGATATTGACATTCTCAAATATATCTAATCACTGGTGATTGCAGCTTGATTGGCAGGATGTGAAACAATCTAATTATTTTTCTCTCTGTGCAGACCTGTCTGATAGTGTTGCCAAAGAGAGCTGCATGTTGAACTTACTGCTGTCACTGCCGGAGCCCAACCTGGTCACATTCCTATTCCTGTTGGATCACATGAAGAGGTAAGGAAACACACACATCCTTTAAAATAATGTAGACAGGAATGCTAACATATGCAGAGAAAACAACAAGCCATAAAAATACAGGTGGTGCATTCAACTGTGATCACTGAGAAATATACATCAGAATCAGATTAATTCATCTGTACCCTGGTGGAAATGAGGTTTTTTGACAGTTGCTCCATTTAAGATTAAAAATAAATAAAATAGAATACACATATGAATATAAACATAACTTAAAGTAAAAATGTGCAATAAGAAGAGAATATTTGTTATATTAGCATATGAAGTTAGGAAAAAATGTGCAAATTGAACTACAATATATAACAAAATATGTCAAAATGTTATACTACAATGTATATATATATATATAATGGTGGGAGAAGTACTCAGATCTTGTCCTTAAGTAAAAGTAGAAGTAACATAGCGTAGGAATACTATTAAGTAAAAGTCCTGCATTCTAAATGTAACTCAAGTAAAAGTACAAAAGTATTTGCATCAACATATACTTAAAGTACCAAAAGTACATACTAGCACATCACATGCATGATCTCTTGTCATCTCTCTATGCCACTAACAGACGTCATGTCTTCTTCTCCTCAGGGTGGCAGATAAGGAGAGCATCAACAAGATGTCTCTCCACAACTTGGCGACAGTTTTCGGGCCGACCTTGCTGAGGCCTTCCGAGAAGGACAGCAAGATCCCCGCAAACCCCACCCAGCCAATCAGCATGGGGGACAGCTGGTCCCTGGAAGTCATGGCGCAGGTTGGTCTCGTTCTGGCATTTCATCTTTGATTTTCAGGGTTCTAACTAAAAGCTCGTCCATCTAAAATCTCATATGTCTCTTCTGTTTTGTATTCGCTCGCAGGTCCAGGTGTTGCTGTACTTCCTCCAGCTGGAGACGATCCCCACCCCGGACAGTAAAAGACAGAGCATCCTCTTCTCCACTGAAGTATAGAGCTAATATTGACTCTGCCACCCTGATTCTTTGACCATGGAGGAGAGAAACGAGACGGACCGTGGCTCAAAGTGAGCCTATAGTAGGATGTTTTTTAATTGACTGACCAGACTCTTGCAGATGGAAAAGATTGTCTCTGGTGATGCCTGCCCTCCTCAAACACAAGAGGGCGCCATTGGACCTCCGAACCTCTGAGGATGCGAGGGCCTTGGTGTTCATATCTCTCATTACATGATATTTAGTAAGATTCCTTCATTGACTACATTCACCATCTACATTTCTCCACCACGCTTTTTGTTGGTCTTTACAGCTTTAACGCAATTGTGGTTCAAAAATCAAGATCGATGTCAGTCCATAAGAGAACAAAACACGTCTTTCCTGATCCTTGAATTAGTTTGCCATCAAATCTGAATTTCCATGTAAGTTTGTGTTTGCGTTGTTCTCTATCTGTGTTTATTTTGGACAATCATCTACTCAAGACTTTTCATTGATCCATCTCAAACATTGCTTCATTTCCTGATGAGGTCAATCCTAACTGTGTCTTACATCATCTCAGCCCATTGTTTCTGAGAAAGACAAGAGAAGACATTTATAGGAGTTGAAAATGAACGGCACGATACTGGCTTTCGTTCTTTGGGTGAGGAAGCCAACACCTGTATGTTTTAGTGTTTACAACGTAAACAAACCCAGATGGGAGTCAGAGACAAATGCTACAGCTTGAAGAAGAACAAAAAAAGGAACCTGATGATTAGTAATACACTGCAATCTGACTGCCTGCGGTTTTCACGACCATAAAAGCAAAATGTCCTCTATTTGTGTTGTTTGTGTCTCAAGGTAGTCTTCAGCTTGAATACCGAGGAAGCAATATATTTTCTAACATAGGAAGTGTCTGTGTTCATATCGTTGCTGACGAAAAGTCCTTCTTACTGTAACAGAGGACATCTTGCCAAAAGTAATATGTTTTTTGTTTGTTTCTAGACAAAAAAGGAGGCGGTTGTATTTACAGATACAGTATGTACATAATCTTAAATATTTCTTTCTTTTTGTTTAACAGTATAATCATTGATGCTATTATTGTAATTTATTTTGGGGGGGAAGGGGTCGGTTTGTTTTTCTATGTGAGCTCTTTTTCTGTTTTGATTCTGAAAGTGGTAGGTCTTAGCCTTGACTTTGAGTCTTGCAGTAAATAAGCAGGATTTAGCCTTGTTCTTATAGAAACTACTCAGCTGTTCTGTCCAGCCTCTTGATTATTCATTTAGATATTATTATTGAAGGTAACACACACATTGTAGTTACATACTGTATGCTGCTGTGGAAAAGGCACAAGCTCTTTAACGGCTGGGTGTTCCTCGGCAAAAAAACTTCTCGCATCCAGAGACCGTCGCCTGTCTAGTGTAGACAATATGCAATGTCATAATAGAGCACACACACTCACACACATATGACATTGTCTCATTTTGTACCATTTAATCATTGGCTGCAGAAGTGCACTCACGCAATGTTAGAAACTACTGTATTACAATTTAAGTGACCTGAGCACTCTGCATTTATGTCCAATGAAGAGCATATCTGTTGGTTTTTATGAAGGAATATTATTTTTGTTTCATCTTCTCCTGAACGGCGAAATGTCCTTATAATCCTTTGTCCCTTTCAATGTTCTTCATACGGTTAAGCATGAAGGTGTCCAACTCGATGGCCATTTTAAAAGAAAGCTCTTAAGATGTGTTTTTGATTCTAAAAAGTACATATTTCTCATTTTGATTTGAGTTTCCTAGATTTAACATGCAGGCATGTTTTATTGTTTTGTTTTTTATTTTTGTGTTATTGCTGTCTTTTTCACAGTTGTGTCATCATGTGGGATGTTTGTAACTCGTGAGTATCTGGTTTACATTATCGCAGCATATCCTTCTCATGCCAAGGGTAAATATCACGGTTGTTCCTCTCGAATATCTTAGATATAAAACTATAACCATTTGAACAGTTAACTGGATCTGATAAGGGCTTGTGTCCATGTTTGAGATGACATAGGGGAGTCAATGTTATTGATAACACATTTTAAAGTGGACCTATCATGCTATATTTGAATAATATATTGTAGGGCCATACCTATATAAAACATGTCTGTGAAGTTTTTTATTCAAAATACCAAACAGATCATGCATTTTAGCCATGCCTCATTTCGCTCTATTTGCTGTATTCCAGCACTGTTTTTGCAAGGGCTGATTCTGTGGCAAATGAGCTGCAGCTGACCACGCCGCCCTGCAAAGGAGGGGGGCGAGGCACGAGCGTCATATTACCATGCTGTTACCATGCCACGGCAACCTCTCATTCCCCTGTAGGCAGAGCGTCACCGCCCACTATTCCGGGCTGACGTCGGGTCGGATGGAATCTGTATCCGCTCGTTGTAGCCCCGTTTTTAAAAGATTTGGCTACGGAGGAAAAGAGAGGGTTGTATTTTCTGACACTTGGTGAGTTCCCTGGAACACCGGGGACACATATTCATGTATAAAAGACGTACAAAAGTGCATTTTGCATGATAGGTCCACTTTAAGTTAACATAAATGTCTTTGGACTTTTTAAGGCAAGAGAAGTCATTCTCAGATACATATCAACTCTCTAAATCTTAAGTCACTCGATAAATATACATAAAACATCATTATATCAACCCAATTATGTTAAGCTTTTATTCTGAAAGTCAAGGTTCAAGGTTCAAGTCTTCATGCCTTCAGTCCCACTTTTGATGTACTTCCACAAGTTTTGGCCCACTGTAGCATGCCCACATTGTTTCATCATCTATATGTCAGGATGTGAGACACCGGGTGAATCCACCACTCATTCATTCGTCTGTCACCCTTTAAAACAAGTCCCGATTGCCTACACTCTACCCTATCGTGCCTCGACACTTTTGTTTTTTTGTTAAGCGCCTGTGGTACTCTGAAACGTTGTTCAGTCTCCTGTTGCCTTTGCTGAGGACAGCCACACACCTTCCATCTCTTAAAGACTAAGACAGGACCTTAACCTTAAGCACGGTCTTAGCTCATACTGTACATGCTCTACTGTCACATTCATCGTACTGTGATGCTGTAATTTAAAAAAGTCAGTCTTAAAACATTTTCGTCCTTGTTTTGGCTCTTAAACTTTCAGCTCCTTTTAATGCCTTTTAATCTAATTTATTTATGTTTTGTCCCTGTTTGGTATAAGAAGGTCTCCTAGTTCTATTTATTTATGATATAATATCATCTGAAACTATATTAATGTATATGGTGTGCTTTCTTTGGGAAAACGTATGTCTTATTTTACTGTTTGTTGATATTTTGTCCCAGAATCACAACCCCTCCAAACACCTACGAAAGCCCATTTCTCATCTCTGTAGTTTGACGTGTTGTACAACTTGTTGTACAGACTGGCCACTGTGAGTGTTTAGCTATTTGATTAAATAACTGAATAGCAGATGCAGGTTCTTGTCAATTGAAAAAAGGTAGATTCACAGAATTCAAACTTCTCTCATTTTCCACGAAGTTGTATAATATGTATTATACAAGAGAGTACATTATCTGGTTTCCGTTATTATTTATTTTGGCGTCCGCTGACGTATGATCGTCAAGAGTTGAGCCGGTACGCCTCTCGTCTCTTTGAAAAGACAAACTGTCAGTGTATGGTAGAGGAGATAAGAGTCTTATATTGCTCTAAAATCTGCATTGTTTTTGGTCTGTTGATTGTCAGTGTAACTGCATGTACCCTCCATAACCTCAGTCCCTCTGTACATGAAAAAGTAAATACAACAAAAAAGGTTTAATTTATCTGTTGAATAGCCTGAAGATGTGGAACATATTGCTCTATATGAAAGTTCTCCATTTATTGTATATGGTAATTATCACATTCCCATAATACTGTCAAATGACCCTCTGCTGCCACTTCTACGCCACCAGACTTACATTAAGTTAGACTCCCTGACTCTTTGGAAATATACCAGTTTTGATTTTATTTGGCACACAATGTTAAGCTGAGAATGAAACTTGCTGACCAACCACAAACACTTTCTCTTTACCTTCTGCGATCTTTGAACTCTTGTTCCTCTTGTTCAATATTCAGTGTTCTGCTTGTAGAACTGTAAAAAGGAATACTGTATTCTGAGGGCAAACATGTTTGGAAGGCATTTGCTGCCTATGTTTGTACACAAAAATGTTAAATAAAATCTCCTTGTATCTACATAGAATGATTTTTGGTTTTCGTTTTTTAAACTTCTGATTCATTCTGCAGCCTGGTCGCTTTTCAGGTGGAAATGATTGCACTGAACAACATGACAAAGATTATGACATGGTAGACGAAAACAGCATGAAACAATAAAATGTTTACAGGTTAGTTTAATTCTTCCTGATGTTACCACTAGACATGTGTATCAGCAGGACACCTATTCTGGGTTTTTAAATCTTCTATAAAACATCTGAGCTTTCCATTAGATAATCGTATTTAGAAGTGAATCATGGATCTGACTGATGAGCAGTAAAACTACTAATGCAAGGCTAAAGAAATGGGTCTTTACAAATTAATAAGTATGTAAAGAGTTGACTGTTCCATTTAAATGTGAGTCAGATTAGGTTGATAGTATTAATGGCAATGTTATTTCAGAGAGGGATGAAGACAAGCAAAGAGAGCAACTAATAAATATATAAAAGCATAAATTATATTCAATCTTAACTTCTTAACTTGAATTATGAAATAGCTGTTAGGAAATCCAACAGGCCACTTGTGTCATCAAACGTGGCAGAGGTTTTACATTACATTGCAAATAAAAATAAAGTTTAAAGGTCTCTGAATACATAATTTACAATGTATTAAGGCAAATAACCATGAAGCATTCAAACAATACAATCCTCACATTTGTCTGTGTATTTGACTTTAACGCACAGCCTCATTTACAACAAACCAAAAATGGGCGTGGTTTTGAGGGTGTGCACGTGGACTCAGAATTGGCTTTCTCCTGGGGTTTCTTTCGCGTTTTGTAACACATGTTTAATGTGAAACTTATCATAGAAAAATGTTTGTACTTTTATTCCACCTATTTTGACGGTATCTTATTTTTATTTAATTTCCTCGGCCTCTTTCACTTTCCAGCCGTTCATACGTCACTATTCACCACAAGACACCCTCCTCAACACACCCACAGATACACACCGATACACACACACACACGCGCGCGCGCAGGAGAGAGAAAGAGGCAAGCGCTTCTATTGTATTGCAGCGTGTGTGCGGCTCACCTTCAGAACTTCCCCTGAACCACCGAACATCAGCAGCAGTCACATATCACAGGATTTACAACGTATTCATTTTTCATTCCGTGTCTGTCACTTTCCATTTAAGTTTCTGGGGTAAAGGTATCCGCCTATTGTGTTCTTATACACGTTGATTAGGAGGAAAGACTTCTTATTTCCACTCTTAAAGGTAAGAAATGTTTTCTGCTTGTTCAGGCTATGTTTTAAATGTGTGTCAGATGATGTCTAAGAAGAGTAGTTACATTGACCAGGTGCTTTTTTCCATAACCAATGCGCGAAGATTGTGTTTATTAATTGAACATAAGCAACTATTGGTTATTCTAACCATGGAAGATTTCAATGTGTCTAGGTTGTGGAGTTTTTCATAGCAATACATTTAAGAATTAGATGGTTCAAGTCAAATCAATGTAGCTGATATTGCATCAACCCAGTACTTTGTGTGAATAGCTGTAATTATGAAAGTGTGTGTATCTATCTTTGTCACAACAATGATGTGTGGGCCTCCCTCATTAGTTATAAACACAGAACCGTTGCCAATAATAACATAGCAGCTTTTCATTTTGTTTTCCTATGCCTTTGGTGGAGCTGGTGCATTGATTGACATGGCAGAGACAGATCAGCCTCTAGCAGGATGTGCATGTTCTTATCACTTCCTCCAAGCCTTAATGCACATTTAGCCCTGATCATAATAAAGGAGAGTCGTTTTTCATTAAAGCAGACAACTGGATGAAGGTTAAACAAGAAGAATCAGATGTAGCCTATAAACTATGGGAAAAGCTATGTAAGTTCTTGTTTTATTTTACCACTTTCTTCTATTTTGCAAGTTTTGCAGCAGCTTGAGGTTTTAAATGGTTGGGTGTTATAGCTTTCTAGAAATGCTGCATGAAGCTTGTTTTTTTAAATTCCTTTGGCTTGTGAGAAAGTTTAAACAATAGAGAAAAAGCACAACTTTGGTCCGACGTACTGCCAATCAGGATCATAGCTGTAGAGCTAATACAAAACTATGTGAGAACAACACAGCAAGATTAGTGGAAGCACACTGTGTGGAAGGAAAGCTAATCTACATGTTTTCAGTTTTCTTCATATTTTCAACTCTATGGCAATGTGTCTTTATATTTCCTATGACTATGAGGTCGTGTGAGGTCATTTACCGATCTTTTTTCATATACAGTACAATAATAGCCAGTTTATTCGAGAAATAATATGTCTTTCTAATCAGGTACAATCCTGAACCTCAACAGATAGGAAGATTGATGATTCAATATGGAATCTAAAGAAATAACCCACACTTTGGTTAGATGTGGATTTCCATACACTTCATAGTTTAATATTACTCAATGGGGAATTCCCCAATAACTGAAGTGAACTGAGCTGAAACGTCGTCAATATAAAAATTATAATCACAGCTTTTTCTTATACAAAGCTACGCCCATTTTGTCCAAGATGTGGATGACATTTTTTGACACGCACTAGATGTTGAATATTAGATTGAGGCTCAGTGAGCATCTTCATCAGCTCCAAGAATATCCCACAGTACATGAATGCTAAAGCTGGTCAGATTGATTAGTCATTCTGTTATGAGATTACGCTCATCAGTGTCACATTCATCTTTGGATTCATTTATGATACAGTGGCAGAGACATGCTAATGCAAGGCCCTGAAAAACAGGTCCCAGCATCGCTCGTGACAGATTTCCCTCCGTTGTCAGAGAATAATTTGTGTGGCGTGCATTCATTGTTGTTGAACCCTATCTAATCTAATGTCAATCGCTGTGCCAGGAACTAGTCCATATCAACAAATTATTCTTGTCCCCAATGTCACCAAGTTTACTTTGAACATATGTCTGCTTTGTGCGCTTGCCTCATTTCAGGGTTTATATACGTGTTCACGTTTCCAACAAGAGGAAGAAACTTGTGCCATTGGTCTTGAGTACAATGATGTACAGCAGCATATTGTATACATGGTGATGCTTGTATTATAGGCTAACCCGTTCTGTTTGTATTGAGTTTTAAGAAAATGTCAAACAAATAGAAGAAATTGCATAAAAGCACAACAAAATTAAGCATTTTTCCCAGAGACATTTTATAAATACACTAATCCCCCTGGTATTTCGCTAATCTGAAACCACAGGCAACTGGCAACAACACAAATCCTTCAATTTACTTCCTTGTTTTGATACAAATATAGATTCGAACTGCTATAGGGAAAATCCATAATACTGCACTAGTGTAGTATCAATGCAGCCTTGGTTAATTTCTCACGTGATCTGGTAACACGTCTGTCTTCCCCCCTGAGCTATACCCCATTATTCATAAGTGAATAACTTGGCTTGCATTTCTCTCAGACTCCCTTTGTAGAGGTTGACATAAATGCAGTGATGATAGCCCAACAAAGTGTTCAAGTGTTGGTACAATGGCTCTGAAATGTATAGGTGGTTTAATCTGTGGTATTATCAGTGATTCTGGAGGAAAGCATGTCATTGACAGGAATGGTCAGTGTGTGGCAGGGTTTCGGGAAACTTTTCTTGAAATAAAAGGTGCATTGTTGAACTGTCTGCTTTGGCCCTGTATGGAAACAAACTGCACGCCTGTCTTCCAGAGATAGATTGCTTTTCGGACCTGTGTGGTAGGCTGCAATCTGTTTGTACAGGCCAGATGACTGAGATTGTGTTCTCTCTCTCTCACTCTCCAGACCAGTGTTCTTAACTTGGCAGCCATCGGGCTAACCTCCCAGACCCTTCCTCTTCAACATTCTGCCGCCGTCTGAGGCAAGGTTTACCAAGCCGAACACAAAGGAGGTGAAGACGGCTGCAGAGAGAAATAGGAAGACTCACAGACTGAGTTACAGTAAACATTATGTCAGGTGTCATGTTTGTGGTGGCAACTTCCTGCCTTGGCTGTCCTCTCTTGACAGTATCACTCTTTCCTCAAGTCGTACCATGGGGTTTGGCAAGGTGGTTTTTTGTCTAAAAACAAATCACAGCAGCTGAGTTTGTGGAATGAAAACGCAAGGAAAGCAAATAATAAGAAAAAACAACCATGCCGGAGAATGACCAGCTGGTCTATATCGGCCTGGAGCTGGTGATCGCCTTATTGTCTGTGGCGGGAAACGTGCTGGTCTGCTGGGCAGTCTGCCTCAACTCCAATCTGCAGAGCATCACCAACTTCTTTGTGGTGTCACTGGCAGTGGCTGATATTGCTGTGGGGCTGCTGGCAATCCCCTTCGCTATCACTATAAGGTACTGCTTGCTGTTTCATTTAAATTATAATTATGACTTAAATCCAATTGTGCCAATTTACTGGTTTTTAACATGTTTTTTTGCAATCCCACATTAGTACCGGCTTCTGTGCAAACTTCTTTGGCTGCCTGTTCATCGCTTGCTTCGTCCTCATCCTCACCCAGAGCTCCATCTTCAGCCTGCTGGCCATCGCCGTCGACCGCTACATCGCTATCAAGAACCCACTCAGGTGAGAGGAAACAAAAAGGTCACATCAACTGAAACAAATACGGTTTTCCACACTGTCACTTTCACCAAATATCTCTTCAGACTGTTCACATTTCTGGGACTTAATGATAGAGCTGAATTTTGTTTAGAAAGATATGATTTAGCTGTATTCATTTCAACACAATGCCCTTTACACACAAGTCAGAGGAGTGTGGGTAAACCATTAAACGTGACAAGCGTCCAAATTACAAATGCACTGTAGCAAAGCACATTCAATTATAGAAAGATATTATTACATTACAGCTAATGTGGCCGGCTGTGTGCAGACATAGATGTATGCCTCCACAGGATGTATTAGGTTACTGTTTGTGTGCTGTTCAAGGGATAACATCTTCTAAAGACATTTTCATGTAAATCAACACCATTTGAATGATATCTCTTTAAAACGGTCTCATTCATTTTAACAAAGCACATACATTTCTGGCATTTTTACATACCATTAAGTTGTTGTTGAGCTGTTTTAACCAAAGCCACTGTTGTTTAGTCACAGTTGTATTCTTTACTCCTGCCATGAGAGGATTTTTCAAGCTTTAAGCCACAGCAGGTGACACATTTGCATAAGCAGCAAGTTGCATAACGGCCTCTGCGCGTGTTTGTTTGCTCGAGCTGGTGCCACAACCCCTGGCTGGCACCAAGGACCAGAGAGCTAATAATTCATCAGAGTTTTTAGGGGCTTAATATAGCCTGCTGGCCGCCATCCTGGCCGTGAAAAATCTCAGTCACATGGGACAATGGCTGTAGGTGAGGGGATGTTGTTACCAGGAATACTATGGTTATTCGTGTTGATTCTCAATTTGTATTCCTCCACTCAAATGTGTGCATTGCCTGTGTCTGAATGAATCAATGCTGCCAACACTGTCTTTAAAAGTGCCTGACAACCTGAGGATGAAGCAAAAATGTAATATTTAAAAGCTGGATTTTCTTAAAAGCAGGTCCAGTTTCTGGGTATTAATAGCTCAATGATGCTGAATGAATGCTTAAAGGGGACCTATCATGCAAAATGCACTTTTGTACATCTTTTATACATGAATATGTGTCCCCGGTGTTCCAGGGAACTCACCAAGTGTCAGAAAACACAACCCTCTCTATTTTCCTCCATACCCAAATCTCTAAAAAAGGGGCTGCAACGGATCTGATAAAAACTGATCCAGATTTGAACACTGTCCTGACGTCAGGACGGTGGCGCTACGGCTATTGGACTAACTCTCCACCTATCAGGGGAATGTGGGGTTGGGCCACGGCCGGCCATTGCCGCTCGAAAGCGCTGGAGACGCTGTAGTACATATGCCAGGCCTGTAAGTGGCGCTGTAGTCTGCCACAAAAGCAGCGAAGAAGACTTCCCGCCCATAGTTACCATGGTTACCCTTCTGTTTATTCTCCGCTGTGGCTTTTTTTGTCCCTCCCCGAGGCAAGCGTTTGCTCCCGCTGCTTTAATTCAATGCAATCCCTCCCCGTCAAGGCAAGCACTGTAATTCTCTCCGGTTAGTCCACCAGCAGATGACAAACACCCACCTCTCCGCCTCTTCCAAGGAACGAGGGGACCGTGCGGCAGAGTTTTAGTTTCAGTTTCTTTCGTCGGTCAAGATGTCCGTTAAAGTTTAAATCTTCCGGACAAAATTAGAAAAGTGCCGGTCAAAGGTCTTCTTTGTTATTTATTGAGCTTTAAAACAAATGAATAACGACTCTATATAATAATAGGCTATAATAAAACACGGAAGACGGAGATCTATTTTTCTCCCCCTCTTCTGACAGCCCAGCAGCTGTTCAGAGCCGCTCCCCTCTCCTGCAGGGGGGCGTGGTCAGCTGCAGCTCACAGAATCAGCCCCCTGCAAAAACAGTGCTGGAGAACAGCAAATAGAGCGAAATGAGGCATGGCTTAAAATCATGATCTGTTTGGTATTTTGAAAACAGAAACGTATAAATATACCTTATATAGGTATGGCCCTACAATATATCATTTAAATATAGCATGATAGGTCCACTTTAAGTGACATCTGAATTATTTATCTAAAATGTTTATGTCCTCGTGTCAGAAAAGGCTAACTTAATTATTATAATATGAAGCTATTGTATATTTTTGTTGACATAATCTTATCAGCGACCTCATAGTAAAATAAATGTCCTCATTATTTCGCCCAAGTTGGTACTGTAAATCATGTGCTATTATTAAACGTCATGTTTGTATTTCACTGCATTGTTCAGAATCCCTTACAGTATATGACTACACTGAAGAAAACAACAGCGTTTTGTCTTAATGTGTGAACTTAGAGGAGAAATACTTGTGCCGGTAAATGACGTTAGAGGAAGGAAATGCCCTTTATTGCACACTTACAGTACAAGATGTCAAAAGTCATGCAGCAACATGCAGCACTGTTTCACTTCTTCACCTTTTAGCATGGATAGAAATGAGAATATATACTGGCATAAAAGCCTCAATCAAAATGGATTTAGTAATTTCATGTGTCTTTAAAATGCAGACAAAAGTACTGGAGAGGAGCTGGTTAGATTGCTGTAAGTGCTTACAGTGTATTTAAAAGCCAGTGATGCCAGTGTTCATTCAAATCACCAAATATTGACTTTGCCACACAGGGATACTATCACAAAGCGATTAGATAAAACACCTAATGTGTCATTCTGCTCTGCTCAACCATTTAGGTACAACAGCCTGGTGACAGGGCAGAGGGCAAAGGGCATCATCGCATTGTGCTGGGTCCTCTCAGTGGGCATCGGCCTGACACCAATGCTGGGCTGGAACACAGGTGGGAGTTTATTTGTTCTCCAAATGTAAACCTGACTTAACCCTAAGCCTGTAGAAATAACATAAATGTGGCATCTGTTACATGCTTCAATGGTTTCTGAGTAGGTGTAATGGTTTGTTGAGGCTGGTCTATGTTTTGTTTCTTTGTCAGTTGTTAAAAGCCAGAAAATCTGAATTATGGGAAACAGTTCGCCAAAATAAACACATCTCCCAACAATCCCTGCTTTTAGTGTCAACTTCCAATTCCTGGAACAACCATTTTCAAAGTGAGGTTGAAAAAAGATGTTAAAACGCTCCTTGGGGAAAATGGAAGGATGCATTTGATTTGTATTTCTTGATATAAAGCTCAAATTCATTTCAGTACTAACAATTAAAAGAAATGTATCTGGCATTTTTGTCGTCCTAAAGCATGCAATTTTACTGATTTGTTTGACATTATATAAGATAAAACTGACATTTAATTCCCATTGCTCTTTGTTTTACAGGTTTGAACACAACCGCCCCAACCAGCAGCAAAATCTGCCCTGAAGGTTTGACCGAGTGCCTGTTTGAAGGAGTGGTTACCCTGGACTACATGGTCTATTTCAATTTCTTCGGCTGTGTGCTGGTGCCCCTGTTGGTCATGCTGGTCATCTATGCCCATATCTTCATGGCTGCTCGACGCCAGCTCCGACTGATGTGTCTCAAAGTCGCACACACGCCCGCTCCTGGAGTTATAACTTCATCGTCGAGCTCATCTCGTTCCACCCTGCAGAAGGAAGTTCACGCAGCCAAATCGTTGGCTATCATTGTCGGTTTGTTCGCATTGTGTTGGCTCCCGCTGCACATCATCAACTGTTTCAACCACCTGTGTCAGGACTGTGGGCGCGTACATATCTGGGTAATGAACATCGCCATCATCCTTTCCCATGCTAACTCTGTGGTGAATCCCTTCATCTACGCGTATCGCATACGGGAGTTCAGGCAGACCTTTCGAAGGATCCTGTACCAGCAAATCCTCGGGCAGAGGGATGGACGTGGGTTTGTGAACGATTGTGGTGATGGCAGAAGTGTTGGGAAAAGCAGTTTCAGGCGGCGGACTTCTTCCCGTACCAGCAAAGAGGGTTCATCCAGTGGCACCGTAGTGAATAGTTACGTCCTGGACTCCAGTCCTGAGCGATCTACACCAAAAGCAACTCATGAAGCCTCTTGCCATTGGACATCAAATTTAGACACTGCACCAGGTAGTTACATACCTAACGGACAGCATGTGAAGGGTAGCCACCTACCAGGTGGCTTTGCTGCTCAGGATGGAGTCCAGTTGGTCTCCTATTTGAAGGGAACAACAGATGTTTTGGAGGTGAAAGACAGTGAAAATTGCATTACTTTTGTAAATGTTCAGGCTTTTTCCCTTAAACAATCTGACTTTGAACATTCAACAGAGCTCACAAAAGTCTCATGACATAGATATTTAGGTATTTAAAGGTGGGCTAGGTAAGTTTGAGAAACCGGCTCGAGATACACTTTTTGTTATATTCCATGGAATGCTCTTAACATCCAGATAGCAATGAATATTTTAAGTGCTTTGACAAAAAATCCATGAAAAAATGTCATCTGTGGAAGCCGTAGTGCTGTAAAAAGCACGACCAATCATTTTAGTCGGCCCGGCTAAAATAACTGGATGGCCTACCTGCCTGTCAGCCTTCCATCTGTGCACAAACTTATCTCGTGCCCTCATTGGTCATGTGCGCGTTCGTGTGTGTTGGAGGAGGGGCTCTGTAAGGAAGTGGCAGATTTTTTCCGGCTGTGTATTTTCAAATTCTAGCGATCTCGAGCTGGTTTCTCCAAAATTACCTACCCCACCTTTAAAGGGGACATATTATGCTCATGTCATACTTTGGTTTTCTAATAGAACATGTTTACATGCCTAAATGTTCAAAAAACACTTAATATATCTCCAACTGTCTTTGTGAATATACTCTGTCTGAAATGCTCTGTTTTACCGAATGAGCCCAGTCTCCTCTGACTGACCTGCAGGTAAAGAACCCATGGGAGCTAAATCTGAATGGTTTCTTGAATCCTATGTTTTCAGATCTAGGCAGTCCGCCCACTAGGGTGTATTATTTCACAGGTTGAGTGTAATAATTCCAGGAACCAATATGTGCAAATGGTATAATGATATGACCTCTTTAAATATTTGTATATGCCATAAAACCTATACAAGTCTGAAAACATAACAAAATGAAAAAGGATGAATAAAGCCTCAATAAAACCCACAGTAACTGTAAGCATCTGTTGCTCTCTTTTTGTTGCCCACTTACTCTTTATATTCAACCAATTTTGAGACATAATGACATGCAGTACAATAACATATGTGCTCTTTTTCTAAGCCAAATGCTTTTTCAACTGTACTGTATCTTGCATTTATATTTTCATTAGACAATAAACATTTAAAACTTTGAATTGTATTTGTTTCATCAAGTCACTTTTGTAATGGTCATCTGTATTGTGTTATTCATCTGAAAATAAAACACTGACTCTTAAATACTAATTAGCACACTTTTTCATCAGCTGAGGACAATTCTTCTCTAGAAGATACCGGCTATGTGTTCAACAGACTGTTAAAGATGAAGCTCTATAGTATGTCCTTCTAACAGCTGTAAGTAATGGTCTGAAGGAACCATACAACTCAACCCTCAAAGACAACTTGGGGTAAACAATAAGATTGTTTGAAAGTGTGCATCATCTCTTGTTTAACGATCTGTTTAAAAGTAATTCCGCAGTGTGCTTGATAGCTACAGAACATTTGGTGTTGCTAGTTTGATCAGTGATTTGATAACTGCCAGGCAACAAGATGCTGCTTCAACAACTTCTTGACATATGCGTCATGTAAACCGAACACCCAAAATAAAGGCTTGTTTGATCTTTTCAATTATCACTCCATATGCCAGTAGTGTGGCTACTCACACACATGCACACACACACTAACGTAAAGTACATACACATGACCGCAGATGACTCAGCGAATCAGCAAGAGGTGTTTACAGAGTAGCCCGGCGGCTGACGCCAGTCAATGACCCTAATGCAATGGAAATCAAATGAAGGGTCATTTCATGATGTATTTTATTATGCCATTATGCTTTCCCAGTCCTCATTACAAAGCCATTGTGGGAAAGACCTGCATTTAGCTACATTTACATGCCCGGAGACATGTCTCCAGGAATAAACACATAGGGTATGTATCTAGATCATGTACTGTTTGTTTATTTTAAAACTTTGCATATCAGTTGTATATTATACTTTGTGGTCATGCACAGGGGTATTCAAATGGATGAAGCCATTTCACTTTCATGCTTTATTTTGTGTGTTCTATTTTGATTAGCGTGATATAAAGGTTATACAATGATGTGGTCATGGGTGATGAGTGAACACAATAACTAACAAAAACAAATATAAAAGGCACAGTTAAAGGTGAACTACATGCCATAGCAGCCGCCAAAGCTACCTCACTGGCTCCATCATTTGCTTTTGTCCACACACAAGCCTTCATGTAAAGTATGGCATGATAGCCTGACTGGAAACCATCAGGTGGGCGTCTTGATAGTATGCCATTGAGTACTAAACAAATGTATTGTAAGCATCACATTGGCATGCAAAATATCGGCAAGCTGTTTTATAAAGAACAAACAATTAAGTAGAAAAACAAGGTCGTTTGTTTTACGATTCTCTTTATGTTATCTCTCAATGTGATAGAGTGGAGACATAGACCTGGGAACATTTATATAATGTCTAGTGTAAAGACTGTACACTGTAAATATGAAGGTATAGACTTTATTTCAGTGAGAGACAAGTTTTTTAAATTGTATTTAAAAAAACAACCAACATAATAATACACGGTGACACAAAAAGCTTAAAGAGGGATCACAAGGGGGAGAGATGTGATTTAATATACTGTTTATATGGGACTTTCCAAGCAACAGCACGTTAAAGGTCAAGACAGTATTTGTAATGTAGGCTACATAACCATGTTTTACCACACACTTAGCATACATATGTTTATATCTACACACATACCATAGATAGACTGTATTCATACATACATCTGGTTGGCCTACATGTTATACAGTACAAAGTGAATGAAATGAACTTGGCCAAAATAACCCAAGAATGTACATAAATACACACATTAAAGCTGCAAATATTAAATATGATAACTTATTATTTCTTTTTTTTTATCTTGAGTTGATTAATAACATTATCCCGCCTATTGATTATTAAAGTCTAAGTGTAAAGCAATGCAAAACAAGGCAGTCTCTCCTTTAGCACCACACAAAGCAGTGCAAATCATGGATGTATAATCAGGAAGAAAAAGCATAACAATCTAATCCCACAATGCACCGCGCAAGGACACCGGAAGCAGTTTATTGACCCCATGTTGCATTGTGGGTAGGCGGAAAAGGCTCCAAAAGCTACGCAAAAGCTACAAGCGCACGTTGCAGTATCGTCCAAGAAGAAATAACTACGACAAAGAAATCAAATTTCAAGAAAGAAAACAGGTAAGCAACTTAACATTTCAAACAGAGTATCGTTATTGCTTAGTTTACCTAACAATAGTGTTTATCTGTGTTGTACATAATAGCTCATTCATTCAGGTAGCTAACATTGCTTCCCCACTTTGCCGAAGTGTGTTTCCATAAATAATCAACTGTTAATCTTACATTTAGAAATCAATTGCAACGTGTTTTGTTTTTATTTAATACGTCAGAAAGACATTATTTCGGGCTAACCCTTTGTAAGATTACGTTAGCGTTGTTTAATTCATTGAAGACTAACGTTTGCTAATGTGGCTAATTTAGCTAGAAGCTAAGTATCTCTACTACAATAAACTGGTCATAGTTAACACCCCGGAATGTTAGCAAGCTATCACTGCATCCTGTGATAACTTTAGGGTAGTTCACTGCAATAGTACAAGTAGTATTAGCATTTTTTAGACTGACATGGTGCTATAATGTAAACGGTAACAATGCAACACAGCGAGTGCTAATGCAAATAATGGATTCACACAAAAACAATGGCTGGCCAAATGTATGGTTTTACAGTACACCAAATCAAGTAAAAGTAAGTTCAAAGTATCTGGAAGTAAAGATAGTTTTTGAAACAGGTTTGTGACTAATTTATGCCTTTGTAACATTTCTACCATTTTTCTTTTTCTTCCAGGAAGACAGTTGAAATATGTCCATCGGAGTACCAATCAAAGTCCTGCATGAGGCAGAGGGACACATCGTGACCTGCGAGACCAACACGGGAGAGGTGTACAGAGGCAAGCTGATCGAGGCTGAGGACAACATGAACTGCCAGGTTGGTTCTAAAGAAGAAATGCTGAATAATAATGTAATCATAGAAAATAGTCATTCTTGCAGCCCGATATACCCAAAGTGTTATGAGGCATTTTTCTGTATTTGCTCGTTCTTGCATCATTGGAATTAGATAAATAACCGACTTAATACCCACAACTCAATTTACATTGTGACAGCTAAGGCTTTAAATAATCTCATCATATATGTGATTCTTAAGTATACGCCCATAAATGTGATTATTTACTTACTATACAGGAAAATTACCCTCTTGTTTGACTAGTGTGATGCTGCTTTGTTGCCTAACAGTCTACTTGAGCTGAAATGATTTGAATTAATATAATATAAACCATTTGGCTACAAATATATAATGATATATTTCTGATTATTGTTCAAGCAGAGACAGTGATGCCAATCTCGCTGAAATGATTTTCTTTATTGTATATTACTCTAAACAAAAATATTTGGAATTGTGTTCAACAAGACACACGAGTCATTTATTGGTGTTTCACAACCATATAAATATTTTAAAAATAATATATTTGGAGTGTCCTAAAAGCTTGTTCCTGGACTTCTAGTTTATCCAATGTTTTCAAGCTCCAATCTGTGCTAGAGCCATGGTGCCCATCCTGCTAGCTGGACCTTAACTGCGCGTAGTTAATCAGTTGCTCGACGTATGCCAGCACTGCACTATTTAGCTGTAGTCTAGATTTAAATGTATAGTTGCAATTGTGTATTTTTCATTGAAGTCTAATGACTTGCATTTACATGTTTCTATGCCCACAGATGTCCAACATAACAGTCACTTATCGTGATGGCCGGGTGGCACAGTTGGAGCAAGTCTACATCCGTGGTAGCAAGATCCGCTTCCTGATCTTACCTGACATGTTAAAAAATGCCCCCATGCTAAAGAGCATGAAAAACAAGAACCAGGGATCCGGTGCAGGAAGGGGCAAGGCAGCTATTCTCAAAGCACAAGGTGAGGAAAAGTTCTTGCACCAGTACCTCCCCGACCTTTTCCAAGAATGCTGGGTTTTTAGCTTACCTCATACATGTGTCTCTTTTACAAATTTCAACAGTTTACACATTTAACCCCTTTTTTTTATGCTGCAGAACTGAATCCCTTATGTTTAAGGTCAATGTACTTATAGATATGTATTTTAAGTTGTACCGATTTGTATTAACAACTCTGATGGGTCCACTGAGACAGCATTTTAATACGGAGATAATTAAATGCATTTTACAGTACATGAGTATATTATCCACCTCTTACCTATTTGGATTTATTCATAGGTTATCTGTGCTAAATGAGTAAACCAGAGCGGTTTGTATTTGTTCGTTTTGTGTAATATGTATTCTCTTTTTCGTTGCAGTGGCTGCAAGGGGCCGGGGACGTGGTGGAATGGGAAGAGGAAACATCTTCCAGAAGAGGCGATAACTGCTCCAGCTGTGTTAACATTGTTGCATTGTATAGTCTTTTGTTGTTTCAGTTTGTCTTCTTTTGATTGGAAATGTTTGAATTTTTTTTTAGCAATCCTGTAATTTGCAGTTTATGCTTTTATGTTCATTTTTTTTTTAATGAAAATAAACATTTTTCAATTTGATCATTCTTGTCCTTTGGTTTACTCAACTACTAATTCCATGCCAACCACTTCAATCAAAACACACTTTTGTTTTTACCCACACTGGGTAAGGTGAGATTTACTTGGTTCCAAAATAATAGTTTTCAGCATCGCTTCTGCCCCAGTTGGATTTTGCCTTATATTTGAATGCATAAAGAAATTGAATATTGATATTGGCAATATGCACCAGTTGCACCCTGCATATCCTGAATGCAAAATTGTAAACATGTGAACGTTGCTTAAGCTAATCTTTTTTTTGGTCAGGTTTGCTGGTGAAACTGCACATCTGTCCAACTGACTCTGAACATGAAGGAAAAGTTATCACATGAACTGAGCCTAAATGCATCTTCGACACGATTATAGGCTATTGAAGAATCTACTGGTACTAGCTTGCTCAGTGTAACAGCTACTATTTTCTAACATGTGCATATTTATTTCAATGTAAAAAATACTACAAAGCTGCTTTTAGGTTGCAAGTCTCCAAAACACCACAAGAGGGAGCCAGTCGCCCATGAAATGCTGATGGAAATCCCCCAGGAACAATAAAGTGTTACCTATGTTGAGGTCGTGAGTTAAACAGAAAGAAGAACAAATGGTAGCCTACACCTCCAGCGCGGTTGTGGGTCTCTATGAAGCATATTGCTGAAACTATTCACGTTAAATGACCACACTGCCCGTTCACCAACACTTCCTCCAGAGGAAGCACGGGACCCTGTGCGCTCCGCGGGATTGGTCCATCACAACATCGGGTGTCTGCTCTCCGGCTGTCACACCGCTAGCTAGCTGTCGTGGTACAGACGTGACTTGAACCGCAGCTGAAGGAGAATACACCCAACAATTCTGACTTGTTGCCTAAATAACACGTTAAGGTAAGGCTTAATTGTTACATATAGTATTTGCTTTGTGTTCTGTAGCGTTGTCTTGGGGCGTACTATGGACGATACTGAGTCGCACTAGCCATCCTTGACTCCTGCCCAACAACATCTGTATTTTGACAGATGAGCCAGCTGCTAGCGTTAGCTGAGCTAAAGTTAGCTTTGTGGGACCTAAGACGACGCTAACACTAATTTCAGCCTGTGAATTTGTGACAACATCGATAAAATTTTTTTTTTTTTACCCGTGTCAATGTGTGTTCTCGGTTGTAAGTATAAGGAAGAGATTACTGCACTAGAAAAGCTAAACCGTTGTTTTTAATGTAGTAAACGTGAGAATATCTATAATAGTCTTGGTCTAATTGTTTGCGTTAACGGTATGCTCAAAGGGAGTTGATGTTGCTGTGCATTATAACTCAAACAAATGTCATTGTCGTTGTGTGAAACTCTTTAAGAAACCAAAGTTCTATTAACATGTATTTTATTGAAGATAATATAATATGTAGTTCCTTTTAATGTTATTTTTCAACACAGTTTTTCAGTGTTTCTTTAATTTAACTTAAAAGGACTTCAAACCTAGGACTTAAAATTACTGATTAAAATGAATGCCCCGTTTTAAAGGACACAGTTGTTTGGTTAAACATATGATGACAAACTTCATATCATACTTGAAATGCACCATGTAATATGTCTGCTGCTGATCAAATGGACTATTTATCTTGTTTTAAAGTTCTGAACAAAAATGTGTCTGTCTTACCCTACAATATTGAAACCTATTTGAAAACACATGTCTCAGTTTTAGAAATGTAATGAGAAAAGATCACCCAGAGGTGATGTGTCGATTAATATAGACAAAATAATCCACTAGACTTTGGGTTTTTGCATATTTCGGTGCACATTTATCACCATTATTATTTCAAAACAATGAAAGATGTGGGTATATTTGTAGTTTTGTTGACGGCCAATTTCTGAAACTCCGCAACATTTAGCTGTGCTTGTGTGATAACACTGCAGTTAAGTTGGCCCGGGGACGCTCATCCCTTCATTTACAGGAGCTTATCTCTTGCACGGCTCCGCAGATCACTGACAGGGTTGCCCTGTTGATCTTTTAATGAAGCCGGGGATCCTCCTCTGCTCCAGATGGCCCTGTGTTGTACTTGTATGTCTATGGGGCCATGTCTGTGTTGTTATTAATGCTGTACAAAGCCTGGACCCCCTGCAAGCTCTGATAAGTCCTCTCTCCCCCTCCCCTACAGCACAGATAGTGAAGGTCATATGACTTTTGTTAGGATAAGAGGTCCAGAGCGGCATCTGGAGCTAGGCATTATCTTTTGTAGTAAGCAGCATGTAAGTGCTTATTCTTCGACTAGCTGCTGTGATTACCAGGGATCACTGAAGTTTTTGTTATCTATTATAAAGAGGGTCTTTGTCGAGGAACAATATAGATTCTGGAGGCTTCACTGTTACAGACTACCAAGTTCAGAGGCTTCTTTTTATAGTCGTAAGGTTTATATATTTTAAATGTTCTGCTGAAGGCATGGATACATTTTAAGCTTGTGTCCAGCCCCCCAACCCTCTAATTTTTTTAAGTTAGGTGTTCGGTAAACATGACTTGTGAGTGAGTTGCGTCAAAGTGATGTATGTTTCTCAGCTCCAAGCTATAAGGATTGTCATGAGTGTTAGCCTGACAGTAGTTTGACGTTTAGTAAATCATTTCTTAAATAGTGGCTGTTGACATTCGAACATGTTTAGAAACTCTGCTGGCATCACTTCTCCTTTTGTTGAAGTCTCATGCTACAGCAAATCCTGCTGGACATTAAACCACCAATGACATAATAACCCACCGTCTGAGGGACCCTAAGGAAGGATTTCCTATCAAAACCATGTTGGGCGGAGAATGGAAATGTAGTGATAATGTGTTGACTGTTATAAAATAGCATGAGGGAACAACCACTTCCTTTCACCAATATAGAAACTACACAAAAACCTCTTGAAGGCAAACTGCCCTGAATGAGAACATATTGATATGAAATCAAAGTAGGTCAAATTCGGTAAGTTCTCTCTTTTCTGTGGAAATAAAAAAAATACTGTAGCTGGTGCACTGCCGGTTTCGTCCAGTCTATATTTTTCTCTAGTCCATTGAGGCCAAGTCCACTTATCAGAGCACATATCTTTTCTATATGGCACTGATACTGTATGTTATAGGTCTAACTTGATTGAAAGATTTTTTTCTGGTGCTTGAATGTAGGATCGTATAAAATGTATGGTTAAGTCAGGAACTTTCAGAGGTCATGCAGGGCAAATATCTTTGATAGATTTGTTCTGATGAGAACATTAGGTCCCTAATACAGACACAAGCAACACTCCTAACCTGTAGACGTTGTGTTTGTATTGTCAGAATAATTGTCTGAAAATAATTATTCCACGTTTAATGAAATGTCCTTTTTGCAGCTAAAGACACAGTGCAGTCGGGAAGACAAGAGAGTATGTTCCAGTATGAAACCGTTATGCCTAATATAAGTCTCTTTGTGAATGTGCTGCAATTCTTTCTTCCTTTTTGTGAGTTTGCATCACTATATATAGGCTGGCAATGGAGGTAGTGAGGCCACCTGGAGTGGGTGTCTCTTCCCACACACGGTCCTCTTTCTGAACTTGGCTGGAGCTCCCACTGTCTTGTTTTCCTCATGGCTTCCCTCTCTTTTCCTGTGTCTGTGAGATTTACTGAGCTCCCACACACTGACAAACCACAATCCTGTAAAAACCATGCTGGAAGCCAAGAGATCCGCTCTGTCTCTCTCTTTCTATCCGTCCTTTTCCTTCTCTCTCCATTCTTCTCACAGATAATGAGCAGATAATAAGCTGAGTGGACTCGGAGAGATGGAAATGGCAGAAGAAAGGCTTTGGTTGGATGCTGCATACATCAAATACTTTGTTGTATAAGTGACATTAAAAGCATGGCTGTTATAGACGCGTCAAATCTGTCCACTTAGAGCTGATGTTTGTGGTACTAGACATGTAATCATGAATTAATTAGCACCTCACCGAATGTGTGGGGGGAAAAATGAAAGGTTTCATACGGTAAGAACTGCATCTCCTTATGTTTCACAGCTAGTGGATATTAACTCCAATTATATTTCCCCTCACCCTTTCATTACACCCACAACTTGATCCGTGGTAGCCCTTCAAACACTGTGCTCCAGCTGTGAAAGCGTGAGTTACGCATGGAATTTCTGTAATACTTGGTCTAAGGAAAACTAGCAGCCCTGGTTTTCGTGGATACAGATATACAGATGCCCTCTTTTGTCTACCTGGAACCCCACTTCTCATTTGCTTTCAATTTGTTCCTGCATGGCCACAGGGGAAAACAGAGGGAAATTCACTGCGGGCGTTGCAACGGTAAAGGTAAATGAATATAGCTAGACAAGCTTTTTGTTAACTGATATTTGTTTTTCACTCTTGCCACTGTTTGTTGAGGATGCCGTGAAAGTTGAATGAAATATTGGTGCTGGTTAAATATTGTCTTGGGCTCCCTCCCTCTAACCTAGGTCATGCAGCATGAGCACATTTTGTAAAATAAATCCCAAATTAAAGTAGAAACCTCATCTCAAAGTGAACGTTTCCTACAGTATGCTCTGTCAGCAGACAAGGTGTGTATCGTAAGCGTCTGCACTCCATTTGTAGTCTTGAGTATTATAGATATATAACTCAACTGTCATTGGACAGTTGAGCAGGCTTTGGTTGTGTGCAGCTAAATATGTGGACGTGTGGAGAGCAAATGAGGCCGATTGATTGGCCCAGATGCAACTTCTGAAACCACCGGCTGTTGTCTGACAATAACATAGCTTTTTAAAGGCGTAAAATGTGCTTGTCAACTGGCTACTTGTGAAACAATCCAGTCAAAGATACACTGTGATTGGAGGGTTCTGTGCGTTGAGTCGTGAGTCAAGAGAGAAGGACATAGGGGTTATATTTTTGCTTTTGTTATTGTATTTGTATAGTGTGATTATATAATACAGTTTTGACACATTTAAAGTGAGTTGTATACTTTGTTCAGGGTTAAGACGGACACTGTCCAAATAAAGCAGCTGGTACTCATTCTGTCCCTTTTTTGTTTTCTTTGTCCCAGCACTATTTGCCTTATAAAAGCTCCACCTGTTAAAAGTGCTGTAGATGTCCAGAAGGCCAGTTGTTCTCCATATGTTTTTATTATTATATAATTTGCTCATGTGTCACTGATTCCCCCCCAGGCTCCCATCTGATGGAGCAGTGGTTGTCTGTCTTTGCTAAGAAGAGGCACCATGTTCCCTTGTCACGTGACGCCCTGGCCCACCGCTGAGCCCCCGGCCTCCTGCGGTCATGCGCCCCAATCACAAGCCTCAAAACCTCTGCCTGATCTGCTGTGCAGCTGTCCCGCTCCACCTTTGAACACCCACTCCGAAACGCCCTCCCCAGACCCCATGGAGTCCCTCATCGTGGTCACAGAATACGAACCCAGCAGACCGCCCGGAGAGGAGGAGGTAAGATCAAACACACACGATATGTACCAGGGATGTCATTGGAAATGTGGGTTTCTACTTAATGAAGCGTTGACATATGATGATACATGGCCATACATGTTATTTACCACACCCCATTTCAGATTTATCATATGAAAGTGATAGAAACAGACAAATGCAACATATTGACCATCATACTGTATAATACTCATATGCTAAAAGGAACATTTTGGGTCTTTTCACACAGAGAGAAAACATACACATGTTGAGAGGAAACTGCATTTAAACCCATACGAACAAATTCCAAACTTCATTGCATCACATCAAAAGGTGTTCATCTGTGGAATAACTGTAATGATGAGCTGAAATACTGTGCAACTTTACCTAAACTAAAACTATTATTTAGAAACCAAATCCTGAATGGTTATGAGCAGGACCTGCGAAGTGATGCTGCTTGCTATTTCTTGTCGTTGTAAAAGTTGTTTAATTTTTACAAATAAATGGTTTGTTTAAAACAATGAATCAAATATCACGGATGCCGATGACCTAAACTTTGATTTTCATGAAGAATGTGCGTTAGAGGGGGTAGGACCAGAACAGTTTTTAAGCTTCTTCTTGCCCCTTTTGAACATGACAGAAACTATTGGACTATTTATTTCTTTGTATACCTTGAACTTTTTTTAAATTTTGATTCTCTTTGTTATAATTATTATAATTATTATTGTTTGTTTTCTAACATGTTCAATAAATTGACTAATAAAATAATAATATAACTATGATTTGTATGTATCATATCTCAGGTAGAAGACATGGACAGTTCGGAGACGCCCGAGCCTGCGTCCTCTGTGGCGGCTCCTTTCCGGACCCCGTCCTGCGACCTGCTGTCCCACACGGTGGGCCGGTCGGAGGCTCTGCTGCCCGGGAGCCAAGAGCAGAGGGGGAGGTTAAGCCTGTCGGACAGAAAGCTATCTCTACAGGAGCGCTCGCATACAGCATCGTCACCCTGCAGCTCACCGGGACTCAACGGGCGCCATATTTACCCGTCTTTACCCTACTCTCCCATCACGTCGCCTCACTCCTCTCCACGCCTGCCTCGCCGGCCCACAGTGGAGTCCCACAGCGTTTCCATCACAGACCTCCAGGTAGGGTCAAGCCTTCGGGTTAACACAAATCCAGTGTTAAGGATTTTTAACTCTGATATTGCTACTTGAAGACATTTCAAAACCATCAAAGTCAATAGTTTGGTGCAATGTATTTGTAGGCAGACCCTGAAGTTAGAATTGCAAGAGTTTTCTTGATAAAAGCCAACTGGATTTTCCGTAGAACTTGAATATATTGCAGAAAATAAATCCTGTAGGAAACACACATTTATGATATTTACACACATTTTGTTCAGCAGGTTAATCTCCACATACTGACACCACTTTGATAATAGTTCAAACGTAAATGCATTGGCCAGAAGTAAGAAGCTAACGTTATGCTATAAACGATCTTCATGACAGTCGCATTAGTTCACCTCACAAACTAAGCTAAAAGCGGACTTGCGCGCGTGAGGATCTTTAGTCACATGTTGAAAGCCTGTCAAAAAACCACAGACCTTTATTTTAGGCATAAAACCAACAACACATTAAATAAAACAAGACGAGGGAACCCTTTAGTGCTAAAATGATAACTAACTTCCTGGTTTTGGACACATTCCTTCACCACTCTAAACTGTTAACACAAAATATTGTATATGTACTGTTATTTAACTGGTTGACCTTAATATGTTGATGAACAAATCCCAAGAAATTAGCCAAAATGATGCTACAGCCTGCCAGCGTAATAATAATTGGGATTATATAATTTATACTCCTGCACCATCTGAACAGTGTACTCCCTTAAGGACTACATTGCATAAGGTGCTACACATGAATGAACAAACTAACTCATGTTTACACAAAGCCAGACTTGTGCTCCTATTGAACATCTGTTAGTTCTCAAAACATCAGCTTCATACTCGTCTGAAAGTAAGCAGACCTACATGTGCATTTGTTTTAAAAGCAGCAGCACACTGATAAAGAGATGATGCAAAGGTAAGGTCTTCCTGTCTTGGTAGATCATAGCTGAGATTCACGTAGATGCAGAAACCTGTGAATGTAAGTAGAGTCCCTCTTAGTGCTCTGCAGAGGGGGGACTGTGTTATAGTTAGAACATGATTGCATGTATAAAAGCAGGTTTACACATGCAAGGAATTTGCTTTTGTGTATACCAATACAAAAACACTAAAAAGGAATTAAGTTGTAAAAATCAGCAAATATAGAACTCTTTTCAAAACAATTAAAAAAACTCTTATACAATTAAAATTAATAAAATGTATCTAGTTATACAAAAAATAAGAATATGATAAGTTACACTTGTAACAAAAAAAAAATGCAGTATATCAGAATTTAAAGTGCAAAGTTTCATTAGGTGAAATTATTTACAAATATGTTTAAATGATCCTCTTATGGTGTTTAATTATTGTTTTGTAAATGACCTTACTGTGAGTAAAGGGTCATATGATGATGTAAGTCATTGTTATTTCTCTAAATGTATGTATTCACATCATCTTACAATTTTTCTTGGCACTCTTGGTCTTTTATTAATCTGGTTCAATGACCAACAATGAAATCAATTACTCTTACAAATATATATATTTCAATGAAAGGCTGGTTAGTAGGTGTATCTCCAGGTGTTCGTATGACTCATTCTCTGTGGGCTGATTGCAGTTTGTTCTCAGCACTGAATGTGTTTAATCACTCTTTGTCTTAAATCCACACTTTTTATTTGATTACACCTGCCTAGTTTCCCCTGAAGATTACAAAATATACTGGAAAACTGTGATAGCTGGGTAACACATCCTACCTGTCAAGTCTCAAACATGGATTTGTGGAGATTTTAAAGACAGGGACTGCTTTCAAGCTGACAAGCACAGAAGACGTGTCGCCAGATTTAGAAAAATACACTTAGAAATAGTGATGTGGAAAGCAGATTTTCGAAGATTGCTTTTGATATATTTCTATATCTAAAATGTGTGATGTGATTTCATCTGTACAGAAACCGTTTTTGTCCTCCTCTCTTCTTTCTCTCTTCAAGGACTGCGTTCAACTCAACCAGTACAAGCTGAAAGATGAGATTGGAAAGGTACAACTCAACTGATTGCTCCCTTTCACTGACTCTCCCATTTTCTCTCTCTCTCTCCCGCCTACTGCATGTCTGTCAAGTAGCGCGTATCATCGAGGACACGCGGTACCAGCCTCTGCTCTCCGCTCTCTTCCGGCTGTCCTCATTTCCCAAACTCTGAGTAGACTCCCAGGCCATGGGAGAGTTTGGGCGAGAGGCTGCTGGTATAAATAGCGCTCTCTAAGGGTCGTGCAAGGCTTAGCTCGGTATGTGTCAGTGCACGACTTACATTGTGGGTTTCATAAGACACAATGTGCACGGCTGATGTGAATTTCTGCATGAGGGCAGACATGTTAATGTGTGTGGTTTGGCTGAGACAAATAGAGCCTTTCAAGACGGTTGTTATCAGATCGTCTCAGGGACTCTGCCTCTCCGTTCTGCCCCCGCCTCTCTTATCTCTTGTTTGTTTTTTGGGCATGAATTTGTGCACACAGGCTGCTAATTGGGCCTAGTTTGTATCCTGTATTTCCTGTGTGTGTGGGCAGAAGAGCTTGATAGCATAAACCAGATCCAGGTTCCTTAATTAGCCTGAAATAAAAAATGAAAGCGAGAGGGAGAGATGATTTGAATTTCTCTGTTCTCACTCTGAAGCAGCTGGTACTCTTTCAGTGTACACTGTCGACCCACACAGGGCCGTCCCTCCCTACAGGCCGATCATGCAGACTGCGTGGGGCCTCATCTTGCGGAGGGTGCCTCAACTGAGCCGAAAATGCGGCACACCTATGCGCTTATGCGGCCAATTAGTGTGGCGCGGCACGATTTCGCCACTGCGAGGCTCCACTAGCAACCCCCCCCCCCCCCCCGGTCGACACTCACGAAACAGAGGGCCTCATCATATCACTTTGCGTGGGGCCTCTTGACCCACACACTTCCCCGTGTGTATATATTCAAATATATATATATGTTTGTGTATCGTGTGTATCTATATTAAGATTGCTTTGCACTTAGTGTGATGTGTTTGTCTTTCACATGAAAAATGGCAGCTGCTCAGCCTCATTCTCACATTTTCTGTTCCTTTTTTTAAACTTATTCCTGTTCCAGGGCTCCTATGGTGTTGTGAAGCTGGCCTACAATGAGGATGACAACACATACTATGTGAGTCCTTCACACACACACATACAGATGTTATTTCTTCCCCATCTATTAACATTGTCTCCATTTCTCTCATTCCTAATCACTTGTCACACAGACAGAGATATAGCTCATAATGATCAAATCCCCTCGTCACATTAACTGGTGTCATTTCTATGTGAGTCCTCCACATGTGAAAATGTTAATTGTGCCTGGCTGCGTGCGACAATAACACGTCAGTTTCAGATTTTCTGTCTGCTGTTCATGTGTATTGCTGCAATTCTCATTAAGCTGCATGATGTTGACAGGCAATGACATGAGGATTATTTTAATATTCCTCCCAAGTGACAAAGCCCACAAGTGATTATATCATTGCCATAATAACTGAGGGGCGTCGAGGCTTATAACCCCGGAACACGGAAATGATCTGCCGAACAATGTAGCTGTCACACAATAGATGTGTATAAGCAACCTTTTAATGTGTGCCTATTTTCTAACTTTCTAACCAATTTAATAGTTTTTCAAATGAAAAACTGAGAAATGCTGTGTTATTCAGCAACTTAACTCTTTTGAATTAGAAATGTAGGAGTCCTGTCAGAAACTGAGCAAAATTCATAGTTTCTTTAGGCCTGAAATGTGTTTGCCATGCATGTGTTGCGTATGTCCTTTTATTGTTTACTGATATGTTCTATGAGACAACAGGCCAAAATGTTGCTTGTGCTGAAGTAAGCTAATGACACCTAGAAGTCCATCATTTTGAATGATATACTATGTTTAAGTATACACATATTATATTGTATGAATTACAGTTTATTGTATGATTTCAAGCTTAAAAACACTATTTTTCAGTAGATGTAGTTGACATTTCAGAAGTATTTCTTAAAGAAGGATTAATGAGGCAGGTTTGCATTTCACTCATTTTGCACCTTGATGCTTCTCAGCTTAGCTTTTAAGCCGATGATGCTTTCAACTGTTAGCAGTCCTGAAACGTACACAAAGGATGTTCAAGGTGATGAGAGAAACGTTAAGGCGCTGCTGAGATACTCATATGTAGGTGTGTGAGTGGGTGCTCTGTCAGATGTCTCTTTGTCTGCCTTTCTGTTCATATTTTTTCTTTGAATCTCCTGCCCACTTGGCTCTCCCACCCCCCTCTGACTCTACTCTTATCCTCCACTCCATCTCCCTCCCGTAGGCGATGAAGGTGTTGTCCAAGAAGAGGCTGATGAGGCAGGCAGGTTTCCCACGTAAGTCCGGAGCCAGGGGCAGATGGTTTAAACAGCAGAGAGCACAGTCTCTGTTAATGCTTCAGTGGTACATGAACACAGCGCGTTAATACTTAAACCCTGTCTGTCCTCCTGTCCTGTCTCTCTCTCCTCTGTCAGGGAGACCTCCGCCTCGTGGAGCCAAAGCAGACCCTGAAGGCCCCCCTCAGCTCAAAGGACCCCTGGAGCGGGTCTATCAAGAGATTGCCATCCTGAAAAAGCTAGACCATTCCAATGTGGTGAAGCTAGTAGAGGTAGGGGCTGTTAAAACATTCCTGAATTGTGTATCACAATATCCAACTTGTTCTAATCCATAGTGGCTTCATTTCAGGAAGAAGTGTAAATGCATATAAGTATTATAAAGGTTACAAATAATTCAAGCGATATTTAAGTGACAAAACAATTAGACCTACTCAAGTTAAAACTGAATGCAGTAAAACAGTCTTTTAAATTGAGCCTTTCTCTGTGAAGCACAACAAAGGTATGTTGCCAACTCTCTAGTCGAACAATTTGGAGAGATGCCTCAGCAGTGTCTCAGAAAGAAGGACAAATAGGGATCAAAACAACAATCAGTTTTTTTAAATTTAATTTAAGCATATCTGTTCAAAGAGAGTAAACCCAGGTAATGAGACTATAACGGAAACCTCCCAGCCCTTTATAAGAGCATCACGTACAACAAAACTGTATGTGCTAGCATACGGGAAAATGATCCATTTGTGTGTGTTTACGCTCATTTCCATGTCTCTGTCATTTGTTGCCAGGTTTTGGATGACCCCAGCGAGGACCATCTGTACATGGGTATGTTGTGGCCAGACAGTTAGCCTTCAGAACAACACACACACACACACGCACGCACACACACACACACATACACACACACACACACACACACACACACACACACACACACACACACACACACACACACACACACACACACACACACACACACACACACACACACACACACACACACACACACACACAGCAAGCATAAAATAAATGTATTTGAAACCAACTTTAAAAGATATTTTTGGCAGTTTGTCTATGTCTTTGAAAAGCTTTCATCACTAACTCATCTGTGTTTCTGTCACAGTGTTTGAGCTGGTCAAGCAAGGGTAAGCTAAGCCTCTTTATGAAAATGATTGTGTCACTGGAATGAGCTGAATCTCATTAGTTATGATTGCTAATTGTGTGTTCGTTTATGTATTCAGGGCTGTCATGGAGGTGCCCACAGATAAGCCTTTCAGCGAGGACCAGTCACGCTTCTACTTCCAAGATCTGCTCCGGGGAATCGAGTATCGTGAGTCTTTCGAAAACATCCGTTATTGTTCAATCTGTGACTGCATGGTAGAGCAATAATAATGGGGGGGGGGGTGATTAGGGCTGTTCATCCTTTTCAGATTAGTTGTTATGCATCCAGAAACACTTTAATTCAATTCTGCTACAGCTGCTGTTTAATTATTTTCTTCTCAGATGCTGCTTTATTTTTATTAGGCAGTTGAAATTAAATGTATCAAGGAAACTCAGTACCTTTTAAATTGTCCAACCTTTATTCTGAAAATGTGCTTGAATCTTAACATCTTAACCTTTGTGAAAGAAAAAATGAAAAATACTGATGATTACAGTAGCAATTTATGTTGCAAAAGTAGCCTAATACACGATGATATCCCAAAATGAGCTGTACTCGTGGTATCAAGATGAAGCGCTTTTGTATCTAGATCTGCCCGAATGCTGCAATTCTTCCACGCCACTTACACAAATCCTTTGCCTGTGCTGTTCTTGACTCAAGCCACCCACAAGGCTCATTTCACCTCAGCTCAGTGGCTCTTAATGTATTTCAGCACAGCAGAAAAGCTTTTGCACAATGTGTCGTCTAGGAGACTAACACTGAGAGGAAGGCTCTGCAGCAGGGACACTGAAACTCAATTATTTCTTATTATAATCAAACACAACTGAACAAGGCTAAGTGGTTAGGTTAATAAATACATTTTATTCTCTTTAATTGCCCATATGGTAATCCAACTTCCTGACTAAGTGCACTTCCAGAGATTTCACCACAAGCCATTTTTCATTTTACACCCCAAGCCAACAACTGATGTGTTTACAATAAAAAATATAAAAAGTACTGGTCTCTCCTTACATTTTTGATACTTTTTGTAAAAAAAATATTATTAGTCTTTTTAAATATGCAAAACAAACAGAAAATATACCGGATTTCGCGATTAGCTAATTTCCCTCTGCTGTCCATGGATCGGTACACACATAACAATCAACAGCCGCTAAATATGATATTAATAAAAAAAAAATAATAATAATCAGAGCCTGGATCAACATATACATACCAGCACATTTATATATAGAATACACCACTATTAGATACAATTTATTTCAATAAGAAAAACTTGAATTACAGGAAAATAATGTTGAGAAGACTGATTGCTCAATACCCAATTTCTTGCAATATGATAAAAAGATGAATAGTCTTTGCATGCCCTAAGCAGGATTCCTCAAATGGGATCTTGTTGCTGTTAAATGTATCTGTAATGTTTCTTTTCCAACAGTACATTACCAGAGGATCATCCACAGAGACGTGAAACCCTCCAACCTGTTGGTGGGAGAAGACGGACACATCAAGATCGCAGACTTTGGAGTCAGTAACCAGTTTGAGGGCGCTGATGCTCTGCTGACCAGCACCGTGGGAACGCCCGCCTTCCTCGCCCCCGAAGCTCTCTCTGAGACCAGGAAGAACTTCTCTGGAAAGGTGGAGGAACATTTGACTAACTAGTGCCCTCTGGGGATGATTTGATGAAATGCACACATCCTTGGTTTTTTTGGTCATTTGTTGTCTTAGTTTTCATTAAAGGTGGGGTATGTAATTTTGGAGAAACCAGCTTGAGTGTGCTAGAATTTGAAAATACACAGCCGAAAGAAATCTGCCACTTCCTTACAGAGCCCCTCCTCCAACACACATGGACATGACCAATGAGGGCACGAGATAAGTTTGTGCACAGATGGAAGGCTGACAGGCAGGTAGGCCATCCAGTTATTTTAGCCGGGCCGGCTAAAATGATTGGTCGTGCTTTTTACAGCGCTACGGCTTCCACAGATGATTTTTTTTAATGTATTTATCGTCAAAGCATTTAATATATTCATTGCTATCGCGATGTTAAGAGCATTCCATGGAATATGGCAAAAAGTGTTTCTGAAATAAATTACATACCCCACCTTTAAGTGTTGTATTTCAACTATCTTACACTGAGGAAACTATTTCTTAACATAACATTTTTATCATGTTTCTTTACATCTAGGCTTTGGATGTTTGGGCCATGGGAGTGACACTTTACTGCTTCGTCTATGGAGTGGTGAGTGTGTGCTTTGGTAAAATTGCTTTTTGGTATGTTGTTTAAAGGTCCCATGTCATGCTTTTCTGGTTATTACCCATCCCCTTGTGTGTTATGAAGGTTTCTATGCATGTAAACGGTCTGCAGAGTCACAAACCCTCAAAGTACACCCTGTAGCGAGTAAAACTCTAACACAGACAATACCTGTCTATGCTGCCCCAGAACGCCTCGTTGGAGTTTTCTCTTTTTCCATTGTTTACTTCTTGGGTATAGTGACGTATTTGGGTAAAGTGACGTAACGTAAAGTACACACTCGGCGGGACATTGCGAGGCTCGCTGCTGCGAGGAGCGGGACACTGTGAGCTGGCTCACTGGTGTGGGGTCGGCGAGACAGCGAGACACCGCGGAACTCAGCCTGAGTACACACACAAACTCCCAGCCAGTCTGCGGGTGTGTGTGTGTTTCGGGCTGGGTTTCGCTGTGTCTTGCTTTCTCACATACCCCTTTCACACCAACGGTGTTTCAGGGCCGGTTCGGTGCTGGTGCTTGAAAAGCACCGGGTTTTCCTGTTCACACCGCAGCGGAGCAGCGTCATAGCTCCGGAATCCGGTTCGTTTCGAGCACCAAAAAGTTGTCCGTCTAGAAGCAAGAACCGCATACGTCACGCTTACGTCGGAGGGGGGCGAGATTAACCTGAGCTAACACTTAAGGCGAGTACGGCAAATAAAAGTTGTAACAAGCAGTAGTGCTGAGCAAAGTGACTAGAACGCAACCACACACTTGTTAAAAAAAACACACTTTATAAAGTCAGGCAACACTAACCAGGCTTCGTGTGATTCTGTTTATTTGTACCTTACTTTGACCATCCGTTCGCTGTTATTGATCATTGTGGAGAGCAGGCAGACGTTTTGTTTGTTATTGTAGCAGCTATCGGATGGAATCAATACATGGGCTGCACAGGTTGTCATGTCCGACTATCACAAGTAGAATCATAATGAAAAATACGTCGGTAAAAAGTGCCTGTAGAAAACTGCTTAGCAAGTAGTCAGTTTAGCTTCGGTTGCTATGCTAACATCACCCATGTTATACCAGAGAAACTTTCATAACAGCGTTGTGATGCCAAACAGCGTCAATTCAGACTGACACACATTCACTTAAGGGGAACTGGGGATATGTATCAGCTGCTTGTGTGACAGTCAGACAGTGAATACTTTAGAGCCGTGTGAGCTAACCCGGAGCTAACGGGAGAATACACTCGTGGAAGAGCAGCCGGCCAGCACTGCAGCGGTCGGTAAATGCCGCTGAAACACATTAATAAACAATGAACCACGGCACTCTGGAGAAAAGTATAAGGTTGGAGAAGTCGTTATTTAATTTAATCTGGCTTCGTATGATTAAAAGCAACGCAGTCCCCGGCCCGTTGTTGTTGTGAGGTGAGCTCCGGCGTTGGGGAGAAACTCAGCGACGTAAACTGTGACGTCATGACGCAGCAGCGGCAGCACCAGTCGGGCTCTGAGCGGTGTGAAAAGAGCCGGCGCTAAACCGAAGAACCGGTTCTGAACCAGAAAAGCTCTAGCACGGAGCTTGAACCGGAGTTGCGTTGGTGTGAAAGGGGCAACAGACGGCCACTGGGCTCACAGGGGGGGGAGGGGCAGGAGCTCCAACAAGCCGTTTAGGACAGAGAGTGAATACACATACTATACAGAGATGCTGTATGAGAAACCAATGTGAGTTTGGAAAATTGCACAATATAAATCTATTTTAGTATTCCTCAACAATGGAATTATGATCAGTAGAAATGGCCATGACATGGGACCTTTAAGAGTTTCTCTTGAAAGACAATCAGCTGATCCTTCTTTCATTCACAGTGTCCTTTTATGGACGAGCGCATCGTGAGTCTTCATCAGAAAATCAAGACGCAACCTGTGGAGTTACCTGAAAAGTGGGTGAAAAGTTTAAGATTCATTCTAATAAATTAACATGAAAAATAAAGGTTATTATTATTAATAAAAAATGTTTTACAAGATGCTTCATAGCTCAACATAAAACTTTATTTTGTGATGTTTAACTAGGATACAAAGGAGTGTAAATAATATATCAGGTCCTTGGCTGGTAAAAAACAGAGAACCTCTGGTTTATTTGATTAAATTGTAGTTTTACGTCTTTTAATTCACAAAAATATGATTTAAATGTACACGACATAATCTGAAGGTTACATTTCTGTCTACCTCAACAGTGCTGACATCTCAGATGATCTCAGAGATTTGTTGCTGAAAATGCTGGACAAGAATCCAGAGACCAGAATATCAATCCCTCAAATTAAGGTAAACACTCGTTCCTGTAAACTGCTATTTTACATTATATTGCATTCAAGCACATTTGCATTATATAGAGGGCTGTAAACTACCTGTAGCAGATATTCGAATGGGGAATCACTGTATGTGTTAATGGGTTTAAATGATAAGAGACCAGTGCCTCTTACTGGGGGTATTGTTTGTTTCTGCACATGTCATAACAATGATTCCAGTTACATTTGCTTTGGTGTAAAACAAACCTCTTGTAGTTGGAGAAAAGTTGTTCCCTAATGTGGAAATGAAATTTGTGTCGGCTTCAGATCCTTGGAAATACAGTCGTAAGATCATTTTGTATGTTCATTTAATTCTACATACGACATTATTGAAATCTCTCAATAACAATAACATGTTTCTGGCATAGCTTGACTTGACGTCACTTTGGTAGCATGGGTTTCGATGTTCCATCCGTTCAGAGATTCTGTGTTTCATCATATCAAGTAATACATAACGTACGCCATTGTTCTCCTCATGTTTGTGTCCAGGTGCACCCGTGGGTGACGAGGCACGGAGCTGAGCCTCTTCCTCCGGAGGACGACAACTGTTGTATGCTGATCGAGGTGACGGAGGAGGAGGTGGAGAATTCTGTGAAACACATCCCCAGCCTGGCCACAGTGGTGAGTAGACTCATCAATGAACAACACAGAACACACTCCTGCTACCTGGAGACACACAAAAAACATCTTAACTGAGAAAGAGTGCTTTTCAAGGGCATTTTTTTTATGTATTCTCTTTTTTCAGTTACATTTCAACAGCACCACTACACCTCTGCCACCTACTTGTTTGCCCTCTCTGCACTCTGTTAGAGCGGATGTATGACTCATTTAGTTGCTCTAATGTATTTGTATTAGTTGTGGCCAAATGCTGCGAAATACATAAACATTTGAGGTGGACCTAACATCTTCAGGCTTGGAGTTTTGCTAGGAGAAAACTTTAGTAACTGGAGCTCTTTGAATGTGAATTGAATATAATACTTGGCGTTGGCCTCTTGTAATAAACAGTATATATAATATATAAATGCTATAATAAATGCTATTACAGCCTGAGTGGAAATGTATGCTCATTATGAAGTTTAAAAATAAACAATATTACGGTTAGAATAACTCCAGGACCGGGGATCTTTTTTTACTTAACATTTCTTCGCATATTCATTCAATTCAGTTCAAGGCTTTATTGTTATTTGCACATTAGCTACAGTGTAGATATGTACAATGAAAAACTTAGGTCACAGGCTCCTCCAACAGTGCAACATATATATATAGGACATAGAACAAATAAAACCGATGAAATAGTGCAAGTAAATACAAATAATAGCATGGTTTTCTGATGTGTGTGTTATTGTTGACTTTTCTGTTCCAGATCATGGTGAGGACCATGCTGAGGAAGCGCTCCTTTGGGAACCCCTTTGACTGGGCCCGTAAAGAGGACCGCAGCAGCCTGGGTGCTCCGGGGCCAACGCTCACGTAAGGATTGTTTACAGACACACAGCAGATACTAAACTCTGTCTCTAGAAAAGCTTTTGCAATAGCTTGTCCTATCACTAGCATCATCTCATTTAGAGCTGCTGGGTCCTCTTGTACTGTGATATAGTAAAGCGAGCTAATGTTTGTCAAGTATCCTGTTATTATGTCTCTTCCCCCCCCCCCCCCCCCCCCCCCCTCCTGGCCTGCAGGAAAGGCAGAGCAGGCAATGTGAGATACTGCTACATTCATTGTAACCAAACAAGGTAAATAACCTCAGGAGAATGCTGCCTGCTGTAGTGCTGCAGATAGTTTACTTTTCCCCGGCATGATATAAGCAGCTGTATTTCTCAATATGGCTTTAATGATCAAATGCTCTCGTGCATCGAGTTTGTAAACTAGCCTGTGCTCGTTACGGGTGTTTGGACAAGCCATGTTTGGGAAAGGTTGCGCTGTGTTTTAGAGCCAGTAGTATCTGTATTATGATTTGCTTTATATTTTATTTCCGATGACACTTTGGGTGAAGCATGTGCTGTGCGCTGCAGAAAATCCCATTCGACTTTATAACAAATTAAAGTAAATACATTTATTTACTCAGTTAGAGCTTTATGAGACTACAGTGTTTTGTGGAATTACGCATACAAACATTGGGCTGGTAGCAAAACAACGGACTGCCGTGGACGCCTGCCGCAGCAACACGTAAATATTTGAGCCACCAAAAATAAATGCCCATCTTAAACAATTATTATCAGTTTAAGTGTGTTTAGGCTATTTCTTTATATTCCACAATTTTACCTAGCCATTGGACAGCCCATTCAGATGGAGAATGGTAGCCGTTACATCTTGCTTTGCTCTTGCAGAGTCTCCATTCTCAATTGATAAAAACAGTCATTTGACCTCACAGACACAGATGCTGCTGGTTTACCATTTCCTTGATGTTTGCTTGTGTGACTTTGGTGATTCAAAACTTGCCCTTTAAACGCAACAAACAACACAAACAAAAAAAACAGTCATGGGTGTGGAAGACCAAGAACACTCTGTGTTCTGTGATGTAAAATGACTGTTTTTATCAATGAAGCCTAGTGCTTTGAGAATATACTATAATGGCTTCAGTTCCCTCTATGGCTGCCTCTTGTCAAGGTAAAGCTGTGAACATTTTCTAAATATATTGTGCACTTGAACAACAAATATTGTTTTTTCAGGAACACCTTTTTTAAGGTGCCTTAAATACGTTTTGCTGCTGCTCTCTGTCCACAGCAGTACATTGCTTAACTCCTGTCTGTTCTTTAAAGTTAGGGTGTGCTGACCAGCATTCTCTGTAGGAAATACACTGACTGAGGATCGGTGTGATATACAACCTGTCTTCAAATCCTACAAACTATCTTTTTAAAGTTAATCAAAAATTCCAATTACAGTTGAATTAATGCATTGGAAACAGAAAGTAGCGTTTTCAAGTTCATTCACCATAAGCCCAGAGCCTCCATTTATATTGATAAGATGTTCCTTTGCATGGAGCCCTCTCCACCCTTATCCAAAGGAGCTGTAAACTAATAGCTGTTGTGTCTCTCCTCGACATAAATGATTAACTTCTTAGAACATCCCCCCCTCATTCCTTAGTTTTCTTCCCTTTTCTTTATTTTCTTCCCCTTGTGTATGATGTGTAAACTTGGCCAACAGCGTTTCCTCAGTGCTCGCTGCCTCGCATTATGTAACAATTAAACGCTTGGCTTCAGTTCCTTAACGTAGCTTACCTAACAGCAGCTGATTTGTCCGTTCCTTCGGTGCTGTGCTTTAAATGCTGTGTCTCTGGCTGGTGTGTTTCTTAGGAAACAGGAGAGTGGCGACGGCATGAGGACTCTGGAGCTGCCCTACGTGGGAGAGGACGAGGCTCTCTCCTGATGCAGAGGCTTCCTCACGCACCGTGTTATATATCTTCCTGCTTGCAAACACACCCCTTTACTCACAGTTTTATACTGGCAGCTCACACTTGTGTACATTTCCTGAAAGATGGACGTACGGCGGGCGCAGAAAAAAAGAAGAAGTTAAGGATCTATGAACAATTTTAAAGATTTCCTCTCCTCTTAAAAAGGCTCAGTTTGCAGGTCGTGGGTTGGATTGTTCCATGAGAGGATCCTCTTCATCGTTTATTGCCTGACCCACTCTGCCCCTCTTCATCCCGCATGCGTATATAGTCCCAGCATGCTTTGTCTCAGGCTTCAACTGTACAGTGTTTCCTTGTAGTCTAGCCACTTGTGTTCTCCTTGTCTTTACTCGACAATTCTTTCAGGTATACAGGGCACGGGAACAGGTGATGGTGATGGGTGTTATGAGGAAGGATGGTTGTCTTCATCATCACCTCGACTTCCTCTGTAGGAGAGCAGGTTTTCTTGACGATGATTGTCTGGTTCTCTCTGCTTCAGAGGAGCAGGGCCCAGTTTTGTAACATATATACAGTTTTCCCAAAATGAAAGAAATGGGAGTGAAGAAATGTTTACTTCATTGAATGCATGTGTTTACGTTCCCAATGCAAACACCCTATAAGCTATGTATGATACATTTGCACGCTCATACTTGTTCGACGCAATTTTCACCGTCTCTTTATGAATTTACTACAATCAATAGAAAGCTTTAAAATAGTTGATATATAGTGTTTTGTGAGCCATCACATTCATCATACTGCTTATGAGATAGCATAGAAAATAATTAGATCATTTCTTTTGCAAAGCAAGTTCTTTTAGTAAAGCTTTTGATATGATTTTAGGTGTTTGCTGTATATTTTTTAAAGTGATAGTTACAACAAATTGAGTAAGGATGGTACTGATCTACCAAATGCACATGAGGAAAGAAACGAATGTGTTGGTAGAAACAATCTGTCTGCAATGGTTCAAATGTGGTTGTTTTTTTACTTTTCCAGTTATGTGGTTGTGTGTTGTGATGCTGAGTTTCAACTGTGTCATGTATTTGTTCCACTTCCTAAAGTGGATGTTTTTTTAATGTAGTTAAAACAGAAAATCATAACTATTGAACCTCAAGTTGAAATTGTGAATTACTGGTGTTTTTTTCAAAACTGCACATTTTCAGGACACCAAAAAAACGTCAAATTATGTCTACCTTTGTAAAGTAGAGTACAGTAACTTAAAGAAAAACGAACCTTTAAACTACTTTTGTTCTTAGAGCAAAATGTACAGCACTAATGTACGTTTTGAGGAGGAGGCATAGTGCAGCTGCAGGCTCTTTGTACAAATCTATGCATGTAGAAAAAAAACATAGTCTTCTTTAATCAAGGCCGCCCTGCAAATATTTCAAATGAATTGTAAATTACTTTTCAATTGATGTTTTACTTTTAGAAGATCCCAAAGCAGTAAAACAATTGTTTCACCTTTTCTTCCCCCTTTGTTTTCTAAAATACATTAGTGTAAATGTAGATAAAGCATCTCCAACATAGAATATTGATACAATATTAAATATAACATGTAATGCTTCCACATTTTAATTATTCAGCACTCTTGTGTTGAATGTATGAGAAAGGGACTCCATTCACTACTTGCATGTCACTCTCGACTGTCAGTTTTCTAAGACTGACACTATGCATACGATGTGGCTGGATGTGACTGATTCTAATTTGTTTTGTTTACCCATGTGTTTCCAAAAAGATGCAATTAGGTCGTGCTCCTTACAGTAAAGTGCTCCAAATCCAGACAGTTCCTAAGGCTTTAGGAAATGATTTTCTCTGTACTTAATGATAACTTAACTTAATGATATTGCTCAATAATGATAGCCAATTATGTTTCAATGCCCTTTATTAAGACAGGTAACTGCAGACATGCCTCAATTTGTGTTATACTTTAAAATGTCACCTCATTTAAACATTCACAGACATTTTACATTCTGAATGAGTTGCTTTTGTGGTACAAGATGAATTTAACTTCCCCTTTTGAAGTAGTGTTGCCCTTCATGAGCATCAAGAATAAACTGATGAACAGTTTGGGTCTGACTGGTGCAAGCCACAGGAAAGCTGTAAGATTAAACATTTTATATATATAATATTTTAACTTGTTGTTGGTTTTAAATTCCCTTTTTTCTCAGAGGGCCAGGCTAAGTGATTCACCTTTATTAATCACATGGTTTTGCATTCTGTAGTGTACATTTATTTGAGCTTTGGGGTCGCTTCTCCCCTAAATGCATGCCAACATACTGAACACATACCACTGTATTGTCATAGCATGAGAGGTCCTTGGTAAAACATGAACGAGACCTTTAAACTAATTATTCTATACATACTGTATCTTGTTCATCTTTGAATAAAATATTATTGCCTTTCTGATGTTTTTGAGCTTTGTATCAACAGTTCCTGAAATACACCACTAGTGTGTGCTGTGTACCATAATATTTCACAGGCTGTAGGGTACTCCTGAGAGCCTGAATATCACATTGTGTTCCTTCCCTGTATATGACAACAGAACATATGTGCCATAGTTTGCTTTAAATTTAATGCATTTTAACATCTGCTGGATTCATACTGTACATATTATATGGGCCATTTGTTACATGACAGCTCGTTTTTTTAAGGAGGACACGAGGACACCTGCATTTAAATGTAAAAAAAATAAAACTCAAGTACCTTGGGTTGCCACTAGATGCTGATGCTTAACAACAAAAGTGTGACCATGTCATCTTAATCAGACTCTGGCTGAATATATGGGTCCTCCTTATAGAAGAGAAATACTGTTTGAATTACAACACACTATTACAAATACTATGTGAATTTGTGGTTTGAAATATTCAAAGGCATTTTTACATTGAGAAAATACGGAAGAGGATTAGGGCCAGCCACATGAAAAATGTTTTGGAGGATAAAAATAATAATTATAGAATTCTAACTTTTTTTTCATGTGGCTGGCCCTAATCCTCTTCCGTACTCTTCCGTAAGAAAATGATTCAATATATAAATGTAATGATTTTTTGTCCTCCAAAAAGTAAGAAACAAGAATATGTTAGAGAGAGTTGACAAATAGTGATTCATGTGCCAATAAAGAAACTAAATGATATCCAGGTGAGGCCTAAATCTCCTGTATAATGGATAATGTTTGGGCATTTTTAGTGATGATATTTTCATTAAAGATTGTATCCATGATGTTGATTTTATTTGTCCCTTGCTGCCTCTGTGCTGCCTGATTTTCACACTGCACTTGTCGGTTTTTAGTGTGAAGAAGTGTTGGCGTGCAAGAACATGACCTTCACTCTTCACACTCAAGGCTTTTTACACATCTTGGGACTCAGAGTGTGACACTGACCTCTTGTGCTAATTTCATTGTACTGTTGTTGTTTAACTGTATTTGAAAGACTCTCAAATGATTGATAACTCTTAACTTCTCAATTATATTACTTTATGAGTAAAGACAAATAAATGTAGAAAGTAAATTATAGTTTCACGCTAAGCTGAATATGAATATATAAGGTTGATATAACTGAAACACACCAACAATTAAATGTACTAATCAGATACAGGACAAATGGACTTATGTGCATAGCATAATCGTTTTTTTTTTTTATCAGACTCAAATCCAATTAGGGACTGCTGTCTGATACAGTGGGTTATAAATCTCATGAGTGTGAAGAACTGTGCAAAACAGAGCGAGCATCAATAACATACAGACATAAACATCAGAACATCAACATAAAAGGAATCCAAAGGCCAGGTTTGAAATTGATCAAGTCTCTGGGGCATTATAAACGAAGCTCACTGTACCGAACAGCGTAATGTTGGTCGTATAAGATGCAGTGTAAATGCATCTTTGGGTCCTGAACTGTGCTGTTATGCCCCCCCACTGGGGTTCATAAAGCAGCTTATATCCCCACATCAGCACTAAGAAGTGCTGAGTGTGACAGAATCTGAGCATTCACTCCTCATGCTCACTTAATTGTTTACCTGCTGCAGGCCAAAGAGGTAGGAAAGGAACAAAATGCAGTAAAACAGTCAAATAAAATACTTGCTCAGCGTTTTGTAAAAATGCACGCTTTTTGAAAGACCTAATTCTGCAGGTAAGTTTAGTTTAGTGGTACACTCCGCCTCCCACCTTTACCCTTCTTCAGTACACTGCCTGTCCAATTAAAATAGACTGCAATCTTCTAAAAAGGAAAGATCACAACATCAGAAGTTTAACATTTTACAACTGTGGAATAAAGAACAAAAACACCTTTCAATTAGTAGCAGAGCGAAACTAAATTCACTTACTGCTATTGCTGCATTTTTGAGTTATGCTACAACAAGGCTTTAAAGATAGAAAGGACTCAATTGAGACTCTTGACATTCCTCATTTAATTAAAGATGTTTCAAGTGTGGATGTAGCTGCTGAGTAGAAATGAACAATGTTGAGCCTGATCAGTCAGACTTTGTTCACTTCACATTTGAATAATAAAGTATGAATGTTAATTTAGAATTTCTATCGGAAAAATACATACTCACTTAACATATTATTTTCAGATGGGTTATTATTTTTGCCTGTTTGCCTTTATTTGAGCTGTATTTGAAGTGCCTATCTAAGTCTAATCCTCTGGATCACTGGATGTGATGTGGTACGCCTGCAGCATGAGGGAAAAAGCTCAAGTGCTCAACTTGTGTACAGCTTTGCAAATGTCAAATAAACCTTGTTTGAATTCAGATCGTGTGGAGTTTTCTACATGGAATAGAAGGCTGGAGTTTGGTGTGATCGTTGCCTTTGGCATTATGCAAGATTAATAAAATATCAAGAAGATACTGTAATAAAGCCTGCAGGCTATTTCACACTGAGGAGCAGTGGTGCAAATAAACAAGTAAATTACTCAGTGTATTTCACTTTTAGGCTAGGTTTGTGAGAAAATACTGTAGACTACCTCTTACTTTGCATGTTTAGAATAATTAAACACAACATAATCAACATATAAAATATCAAGTAATACAAGATTAAGATAAACTATTATACTACTATATTTGGATGACAATAGCCTACTTTGTCTTGCATTCAAAAATGAATTCGTGCTTGTAACAGAGTATACAAGGTGGAGTTGCTATTTCATAGATTTGTTGTTTCATCAGCCTACAGGATATCAAACGCACCCTTCGTAATGAGGCGGGGTATTTAAACCTCCGCGTGTCAGCTGTTGCTGTAACCAAGCCTGCTCTCCGTTAGCTAACATGACGCTGCTGGAAACATGCTAAACAAAGACTGTAAACAGTAGTTCGCTGCGTTAAAGATTAGCCTAAAACAACCGCACTGTGTTACTACTGGAAGCCTTTATGAAAAAAACATGCATGTTCGCTGCCATGCGTGTTCACCAGTCCTGCTGTGAAGCTAACCTGCCAGAAAGCTAACCGGTTAGCAGCAACCACAACTAACTTCACAGAGGTAAATACTGCTTTTACTAACATCTCAGATGATGTCTTTTCTCTATTCTGTTGTTGTTTGTGTGTTTTATGCTCTTTTCATCTATCTCTAAGATTGGCTCCTGCATTTTTACATGGTAGGCTACACATAATACATATGTTGGAGTGGCTGAGCTCAGTTATTTGGCCTATGATGCTCTCATGCTGCTGATTTACATTGTAAAGAAGAAGTGTCATTATTGTTTAAGTGTTGTTCAGCTGAACTGGTTTCATGGCAACCATGGTTGTTTCCTTTGATTTCCAAGGATCAAGTACTCCTACACAGGCTCTGATGGGAAACTCAACAATGGCCATTCTTGGCAATCAGAGCAATACTTCACAATACCATTTAGAATACCTTAATAGCTGATCTCCTGGTTCGTCTTTATTGTGTGTATATATATATATATATATATATATATATATATATATATATATATATATATATATATATATATATATATATATACTGATAGTCACCTGTTGCTAAGCACACTACAAATCATTTCATATAAGTAGAGATGGCCTCCTTGTAATTTCAATATTTTTAAATTCCTAATTATCTGTTTCTTAGCTCGCTGCTGCATATGAAATATATTCAGCTGTGTAAAGACCAGGTTGTATGCATTTGCAGTATATAACAGTCAGTCAACATCAGTGGCTCCCATTTCTCATACAGTAGAGTCTATGAACTGCTGTCGGATTATCTGCTGGTTTTGCAAGGAAGTTTATTATTGTAGCTCTCTTCTGTGCTGAGCGTGGTTTATTGTCATAGTGACTGGGTCACAGCCAAGAAGGAACATATCATCTGTGTTATGTGACTACTCAGTTCCTCGAAATGTTAACTTTTTCTCTTTTTATTCGTCCATAACCCTCACTAGGAGTCCTGATTGTCCCTGGGGCTGTATCGGTTTTTAAGTGGAACATCTGCTATAAGGAGGATAAGAAGCAGGGAACTTGAATGCCCTTTTGAATAAGAATTCCATTTATTTTTGTATTAGATTGCTTACATTGATTGAGACATACGATATGATGACTTACCTTTTTATGTTATTTTCTTAGTGTGTTGTCTTTGACTCGTATATACTGTAGGGCCAGTATAGGTAAAGAAAAATCAATTGAGAAGCCAGTGGTGAAGGGTTAATATTTAAGGAGAAAACCAGAGATTAAAGTTGTAAATGAACGCTAACAAAAAAAGACATTCTATCTGATTAATGAAGTAAATGTATGCAACATAACTTATCCTACCATAAAACACATAAAACACAAGTCCTAGTACCAAATGTACCACATTCATCAACGTTAAACCAGGCTTGGCCTTTTCGTGCACTCTGCAGTTTGTAGCCTCCGGGGGTTCAATGCTTTTTGACCTTGAAGGACTCAGGAGAACAGCTTAAGATAACACCGGCTTTAAGTTGAATACTTAGTGGGATGCTTGCTTCAATGATGTTTGCGTTAACATAATGTTTTACTTTCTTTACACACACACTTATTCATTATCAATCATCAGTTTTTTCTCTGTCATGTTTGTTCCTGCCCCCTCCAAGAAAGAGGTGAAAGGGAAATGTGTAAACTGTTGTGTTGGCGCATTGGTGGTCTTTAAAATCAGCAGTTTCGGGGGACTCTGCTGAAAGAATTGCACTTGAATATTAACAAACTGTCTGTGATGTTTGCATACTCTGTTTTGCATATCAAACTTACATCCTACTTCAAGTGGAGAAAGGAAAGAGAGATGGAGGTGTAAAAGCTAAGCAGAGTGCGTGAAAGGCAAGTGCACGGAGATTAGGGATTGAGGGGTTTCTGGGACGGGGACATAAGGTACCGCAGAAGTACTTCCTCTGGATCAAGACTGCCTTATCTGCAATTCTGCATGCTAATGCTGCTAAGACAAAAATAATGAGAAATGTGTGTTTTTGTTGACATCTCTTTCCGTTTCCCTGCTATTCTAACTCATTTCTGGCACTGGGGCTGAACTGAGTTTTATTCTAGAAAGAACTCTATGACATGTTTCTCTTCTCGTGATTAAACATATGCCTCTTCTATCTACCTTTCATCGATTCTGCTACCGCTTTGCACGAGTCAGGAAGAAGCCACTTGGTAGATGTTGGACTGGGAATTACAGTTGAAGTTGCTCTCTTGGCTTTTCCTGTGATCAATAGGCATTGGCCACTTACTGACCACATTGTTTGAAGAAGCATTCGATTTTTCTCTATCTATTACATGAAATGAACCATATTCACACTTCTTTTTTAATTGGACCGTAGCAGTTGCAGCCGTTAGCAGTTTAGTGTAAGATGTTTACCAATTCAAATTTAGATATGTATTGCAGAACAATGGAAAATGGCCTGTTTGTTGGCAGTAGTGAGGTTTTATCAGGTTTTCCAAGCCAAAATGATTCCACATCTCTGTTTGAAATGGGGAAAGGCCAGAACCTCGTTCATTTACAAAGAGTACTAATGATGGTGGAGATATATCTTTTGGCTAATTGGGGAAAATTCTTGAAATACGATTTTTTTTCTCTGATTTCCCCGCTGATTTCGCCACCATGTGAAATGGAATAAATAATAATACAACGCAGACTGAGAAATACAATTGGACACGTTTGCATCTTTAATTAGAATTCCGGTGAAATGTTGTGGGATTTTTTGCTGAAGAAGAGAATATCAAAGCTCTCTCAAACTCTTCACATCACGGTCAGTTCAGCCCAAGAAATATAACAGAAAAGGTATTACCATTAATATCTTTATAGACAGTTTCTATGGCATGAGAAAGACATTTTCTGACTTGACTGAATCCATATAATCGCTGCTGGATTTTGAATTAAAAGTATACCATGGTGTTATGTTGAGAAGACCGTTCAGCAGCAGCTGTTGAGGGCAACGTCTTTGAGTATACGGCAGCTTAATGCTTCTGCTGGAATGAACACGGCTCAATGAAATATGACAGGTGTTTGGCCTTTAAATCTGGAGTGAAAACATGTTCGGCGTGACTCAGGCTGAGAGAGCACTTGTCTGTGCCAGACAAACTGTAGGCTAGCACTGCAATGTCAGAGAGAGGGCACACGCAAATAAAAGCAGAGTTTTGTTAGAACAGAGCACTCCAGTGAGGCTGGTTGACTTTAACAGAAAAAAAGCCCCCACATAGTGCTCCAAATATGAACACATCCACACAAATAAGGACAAATGGAAATGTGTTTGCCATACACAGATCAAGAGTATCTTTGTTTGTGAGTTTGTTTGTATATGTGTGTGTGTGTGTTATGAAGGGCTTGGGTCAATCTATTAAATAACAAAAATATTATTCCTCATGCACTCTGTAAACGTTCTGCACGCCAATGAATTATGCAGAGACTCAATGACTGGTTTTAAAAATCATACTTAGCAAGTGTTGCTCTGCACCGAGGTTTTACTGACATTCAGGGGCCGATGTCATTACAGGACTCCGCTGTGATTGGCTGAGCAGTGAGCCGTTGCGTGACTTAGCAATGTCTCCTTGGAACGCTGCCACATTGGTAAAGTTATGGCCGAAATGCAGCAGCGTGTCGTTAGAAATGACAGACATAAAAACTGGGATTGCAGAACTCCATAAGTACAAAAGCTCAATGGACTTTTAAGCAGATCTGCCTTCATAAGGGCCTTCACAGAAACATGTCAACCTGAGAAATCAAATAAACTGAGTGTTGAGATTTTCTGTGCTTTTAGAGTGTCACTGTCCCAGTTTCAATGGTGAAGCACATGTATCTTTGCTTTGCTATAGTTTGACCTTGTTATTTAGTGCTGCTTAACTATATACTATAGAGACTATGAGAGACTTAAGGTCCCTTCTATAAGTCAAGCCCCAAAGTCCTTTGCCACTTGCCATTAAAAAAAAGTTGATAGTATGCCTGGTAATTGTCATAAGCTGAAACTGAGATACATCTGATGACATCAACAGGGTTATTTTGGCCTGAGTCCCCCACAGACAAGCATACAGATAATGTTTTCACAGACTGAGTTCTTCACGATGGGTAAACTGTCTTTTTATTGGTAAAATCTGTGGACCCCTTTCACATGTCCCGATTTATTGATTTCTTAAATGTCTTTTTGTCCCAGCCCCAGTGTTTCTGTTCGTGTGTGTATAAGCAATGTTTTCAGATTTCGGCTTAGTGGCTGCTCTTCACATTTCACCATCTTTCACCTATGTGAGACCGCTCTGGTCACTCAGGTGGTGTGCTGTCTCAGACACACACACACACACTCTGTGCATATTTCTGGCCTTTTTACCAGCCGACACCTGGCAGGGGCGGCAGGAGGCTGTTAACAGCTTAAACCTCTGGCAGATCTGTTTAATTCAGAGAACTCCGGTCCTCAGACTGGATCTCAGCCCAGTGATATACGAGGTGGCGGAAACTCGTTTGCCTGCCATTAAGATATGCCAGGAGTGTTTGGCAGATAGTGAGAGCAGCTGGCTCCGCTGACAGGGGCCGACTAAGTGGCTCGGACCTTCTGCGGAAGAGTAGCAGGGATCAATAGGGTGACTCCTCCACTGCAGTGGCAGGAGCTCTTGGATGGCTGTTACATCCCTCTTGACATCATGAACCATGCTAGACTGTATTTGCGTATGTGTGACAGGAAGAGAGAGAAATGGCAAGTGAAGGTGATGAACATTTTTGCTTTAACAGAGGAGCAGAAAGAGAAATACACACAACATCATGTTTTTTTTTACATGGAAATTACTCCCACACACACTCTCACAAAATCAGCACTTTTTTTTCCTACTTTTTTTTTTTTTTTTTTAACCAAAACATGAAGCTCAATTCCTCAAACTGAAGATACATTTCCAGAGAGGTAATACATTCATTCCAAGCAATGGTGATGAAGATTACAATATCTTGATAGAATGGACCAACAGATGAAGTACTTCATGGCTAAAACCTGAGTTATTCCAAAGTATTTCCATATGAAACTGCACAACAATGCACATCAAAAATAAATGATGCATCATTATTCTCATATAGAGTATTATTTGCATGACTAAAGCTATGCTAATATATTCATGTGGTATATACACACATCGACACATGGATTATTTATGTATATGTATGTCTGAGAGGTCCAGTCTAATCACAGAACCACATTATGGCAGAATGAGATTTTGCTGAAGCCCATAAGCCTCCGAAAATGTCTTTTTGCGATAGAGGGGTGACTAAAATGACCTTTTTTTTGTTTTCACATTTGATTATTTGAATTTTTGTTTCTCCTTTGCCTTCAAGATGCAAATGGAGTTGGTGACTAAGACTTGGACAGCCCAGTTTTCTCTGATCTTTCCTCATTTTTTTTCAGCCTCCTCAATCCTGCCTGCCTTCACATCCTCCTCTTCTCCCAGTCCTCTCCAGGATGAAAGCAGGTATGAGTGTTTATATTTGTCGGGTCGAGCGCTATAGTTGAGCAAATGTTCAGTCATTGGATCGCATTTGGACGGGTTCCTGGGGGGGCTCCGCTGCGCCCATTATCCAAGTTTCTTCGTCACAAAAATTCCTCATAGTCCAAGTGTTTGGAGTGCTGGCGGGTCTTCCAGAGCCGGTAGAGGCGGAAGTCGAAGTACAGCTCAATCAGCTCTTTGCCTTAATTGGTAAACGAGACAGGAACATAATCACTCACCCATTAAGAGAGCAGAATATCACTTTTTTGTTTTACCATTTTCCCATATCATTTCACTAAGACCTCAAATTCCTTGTCATGGATTTTCTTGGTCAACTTATTTTAAAAGTAGTTCATTCTGCGGACCTTGAACACATTCTACTACAAGTGTGTTTTCTAATCCTGATAAGTTGCTTATTTTATAATGGTTTGGGTTCAAAGTTTGCACTGAAAACCCATGAAAGAAAGGGTCATTTGCATTCATGGAAATTGTTGTTGCTGAATCCAAATACTCCAATCGTTTTTTAAATTGATATCTCGCATATTTCTTTACTTTATCTCAACAACATTTGAATTATGACTAGTATTAAAATAGTCCTATCATGTCTTGAAATGATTTAGTCCTGCATACAAAATGGTGTGCCACAGATCTTGCTAAATGTAGCTTTAGAGCTGAAAAAACAACAACCATGATATGTTGACTATACTGTTGAGGATAATTTATTATTTGATCATATTTGTCTCTAGCCTTAAGATATTGGGATAGTATTTATTGCAGATGGAAAATATCCTATAGTATTTTGAAAGGTCAAAGAAATCCACGACATAAACTGGGATGTCCGGAACTGACCCTTTCCCTAATCTAAACTAAGATCAGTGCGTGCCCAACTATAACCATACAAACATGTATCATGCTTCAGTTGCTATGGACAGCTAGCCTTTGCAAATACATAGAATATCAACAATTTGCAACTGTCCAGATATATTAAAGAGCATTTCTTAATATTGATAAGAAACAAAACTCTGGTGGCAATAAGGTCGGTGGTCGTCGTTGTGAATAACTGAGTTTGAAGTCTATGACTTGGATCTTTTGCATTTTCAAACGAAAAATGGAGAAGCTGTTTGAGTAAATTCCTTGTAGACAAATCGCTGTCTACATGTTAATGATAGACAGCGATTTGTCTTTCATACACGCATCATGTGTGTATTCGTTTGAGAAATCACAATGCACGTGCGGGTCTGTTTGATGTGTGTGTCGGGGTGTTTTGTTCATACCCACCCTGAGCAGACAGCTCCAGCGGCGACCCGAACTCGACAGAATAAGGCCTCATCAGATTCTTCAGTTTCTGAAACAGCTGTTGGGACGAGATAAGGAAGCAAACAGCAATTAATCCCACTGCACTTGGATACACTCGTAGCAGGGAAGCCTGCATCTTCATACACAACACACACTCAGACACAAACATAACAACACACTCAAGAACGGCTATGAATCCTGCTCATTACCGCCAAAGAGACGTGCACATTCTCGAGCAGGTAACAAGGAGGTATAGACTGCAAAAGCATTCCTCTTTTTCTGTTTGTCTTCATATAACCGCTGTGCAGAATTCCATGAAACAGCAGAGCTTCTAAAGAGTTGCAGAAGCACCTCATTATCCTATTCATGTTCAGGAAGAAATTAAACGAAAATATTCAAATTTAAAGCTTGAACTTAACTGTAAATTAGAGGGATTTGTTGGCTGATAAGTGTTTTTTCATATACCACAATATTAAATGCAGCATTTAAAAAATGAATGGAGGACACTGACTGCTTCCTGCTATTCAGATGTGAGAACTTGTAGATTTTTCTCAGTGTAGATGAAATATTCTGGAACTGAAGCATATAAAGACTTTGATGGCAATATAATATTTTTTCCTTATTCAGTCAAATAAATCAATTGCAGCCCTAATTACATAATGACAGTTTGATTGGAGCATTACAGTGATTTGGGGTTTCTCAGTAATCTATTCTGCAGTTTTTCACAGACACGTGCACATTAAAAATTGAAGCTGACTGATTTCTTGCTCCAATTTGTTCACGTGGAATACCCCTCTGTCAAAGAAATCAAAGGGCCACATGCGCTTTTCTTTTTCACTTTGTGATGTCAAAATGGAGGTGGCGATGAAAAGAGCAGCTTTCATTCCTTCGTGTTTGCAGTCCTTTGAAAAAGATAAAAGAAGATGGCTTCATGCCAGATGTGGCGGAGAGAATGTTTGGGGAGACGCAGGCGGTGTGCCGAGTCTGTAGTGCAGAGAGCTGGAGGCAACAAACAAATATCTCATGCACTTCGAGGGTGGGACGCCGCTTGACGCTGCAGTGCATTGCCGTGACCATTGGAGACTTGGCGATGGAGTGAGGATTACTTCCTGCATGGAGTGTAATGCGCTGGAAATGATATATTGTGAATACCCATTTGATAGATAGATATCTTTTACATTTTTTGCTGTTTTTTAGTGTCATGTTTGCTTTTCATGCAAGACATTTTGTTGTGCTTGGACTCTATTAATGTTGGGTTGTTTCCTTTCTGTCCTCTGAGGCTATTGTTGCCAAGACTGAGGCAGAATTTGTGCTGACAAAACAACATGCTTAAACAACTCTGAATGAGAAAAGTAGGTCAGACTGCCTGGCTGACCTGTTCCCCTGCTGCTCTGCTCCAGCCTCTGTTTTCATCCTCAACGCTGTGTCTCAAAACTGACAAACCCTAAGTGCTGTGGTGTTAGAAACTGAAAAGCAGCCTGCTCCACATTTCACAGAGTTATAACTGTGGTTTTCTTTTTTACTACAGAGCAGAAGCATTTCACCCCTCCCCTAATATCAGCAAATTGGAGCTCCTTTTTAATGTTCAGAACTGCGGCAAATGTTCATTTCTTAGATTAAATGACATTCATATCAATTAAACAACCCCAGAACAAGACAATATTATATTGGAGATGATTATTATTACAAAATCAGCGCTTGCTGTAATGAACAGGCTAGACCCCTTTGGTATTTGCTGAGTCATTTTTATTAATCATGAATAAACTAATGTGTTTTCAAACAGGGAGGGGGTAGTTTAATTTACTTCTCTATTAAAGTCAGCCCAGACTATTATGCCTTCAGGATGCATGTCAGTTTTAACAGTGTAAGCTTAAATAAATATAAATTGCTATAACATATCAAGATGGAAGTTCTCCCAAGCACAACTGCAGATAGTGACACGCAGCATGTGAATATACAGCGAGTGAGTGTGTGTGAAATTGCAGTATGTTACCTGAGACCTCCTCTCAAGCAGCTTGAGCACATCATGTGTGTTTAAGACAACTTCCTAGTTATTATTTAAGTCATGTACAGCGACGTGGTGTTTGCAAGCCATTGGTTTATGCTGTCTGTAGTTCATCATTTGGCATTGATCCTTCCTGTTTCAAAATGTATAAAACGGGGACCCAATCTGACTCCATTCATGCTTTGGCAGACAGAGCGGCTGGGAGTGATGTTCTCTGTTAATGATGGGCTTTTCTATGGTTGGTTATATGATTAAGAAAGTAAAGAAAATACTAAATGTCAGAGAAAAAAACGGTATATGACCAAAAGATATTTGAGAAATATCACTACTCTTGAAGTTTAAAAACTTTCTTGGAGTTTGGATGCTGTTTTAGCACATAACATGAAGTGTGTATACTATTAAAGTGACCACACTTTTCCCCATATAGTGTATAATGGAGAATACGTTTGATTAAAAACACTTGTTATAGGGTCTCCAGTAAAATCACTTTGTAATTGTATGAGTGTACTCTAGGGAGGTATAAACAAATACTCATTAACTCTATTCTCTAACTGTAGTTTAGATTACATTTAGCTTCCAGCGTGAGAAAATATCACTTTGAGATCTTGGGACCAAGCCTTGAGTAAAATATGAATCACACCAATATTGTTGTTTTGGAATTGAAGCTCTGTTGAGGCAGGTGCCTGTGTTTGTCTGCAGGGGGGGAGATGTCACTCTGCACGCTGTACTGCAGACTTCCAGACTCTCCATCTACCCCAGAGAGACCCACTTTATATAACAAAGTATTTTGGCAGACATGACTGGAACAGACAGCTAGGTCAGACAAACCCCGCTGGCTATGTCGTTCCTCTGTGTCTCTGCCAGTTTGTTTGTCTGCTTTGATTTCGATTTTTTGGTTGTGTCTTATTGTTTGTTCCTGTCAGGTAGAGAGAGGTGCATCATTACTCAGCCTGTGTGCTTCATCCAGTAATATTACACAGAGTGAGGTAATAGTCCCACATGTTGAGGGAGAAAGAGCTAGAAACGGAGGCAGCCAGGATGAACGTGTGGTGATTATCAGACTAACGTGTATAATAAATATGAAAGCACAGGGCAGCAAACGGAAAGACTAACGGGGGAGAACAAAGCGAGGCACGAGCGAGCACAAGGAAGCGCTCCCTTTTAATGATAGGAGACAGGGAACAAAACGTCTATATACCTCGGGCAGCCTCATTTATTAAATCAGTTTGCGTGGCACATAAATCTGACGTTTTGAACACGTAAATCAACAGAGACCTTGTTATGAATGAATTGCCAAATCTACTCTACTTGGGCCACGGTGTGTATGCCACCAGCACAGGAAGTAATGAATTGTTGGGAATCAGATTTCACCGCTGTTGAACACTGTCTGCCTGTATCCTCCAGAGAAACTGTGTTTACATTCTTTCATTCAATGTGGGATAAAGGTGTCTCACTAAATATGTGATTACTTTACAAAGTCATTTTATTTACCACATTCCTGCAATGTGATAAAAGTGAAGACACTTGGTAGTGCAACTGGCTTGCTGCATGTGTATTACTGAGAAGTAATGAAATGAGAAACCACAATGGCCTTCATTTAGCTTTCTTTGAACAAACACAAACAGCCTTAGCCGACCTTAGTACTCGCGGTCTTTATGTAGTATCTACATAGACCTGTTGTTATGGTTTCGATGCGCTATGCATTAGCTTCAGCAGATAACTGCTATGCTACTTGCAAAGCTACTGCAACTTAAACACTGGAGCAAAACCAGTCCATAGCTGACATATGTGTTCATTTTTAAATGACATTAGTATCTTCTGTGAAATAGTGTTTGCTTGAGAGTCGCGATTTATCATAATTGTAAGATTACAGTGTTATTTGGACAAAATAAACGTCCTAATATAAATATAGCTTTGGGACTTTTTGTTTGTCAAAATCGGGTTGCCCTTTTCATAAATGTAATCACTCTTTTTGTACTATTACTGACTTTTATATATTTTCGTTTTAGGGAATTGATTTGAGCACTAAAATCGTGAAGTAAACATTTTATTATGGCGACACCAAATGTCACCATCTTTTCTGTAAACTAAACGTCCTCTGGCCTGAGATGTAATTAGGGTAAAGTAGAGCTTTTGTGTTATAGGTTGTGAAAGTGTGTGTGATGGTGTGTCTTCTTGCGTCAGCGTCTGTTTACCTTCTCTCCGTTGGGGTTGCCCAGGACGTAGCATCCCATTATGTGGATGAGGTTGGGTTCTGGGTTGACTTTGCTCATGAAGCGACTAAGCCTCCTCCAGAATCTGAACAAAAACAAAGACTTCAGTTATCACTCTTACCAACAGTTCCCATGGAATTAAATGCAAAAAATGACCTTTAAAAATGATTAGCTCGCGTCAAGCACATGTCCCTCTTTGGTGATTAACCACTTGATTTAGCAAAAAACAGGAGGTGAGGCTTGTGTTTTATATCTCTAAACCATCAACTATTCAAAGATGCCCCCCCCCCAGGAGAGACACTCTGAAAGATTCTCAATTGTTCATGAATGACAAACAATTGAAGGTTGAATCATCCCTCTTCGATTTAAGTCAAGTGGAAGAGCAGAAATATTATTTATATTCTGAAAATGGAGAAAAGAGCATTTACATAAGTAATTTGTATCAGGATCTTCAATCATTTGAATGCCTAAAAGGAGAGTCTTCTTTAGGAGTGAGCCGGTTTCTCTTCACAAAATACATTTTTATATGATGGAGCCCTTTTTGTGATATTTGGTGGATTAGGACTCAATGAGAGGGCAGCTAAGGTATCTTAATGATAAATACCTCCCTACATTTTCTTACTCTGGCTTCTTGAGGTATGGGTCACTACTACAGATAACTTGTTTTAATCTCTTATACTGTATGCATTTTCTCTCTCATGCCAACCACCTGCATGTCGTCTTCACCATATCTATAAACCACATTCTTGCCTTTTCTTTCGTCTGGCACCTCTACCTTCAGATAGCATACTTCTCCAGATATACCCAGCATCTCTCCTTTGCAAATGTCCAAACCATCTCAATCTGGCCTCTCACTTTCTCTCCAAACCGTCTAACCTGATCTGTCCCTCTATATACTCAATCTTAATCCTGTCAATCCAAACCAAAAATCATAGCATCTTCAACTCTGCCACCTCCAGATTAGGGCTGAACGATTAATCGATTTTAAATCGAAATCGCGATTTTAAATGATGCAATTATCAAATCGCAAAGCCTGCTTTTTTAAAAAGTGTTTTTGTTCTTCTTGTGTGTCAGTCATCCACACCAATCAGAAGTGCTGTGCTCCACATGTACCAGTCATTCTTAACCAATCAGAAGTGGCCCATGATAGTAGGTGATAGACAGATTGATCCAATCACCTGCCAAGTATTTTTGAAAGTGCCTGCCCTTTCCAAATGGCTTCCAATGGAGCTTTCCTAGATGGTTTGGTGAAACAAAGCATCTGAGTCCGGTTAGTAATGCTCCATCACATGTGTTACATCTATTACAGGGTGAATCTTAAACTGCAGCTTGACTTTAAAGCAACCCAACGGAAGTTTCATGTAAGTTTAGTTCTTTCACTCGTAGCTCGGGCTGCGGGGGTGCTAGAGACGGGAGCAACGTTGATACGACCTTCCTAGCCAGAGATATGGCCGCATTTTACAATAAACTTCCGTTGGGTCGCTTAAAAACAAATATCGCAAATCGAATCGCAATATCTGTCAGAAAAATCGCAATTAGATTATTTCCTCAAATCGTTTAGCCCTACTCCAGATGTGCCTGCTGTCTGCTCTCCGGGGAATCCCTCCACCTCTTTGCGCTGTCCCTAACCTGCTCCTTCTTCTCACAACAGATCACGATGTCAGCCATGAACATCGTCCACAGAGACTGCTGCCTGATCTCCTCCGTCAGCCTGTCCATCACCATTGTAAGCAAGTAAGGGCTCCCACTTTAAAATGCTAGCCCAAAAATGTAAAATAGCTCTCAGCAAAGCGTATCAGAGATGGAGAGAAAATGTTATATAAACCCAGCGGTAACTTACTGGCTCATGTCATCTTCCTTTTCAACCTTCGCAAAAGTTGCCACTTTATTCTTCAGTAAATACAGGTGACCAGGTCCTCCCTAACAAACACACACAAGAATGAAACAAATTACATTCCATCACAACTGGTAGTTTTCTTGATTTATATATAAAAATGGTAGCTATTACTTTCAGTACACTGCATGAATGTACACATAACCCCATTTATCACAAATGAATGTACAATTTTACAGGAAATACAGTATTACTTTTATTTAGTGTCTACATGTTCCTTACCTGACAAAAGATGAGCATCCTCCAGAACTTGCTTCCTCTCCTGTAAGCTGTGAGCTTCTTCTCTATTTCCTCTGGGAGAGAGAGTAACAGGTTGTATTGATATGAACAACAGTGACAGATAGCATAAAGAATATGCAAAAGAGACAAGTAACAATGTACAGTGAGAGAGGGAGAAATGTCAACAGTGTACACAAAGGAAACCTCTAGAAGGGTGGGTTCAAGTACAGTAAGACATCACAGACACTAATGGAATATATGAATTCAACAGTGTTTCAACAGCAAAAAACAGGTCAATAAAAGACAGAAAAATGGAAACCTGAAATCTCTACATGTGAATTATTCATTAACATCCTCAAGGCAACAGAGGGTCCTTCTCTGAATGAAGGAATCCAATTGAACCACATCTAAGCAAGTTTAAAAGAGATTTATAGCAGGCGAAGTTTAGCCTGTAGCTGTTTAATTGACCTTTAACCCTTACAGAGAGAGTCAGAGTTCAGACTCCGTTCCTCAGGCAAACTGCTGCACGCACAAGACTAGAGGTGATTGATTTTTTAGACTGTTGGTTTTATAAATCTGCTGTGGCTCTATATTTTATAATAAGTGTGTCTTTGTCCTCCTTCAACGCATTCTCATCTTTATGAGACAACTTTCATTAGTTGGACCCAAAATCATGCGATTGAGAGTTTCATATTTCATTTTTGTTCTGTTCTTAGTCATTTTATTATTAGATTATGTGATTTAAGTACATTATGTTATTCATTGTACTCACTGTTGAAATTACATGTTTATTGAATATTTTATTATAAAGGCAGACGCTAAGAGAAAACAAAAAGTTTTACTCACCCAAAATGTCATCAAAGGTTGCATGTTCATGGTCCTAAGGAAAAAGAAATGAACACATATAGTTGTTTGCAAAAGGTGTATGCTTGGTATGTCCATATATTTTTAAGCACATGTCCGAGTGTGTTTGACTCACATAGAGGATGGGGATGATGGACGGGTCGTCCCTGCGGATTATAGTGGGAACGTACTCCGCCTTCGGGACTTTAGAAGAGATCAGCTGAAGGTGAAGGAGACGAAGGATGGATTAAGTAGGGTGTGAGAGAAGGAAAGATGGAGAAAATCGAGCATGGGTTCAGAGAAATGAGAGGAAAGGGGAAAGGAGCAAACTTCATCACACTCATGCCTGCAGGGAATGTACAGCTCTATATATTATTCAGAGTGAGATGGTAGAGAATACATTAGGGGCGTTTAAAATAACTGTACCTTCCTAGGATTAAGCTCATTTTAACATATTTACCTATCAGTGTGTAAGTAACCATTTCCTAAAACAGTTACTTTTATTGTGCCCAAGGGATACTTTTAAGATGCAACAAATACAGAACTTGCATTTTTTACACAACATTCATAACAACTTAATAAATTATATTGATATCTGTGGCATTGAGGGACCTTCAACCATCAAACCCCTCATGTTTTTATTTCACAGTCAACACCATTTCATTTCAACTTTTTCTATCTGTTCTAAATAGATGGCTGCTTTTTTTTTGTTCGATTTTTGTTCTATGTAAAGCACGTTTTGAAAATGCTGATTTATTATCATTATTAGTATTAGGGAAGTCTCCCAACTCGAAATTGGGGAGTGTGGGATTTGAATGTCACGAGCATATAAAAGGTAGAGGGGGTTAAACAAATAATGCTAGTGTGTAGCATTGTGGGGAATGTAGGAATGTATTTATTGCTGCCTTCAAATGGAACCTGTGAGCTCATGGTCGCAACGTGGGAAGTTGATTGGCTTGGTGTTCAAAGTGGTTACATTGTGAGCAGAGCACTGCCAGGCTAGGGTAACATGGATAGATTGTTAACATTACTGTTAACATTACTGTTGGCATCAAGCCGAGCTCACAAGTGGGTAATGTAAGGCAGGAAATATAAAGGCTTAGTGACAAAGAAAAAAAAGATAAGAATTTGGGAATATTAAAGGTCCCCTATCATACTGTTTTTCATCAATATATTATAGGTCTCAGATATATACAAACATGTCTCTGAAGTGTTTGGCTCCAAACACCAAACAGATCATGCATTGTAGCATCCCATAATCCTCTCTGTTTCAGGCCTGTTTCAAAAGTGCTGATTCTCTGTCTGTTACTTTAGATGAAAATAAGGAGCCACTCCCCACGCCCCTCTGAGAGATATTTGGTTAAAAAGAACACAATGGTGCTCTAGGAGGAGATTCAGGTGATAAGGTGTTACCTTGGTTGGTGATTGGCTAATGGTTACACAAGCCAAAAAATCGTTATGACATCATAAAGTGGCCAAAATCTGATCAGCTCATTTTCAGACAGGTTTTTATATAAGTGGATCAGGACAAAAAGTGAGCGAATCTTTTTTCCTGAAACTTTTAGAATCTCTTTACACAGAGGGGACACATGGTGATGTATAAAAGACATGAACAAGTGGAATTTGCATAATAGGTGACCTTTAACACTTTCCTCAAGAATCATTTGTTGACTAAAATTTGAATTCATCCACAGAAATGTTACTTCAATTGCTCCCACCATTTCTGAAAAGAGCAGCATACTTGTCAGAACTTTGGGCTTTCATTAAATGTGCAGGTGCAAGCTTGTAAATACAAGAGGGGGGAATGTGGACCCTCCTTGCTCTTTTACTTACATTTTGAACATTTACAAGTTATTTCCCTTGTAAGTCTGCCAACTTTAAGTGTGATTCGAAATTGTTGTTAAATACTGATCTCTCACCATGATTTTGGGAGGTACAAAGTCGTCCCCTTCGCAGGCCAGCCGCTCCATCTCCCTCTCCTCCTCCCAGTCTAAATTATCGTCTTGGCCTCCTTCATCTAAAGTACCACAGGATGCCTGCAGGTCTCCGCCTGGAAGAGAATAATACCACACCTGTGAGCAAGAACACTAAAGATAATAGGTTTTAGGTAGGAGTGTTCTTGAGAGGCAAGAAAGGTGACAGAGAAATAGAAGAATCTGGGAGTGAAAGGACGTGTCCAGGAAGTGGAGAGGAGTGATTGCGGAGGAGAGGAAACGGGATGGAGTTGGTAATAATGACGGATGGAGGAAGGAAAAGATGAGACCGCTGGCAGAAGGAGAAAGAGGAGGATAGTGAGTGAGCAGGACTTCAGCTAACAAGAAAAGAAACAACTAAGTTCAGAGGGCAGACATTGTAGGAAGGAAAGGAGTTGTATCAAAATGTGCTTCTGTGTAATGTAATCGTAATGTGTACTATATTTTAATTTTGAATGTTGTAAAAACATCAACTGAGTAGGACTTTGATGAGTTAACATCGCTCAAAATTGTCAAATATAATCACTTCACTTTCAGAAATAAGAAATATGAATGGACTCATTAGATTTAGGTTAGAATAATGCATAATAATCCAGCATTATTCCACATCTGTTCAAAAAACATTTAGAATCTTAAACAAATCTTAAAAACTAGTAAATTCAAACAATATGCAGAAGATTTTCTAATCCAAAAAGATTTTTACTTTAAATTGATATTTAGTATACCCTTTTTGCCTGTTTGTTTTATAATTTGTAGACAGCTACTTTTGTGTACTTTTAGGTTTTATTTGTTCTGTAATCAGGGCATCCTTGTATATAAATGAGTGGCAGAGATACTCATTAGCATATTCGCTTGTCATTCAATTAACCTCTGGTGGGCCTCAGTATAACCTTGTAAAATCGTGTAAGACAGCTGTTGAATTATTTCCTCGAAGGAGATTTATTAATGTGAGGTTAAACTGGTCGTTTGGTTGTGCCACAAACCTTAAACCCATAGAACAGCTGTACAAGAGAGCTGTCAAGGTGTTTGACATAAAGCCTTATTCATATCACCACTGTACCATCCTTGATAAACACAATTTCTTGAGCTTTGACAATTGTAAGTCTTTTAAAAGTATGTGTTTTTTTTTATAAATGTTTACATGGACTGGCCCCCCCTCCCTTAGGGGAATGCATCCACAAAAAACACACTGGACGCTGCACTAGGTCAGAAACCAGAGGAGACTGTGACGTCCATCGTAGACGAACCACTTTTGGACAAAATGTACTCTCCATTAAAGGCAGCTCTTTGTGGAATAGCCTCCCAACTGAGATACGGGATTGTCCCACTCTCAATAGTTTTAAAGGTCAACTCACAGAATGGTTGAGAAACAAACAGACGTGCAATTACCGCTAAATGCACTTTAATACTGGCACTTTATATGTCGTTGCTGCTATATTGTATTACCATGTCATAAATACTTGTGTGTGCTGCTCTTGCTCTTTTGCACTTTTTGCATATCATGTATTTTGTTTTTACTATGTTTGTAAAATGTAATCTTCTTAAATGTTTTATGTGAGGGACTGCGGATGGAAATTAGCTCAAAGCTAAATCTGGCACTGTTACGCTTGATACATTAATTCAATGAACACTTAATGTTTTAAGTGTTCATTACTGTGCATTGTCCCTGCCAAATAAACGATTAAATAAATAAACTCCTTCAATTATCATATTACTTTAGCATGAGGAGAGAATACAACTTATCTACAGCATAGATTTGTATTTTTCATAGAAGAAGGCAGTTGTATTAATAACGATGCTCATTGACTGATTTTGACTCAACCGAGCACAGTGATCGTTCACGATGTTTGTTACACCTGTGCTTCTCCTGCTATGAAATTATTCTGATTGGTAACTGGAGACGCTATCTATGCTTTTGCCAAAAACGTCATTGAAAAACTCAGTTATTTTACCACGCAAAGAACACAGGTTGTGTCTACTGCTGCCTTGATGAGTTAGTTTGTTTATGTTACTGTGTGAATGTAGTGAATCCGAACTAACAGACAACTATACAAACAAATGAACTGATTGGAGCAGTAGAACAGCTGTTTTTGTTCAACAAGGTTTAGCTTTAGCCTTGGCACAATCATGGCTGGATACAACAGCTTCAAATCGTTGTTGGAAATGGCTGTCTGAAAGCAAGGTGAAGCGTAGAAAAATCTAAATGTTGCCTATGCGCTTAAACAGATTCGGATTATTTTTCGGTGGGTCTATTTTAGGAAGCTAAAATATGTTTTTGCTCGTGCCCCATTTGACATCAGTACATTGCATAGCTGGACAAAGTATTTTAATTTACTTATAGACATATAGATGCTTTCTTGATGTTCATAACCACTAAATAGACAGACCTACAGAGCAGGTGTTCGTTAAATCTGAGCTGTCAGTATTTCTTTGATCCGTGGATAGCTGACGTGATGCATGCAGTTTTGACTTAGTATTTATTTACAGTTTAACATTCTTAGGGTCAATGCATGCATAGTAAAAGTGTTGTTGCTGATAATTGCTATTTATATTCAAGTGCTGTTACTGTATACGAAATTGCCATGTTCCATTGCTGTAGTTTAATTACAATGTGAGCACTACGTTTATGATTGTCATATATTTGTGTTATATATATTTGCTGCTCACAGTGTTGTCCTTGAGGTTTTTTATTAATAATATACATTTGTTTGTATTTACCATTTATAGAAAACAACCTCAAAATAGTAATTGGCCATTATGTTATATGAGGATATTTTGAAAACAAAAATGTACTTTTATGCTCGTATCAGCCTTAAAGAATCAGTTTCAGCCCAACTGTAGTCAAAGGATTTTGGCAATAGGTTTTGTGAAGCAGCTAATAAAGAACATTGTAGTGGTACCAAGAGGGAAATATCCTTCTCAAGAAAGTAAAGAATGAAAAAAGAGAAAATAACAAGCGAAATTGATGATTAATGTCACAGAGAACAATACCTTTCCCTCAGGAAACAGGGAAGAATGAGGCATCAGCTACACCATTCGACTGTCATCAACAGTTCATTTATCTTTCATCACACTCTAAAACACAGAAACACTGAAGATGGAAGGTGGAGAAAAACATAAAACCACAGACACCAACATAGACAAACATCACCTGCAATCAGTGTGGGTTGAAACTCACATTTATAAGCCATTTAGATACACTTAGATACACTTAGACACACGTTCCTTGCCTTGACATTTGTACCAGCGGACACACTCGGACTGAGACGCACACTCCAGTTCGAAAGACATACTCACAGATATAGAGAGAGCATCACAAAGTTGAAGAAAGACCCACGGTCAAAGGGAGACAGATGGACAGGGTCAGAGTCAACAGCAGGGACAGTCAGTGTGTACGTGTGATGGAGGGTTTTCTGTGTAAGTGTCTTTGGATTTGTTATGTGTGTGTTAACTGTTCTTTCAAAACACGGAGCTGAGCTGTAAAACCGTGATGACAAAATGTCACCTTACAGTTTACTGTCAAATCCCAAGTCCTGTTTGTACACACTTGATGAAAAGTGGCTTTAACCTTCAAGTACCTAAATCACCATTGAAAACACTGACAACCAGAATGGCTCCCGGAGAGTACAGACTCCTTCAAAGGCAGTTGCCTTAAGTGAAAAATGTCATGTTTCCACCGTGTGATTCAGAACTACATAATAACTGGGTTCCTCTTAGGCCATAGTACTTCCTTCAACCAAGTTTAATGAAAATTGGGATAGTCGTTTTTCCACAATCCTGCTGACAAAGAAACCAACAAACCAAACCAAAAACATAACCTTCTTGACACGGGTAGAATCACATCGGCAATTTTAGTAGGGAAATTATTTCACTGTTGAGTGTTTTGGGATTTTAAGATTTTACATTTGCTGAGGGAGGAAGTAAAAAAAGAAATAACTTTTGTGGTATCCTTAACATAAGAATAGAAGTACAATTTGTTTTGCCTATTAATGCAAACAAAATTAGGATTTTTCCCAATCTGGAAATATTTAAAAAAGGTTCGTGTAGAATATACATTTGTACTTACTAAGCAGAGGCGGGAAGTTACTAAGTACATTTACTCAAGTACTGTACTAAAGTACCATTTTGAGATACTTGTACTTGACTTGAGTATTTCCATTTGATGCTACTTTGTACTTCTACTCCACTACACTTCAGAGGTAAATCGTGTACTTTTACTCCACTACTTTTATTTTGTACCTTTTAGTTACTTTGCAGATTTGGATTAATGATGTGAAATATAAACCACACTTAAATCAGACTTTAGTTAAACCTGGAGTAAATTCACAAGCTACCTGCAGTATACAGAGTCATTAAAATAGCTGTACCTTTACCAGCTTTGATACAATTTTAATGCATCAATAATTATAATCAAAACATATCATATATATTATTCTGAAATGGACCAATCTGCATAATAGGTTCTTTTATTTTTGGTACTTTTAAGTTAATTTTGATGTTAATACTTTTATACTTTTACTTGAGTAATCTTTTGAATGCAGGACTTTTAGTTGTAACAGAGTATCCCTGCACTCTGGTACTTTTACTCAACTACACAATCTGAGTATTTCTCCCACCTCTGTTACTAAGTACTGTACTACTACTTTGCATTACTTTTGACAGCTTGACCATTATTTAAGACTAGAGATGATCTGGCCTCATTCCATCGGTCGGTTCATATATCAAAGTGCTGATTACCACATCATTTTCAGAGCTGACACATGCTGCTAAGTGGCTTTCAACAATGTATGAGCCACCTGTGTATGGAATAAATTAAGGACAAAAGTACTGAGCAAGCACAAAGCGAATTGAAGTTGTAATCGATATGCCAGTTGTGATGTGAGGGCATGAAGGGTCATGGGCTATTATTAATAATAACTGCACACCTTTTACATTGTTTAAAATGCAGCAGCTGCAGCAGTTTTGGTGGATTATTAACACTTTAAAAGGACATGTCTGTATCTTGCGCTTATTGTAATATTTATAATAGGAGGATGACTGCACTGAAGTAGTCTGGAATATTAAAAAAGGCCAGGTCTTAACAGTGGAGGCCAATTTTACATTTTTCATATCTCAGTGCATGCAGGGAATACAAACTGGTAACTTAACTAGACGAGACGCAACAGACACTGGTTTACACACATGTAACACGTGATTTGGTTACTTCAGAGTTAAAGCCTGCTTCCAAGTGTTTAAATCGCACAATGTTTGCTCCACTGTGTGTGTCAGCGTCTGTGTGTAGATGGACGTGTGTTAGTACGTGTTAACTCACTGTCATGCTGAGAGTCATTCTTGACAGGGGTGGGGTCACTCCAGGAGCGGCTGAAACTCTTCGATCTACGCTCAGCGAATGCTAGTACAGGCGGGGAGAGATTGTCACACACACACACAAACCACACACGCGCACTGAACAACCCGCAAAATGACCTTTTTTCCCTACACACTCACCACCTAAAACACATATGTGAACACACGGAAGCAGCTCACATATATTGTGTACATACGATGTCACCCCATCTCGGCACAAACAAACACCTGCATGTTTAAACAAACATACACATACAGTATGCTGACAAACTATAACGCCATAAAAGATCCTGCTTCTTATCTTAAGGATGGATTTCAAGGTCTGCTTTTGTCTCAGAGATTTAGTGAGCCTCGATAGAATCAGCTTTGCTTTGAAGAGTAATCACTGTGCTCTTGGAATATGTGTAGACTACTTTAAAGTGTTTGATCAACAGTGTCCCTCAAGGCGGCATTTTGCTGCTGACAACAATTTGTTCTATTCAAGTACAACAATCTTTTCATTAGCTAGAAACATTCATAAGGTCAACTTTAAGGCCTTTTTTTTAAAATGTTGATATTTCAGGGTTGCTTTTAGAAATAACTGTTTATCAAATCAAAATATGTTTTCCTGTTTTGTGACACAATAACTCTTGACTAGACTTTAGATTTTTATCAAAACTAGATGATTCTGTGATGATTTCACTTAATCAGCAATGCAGCATTGGGACCTTATTCTCTGAAATTGTGTTGAATAAGAAAATTGCTCCAGGAGAAGTAGTTCCTCCTCACAGCAGGGTTGCTTCTTGAGATATAGGATTAAATAAATGTCTACTCTATAGGGCAAAATGTAACACTGAGTTACAATCATAGGTGACATATTCGGGTTATAATTGGGTTCAGGCTTGTCTGCTAAAACATTCTTTTTTTCGCATTACAAAATAATGGCCTTCACGCCTGACATCATCATAGGCCACTGTGACACATTTCCATTGTGACCTATAACGATGGACAAGGAACATCTTGTTAACATTCATAGTGCTTTGACATTTGGCACATGTTTGGCACATGTTGTATAATCTTAGCACGTGTACTCTTCCTAAGTTACTTGTAATAATGATGCATCTTAATTTGACAGAAATAAAAAACAAGCAATGTTTGTATTTGCTGGAGCATGGATTTATAGTTGATTTGACTTTGTCCTTACCCATTTTATCTCCATTACATCTTTAAGATGCCTCCTAAAATGACACTCAAACTGTTACTGAAGCCACAAACTGCTACTCAAGCCACATCTAATCCACATTTTTTCAATGTGTTTTCAATACGACACACACTCCTCCATTGTTACCAATCATTACTTCCGTATTTTCCTTTAAAAATATATATTTAGCATCTTAGTCTTTACAACAAACCGAACAAAGACCCGAAACATTCAAAGCGATGCAACAGGAAAGGACCACCAACACACTCGTATAGACAGGAGCAAGACTCATATTGTACACACACACACACACACACACACACACATACATACATACATACATACATACATACATACATACACACACACTGATAAACATATCAATATTACGTTTTATAATCCCAGTAAAAGCAGGCGCGCTTTGGTGCCACACGCGTGCAATAAACACACCAGAAAACAAACAGAAAAACAGATGATGGCGAGGTGGAAAACACAACAGTCAGTTTGAGCAAACATATCAGCCACACACACAAACACACACATCTCTGACTCACTCTGTGCTTTCATCCTCCTGCTGCCCACCATCCGAAGATGCTTCCGGAAGTTCCTGTGGGTAGGGAAATGAAAACATGCGAGGGATAACAGAGGAAAGAGGAAGACCCAAAACGTAAAGAAGAGAAGGAGGAAAGAGGGCGGGAAACGACAAAGCCAGGGAAGACAAGTAGGAGAGTTTAGTGTCAAGCTTCTGTCTCTAGGTTAAAAAAGAGATAATTATAGGTAAATATACTCATTTTATTGTCACTGTGAGTGGAAAATACTTGTCACAGGAGCAGTGTGGGTGTAATGTACCACACTGCCAAAGCACCGCTCTTTATCCTTTTACAGTAAAGATTTAATGAGTCTCATTCACGTAACAGCCAAAAGGGAAACACTTTTCTAGTGTTTTATAGGTTTCAATGCATCAGAGTGAGGTTATTTAGTCAATATTTAAAATTATAATAATAATATATGCATAACTAAACATTTGTATAACAATCACCCGGATTTTGTTATTAAAGGATGGCAACTTTTACGTATAAGGCAAGATGTTACGCATTAAATACGTCCAGAAGATCCTTAAGACCCTATTACATGGTTTAAATATAATCATTGTTATAACAGATGAAAACTTAGACTATGTTCTTTGCTGCTTCCAACAATCAAGCTAAATCCATATGTCTCTGCTCCATAATATAAATGCACATTTATTAATCAGCATTATAATCCTCCATTAAACCCTGCCTGCAAGAGGCCAATGGTGATCCATCATCCTGAACAATAATCAGTGTCTTTGTAAACCATATTCTTTTTACTTGACATAACCGATAGTTAAAATGTTTTATATGCTGACGTATTTCTCAGGTCAGACAGAAGCAGAGCACTTATTACAAGTCCTGTGTCATAAACATGTTCACATCAGTGCTTGGAGACTGATTAACATTCACTTTAGGAAACCCTATTCTGTCAGAGACTGCTGACCGTGAATAACCTTAACTTACTGTTCTTCCACCCTCTGTGAAAGAAATCTTCAAAAACAGCTTGAGTGCACAAGATGAGTCAGACAATGGATTTGTCTATACACAACAGTATATCTGTGAAACATGTGCTAATGATTGCAGACTCTATTCCAGTCATTACAGGATCAAACGCCATTTTTATTACATCAGTGGTGTAAAGTAACCTGAGTGCACGAAGCCTGTTATCCTCATTATTCAAATGTAGTCATAAAAATGGTTAACTGCTGCATCTCATTGAGGCTAATCATGGGCTAATGAGTAAAGTTAATTCACCAAAGTTGTAACACAGTGCATTATTAACATTTCGAACCTTATCTTTTCAAAACGTGCTTGTTGTCTTGGTCCGTTCCTTTATTCCTGTTTCTTCACACACTTTAATGAGAAGATATGTCAGACTATCAAATAAATGCTGTGTTGTAGCCGACTATATGCTACAAACTTGTGGAGTTACTTTCTCTTATGTTTTCAATTTCCAAGTTTTAGCTACTTGCATTAGCTTCGTAAACCATAGTATTCATGTCTCCTAGCAACAATTAAACTCTCTGACTTCACTGTATATTTGTAGTCTATACGTAATTAAATACAGAAGCTTTGCATTACCATGTTCCACTTGAAGTCCATTTTGTGTATTTAGTAAGAACAAAGCAATATGGTTTGTATAGTCGTCCCTATGACTGCCTGTCTCAGACCGACGCCATGTTCTATGCAAGAGTCCCAGATAAACATCCTCTTATCTTCCTGCCTCCCTCCCATGTCACATCTACACACAGTTTCAGCACACCGAGCCAACAGTCTGCACTCAGGATTAATGATCTCAGCGTGTGGTTTTATGTATGTGTGTGTCTGTGCGATAGTGGGTCCATGTTTATTATTCATAGTGGAGAAGCACATAAAAAAAAAAGAAGCGACTTAAAAAGGAAACATAAATACACTTTGTAGTCTTTGTCCTTGGTTTACCTCCGTAAAAATGTCAGCAAACCAACAGTAAACTCGCTACACCAAACGATGCATTTCCCTGCTCATTTAATGTACAAACACAAATCAAGTCATGGTTAAAAACAGGAGAGATCACTGCTACTTGCACTTTGAGATCTTTAACACACTGATACACACACTCTCCTGTGCTTAAACCTCAGCTGCCCACAATGAGAGGTGTGGACACGGATAATGGGAGTTTAGACTGAAAGAGAGGAAATGTGAGAGAAAGCGTGGTCTCCTCCATTTCCAACTAAAGACAATCTGACAGGTTCTGCCACCCTCATCTTCAGCTCTTTCTGTGATGCTCTATAACTCTCCATGACTCCTTTCCCATCCACATTTTTGCCTACATTTTCAGATTTTGCTTCAATTTGACTCTCTACTGCCTACTCCTGTTCCACCTTCTCTATATCTGTATTTGAACAAGAATGATGATCACACCTGCATTATTTCTCACGTTATTTTCCCTCCTTTTCTACCTTACTGTACAAGCCATTCCTCCCAAAGACTATCCTGTATGTGTCTTTCTCCCAGTTATCTGGTTTCTTTGATAGTATTTGCCTAAGGTTTGATCAAATTGTCAAAAATATACTAACTATTAAGTACTCCATATGCGGTATATTATTGGATTATGATCATTAATGCATGAATGTGAGCTAAGGCTCATTTGAACTTCTACATAATGCTATAGCTTTCACCATAATGCATCCAAATGTATAAGTTCAGTACATTTTGTAATAGGAGTACAGTATTCAACTCCTATAAGTATATGGATGGAACAATATTAATTTGGGATTCGAACCACACTAACTATAAATTGATACGTTGACATTTTTTGGTATTCCAGTATGTTATAGTGCCATTTTAAGATGTTAACAGCATATTTGTTTGATTACTGATATAATATCGTAGATCACATTGACTGGCCAGGGGAATCGTGATTTTAAATTCTCCTATCCTCCTATGCGATAGTGCATTAGAAGTTTAGACTAGTACTCAAGTAAATGTGTCTCTGAGTAAAGTCAGACTTAAGAAAATTCTGGGAAAAGGTCTGATTTAATTGTGTAGAGATGGTAATGCAAGATGAAAAAGAAAGTGAACCCCTCACATCAAAGACACCAGGTATAATCTACTCTCCCATTGTGAAAAAAAGCACTCTCAGAGTACAGGGGCTGAATTAGAGCAATACTGAAACGGCACTTACCTTTGTGCATTGATGTTTATAACTATGGTTCAAATGATCGTGTGGGGATGAGGATCTTGACAGAGGCACTGCCTGCTGTATGAGAGTAATAATTTCTGCTCTGCTTTGTGGCTTTAGGGCACATCTTTACTATACTAATGCAGGAAGATTTAAAAAACACTTTCACACTGGTGTTTTAAAGCTTTTCCTAAACTTTGCCAACCAGATTGAAATACGGAAATGCTTCAATTTTGACCCTTCGGCTGTACATCATATGAAAAGAATATAATATATAATATAATAAAAAGGAAGCTTACAGTCATATTAAGTGTTTTTTTGTTAAAGGGAAATAGGGCTGAAGAAAAAAGTGCTTTACCCAGTCAGGAATTTCCCTTTATTCAGTTTAAGATGGCTTCCTGTTTGATCTGCTTTTAGTGGTCAAATACTCAGCTTAGTGAAAACAAAAGACAAAAAGGAAATACTTAAACATACTATTTTACAATTTTACTGCCGTGGTTGAATATGGCATTATTGGATAATACAAATGTAAGTAATGGTTTCTGTTGGATGGCGGACTATTTTTCCCGTGGTATTTTATGCAACTTTTTTTGTTATGCTTTTTCCCCTCTTTTCAAATCACACATTTTGATGAAAAAACACCAATGTCAGTGAACTGACACTGCAGATGGATGAGTGAGATGTTAAAGGAATTGAGATGCGCGGTCTCACATTCGCCATCTGTCCCCGTGTGACGGAGCATCTGGGTGGGACGGTTTCTGAACTTGTTGCTGATGACACTACTCCTGCAAGTGTTACAGAATCTCACTCCACATTTCAAAATAATCATTTGGAGTGATTCTAATTCACCCATTTCTGTAAGGGTGTTAAATACATTTTACGGTAGAATGCTGCGGTCTCATTCAAACTTGTAGTGTAGGTTTTGAATTCTGAAGTATAATGAATGAATGACTCTAATGTCATACAAAAGTCGTATACCAATGCAATTAATCTAGGTGTGGCTGAGTAGCATTCAGAAGATTTTCCAGAGTTTTTTCAAATCATTCAAACAGAATGTACCAGTTTTTTTCGGAGACCAAGAATTCAGGGGTGGCAGTAAATATCCAGCCTAGAAATGTGGGCAGTGGGCACCCTAGCAGGGCGCTCAGTGGATCCTTTTTAAAGCTGACATCCTCACCTTCAAATGCCACGTAGTGAATCTTTGGTTTAGTCAGATTAGAGGCAGCTGTAAATAAGCGACAACGGAGCTATAGCCAGAAACAAGCCAACAGCAAAGCACACCCTGGCAGGGGCCGCTTCGTACCTCTGGATGACTTCTGCAGAATCCTGCTCCCTCTCTCTCCTTTTTCTCTGCACAAATCCCCGGAAAGCCCTGCCGGGACGTGGCACAGTATTAAAGGGATGAGAGAGCGAGAATGCTGGCGTAGCGAGGGGTAGGACAGAGCAAGGGGGGGAGGGGGGGGCTGGTGCCAGGGCTTTTAGCGGCAGGGTTTATTTGGCTGCAAACGGGAAGTTGTTGTTGGTAGGCAGCAGCTAGCTTGGAGAATAAAGACCAGAGTCAAATCACATCACTGTTCAAATCTTATTTTCTATTCACCCCTGCGACAAATGTGCCAGTATACATGTGGTATAATCCATCTGAGACGCTGGTCTGGTGACCTCATGTGGCTTTTCAGAGGTGCCTTATGAGATATATGTTTTTTTTCTGAATTGTAGGATTCCTACTACTTTGCCAGAATCAGTCATGGATACTTGTTGTGTATCCTCATGCAGTTTAGAGTAATCTTGAGAGTGTAATTCTGCCACTGAAGGCCTTTGGGCTTAAGTAACAGCTCAACTCGAAAATAGTGCACATTCTCCATTGCTGTGACATTAATACTTCATATTTAATGGATATTTTTTTATCCTAACGCTGTAATCAACAAGCAAGAGGTTGACTGCAAAGACAGTTATGTTGTTATAACTTGTATAACTTGTGTCCTTTCATATCAAAACGTTTGTAATAGTTCTGCAGAAAGTGACACCACCTTATGTGTCAAAGTACAAACATGGTGTGAAATGCATCACTGTTGATGTGCGATTATGTCCTAATAATCGCACTTATTGTTGTTCAGATGTAACCCAACGATCCTGTGAAGCTGATTAAAATGTTTCCATGGCAGAAAGAGAGCTAGAGATAGAGCATCTCTGACCATGCTACATTTAATTGACCGACTCTGGGTATGTAGTGGAAAGTAGCTTGTAAAATCCACCAAAGAACAAAATGTTCTTTAAAAGGTCAAGGCTGCCAAATCCTATAAAAAGACCAAAACCAAGAATGCATTAGTCAGCCTGTCAATACTTTCTGACTCCCCTGCCAGTCTGTAGCTCTCAACTGCAAGCCCAGTCGTATACATTGGCATACATCTGGGATAAAATATAGGATTTTGTAGTTTGAAGCAAACCTTACTCAAACAGGGGTAAATAAATGGTGCCACTGGTACAAAAAGCAACAGGATGGCTTGTTACAGCTTACTTCAAATGAGCTACACTATGTCTGTTCATCGTAATAGCTCAGGAGGAGTGGTTATCCACCAATCAGAAGGTCAGTGGTTCAATCCCTCGCTGCAAATCTTCACATTTTGAATAAATCCTCAAAATGTACTTTGAGCTAGCAGCAGGAGGTTAGCTTGGTCAACATACAAAGAACTTGAAAGCATTTGAAAGCAGCTTGGTTAGTTAGGTTTAGTAAGGTGAGATGTGTTTGCAGCAGGGGTTGTGCAGTATGAAATGTGAAGAACTAGCCTTAGTTTATTCATGGCAAACTACACTATTCCTCTTATCATTTATCTGATGGCTTAACCTTCTTCTCTGATCACCAATACTAACCTCTCATGCCTAACGTGTTCCTCTAACTACTTGTTCTTAGTGTGAAATAAAAAAGATTTTTTTTTTTAGAGCAGATATGGGATTTTAGAATGGTTTCAAAACTACTTAACTACGGTGATTCAAAAATGTAATAAGGAAACGATCGAATAATTTATCTATATTGCCCATTTATATAACCTACTGAATGTATGAATTCATATTTTTATCAATGTACACACTTTGCACGTTAGTGTAGGTATTTGCCTGATTAACAGTTAAGGAGCTGTTTAACGCTGTGTCTGAGTATGTTTACTTTGTCAGTTCATTAAGTCCATTAAAAAGTGTGACAGTGATCTAAATGAATGCATCATGGCAATCAACAACACTGTCAAAGTCAAACAAAGTCATCTGTCAGTTTTTGTCATTTTTAGTTTACTCCTCCATCATGTCAGTGTGAACAGGAACCGGACCAGAAATAAAACGCAACAAATCATAACTCATATCGTTTTACCAGAAGGCACTTGGGATCACATGTTAGCACTATAAATACTTGTTCCTAACAAATCTGTCTAGAGCCAATTACCACAGTCAGTTCCAAAAAACGCCTAAAGTCCGCCAGCACAGATTTTGTGATAATTGGAGATGGCGGTGGAGAGGGATTAGAGCACTAACAGGAGTGCCACAAAAATCTAATATGGCCAAACTCTTATCTATCGATGTGTGCTAAGTGAGGACGGGTGTGTGTGTTGAACTGACATAACTGCTGGGTAGATGTGAGCTGACAGGTTGTGGTCAGCCAACACACAGACGGACATTTTCCTGACTTGAGAATGGCAGAATAACTCGACCTCAGTGGATTACTCGAGACTTGATCCCTGCTGTTGCATGAATATCCTGAAAACTCAATTTCCCCCTTCTGGCTTAAAGAAAGAGTAATTAAAAGAAAAGAAATTCGCTGACTTGGCTTCTACCTCACAATCCATAACTCTATATCAGGAGATGATTGATGTTTCTCGAAAATCAAATGTTTTAGTACCTCAAAAAAAGGTCCACCCACTCCCTGGTCCTATCCTGTAATGGTCACTTTGTTTTCAATCACCCAGCCCAGGGATGAAGGTTAAATGGTAGACATCGAAGTTAAGGAACAGCAGTTAAGTACAAGAAGTAAGCGAGATAAAAGGAAGCATGCATGGGAAATATACTCACGATATCCTGTTTGGTTGTCCCATTGTTAATTAGCACGCAGGAAGAGAGGAGAGGGAGAAAAAAACAACACATTTCAGGCACCGGTGATTAATGAGGCCGAAAACAGCGATGGAAAAACTGTAAGGCATAATGAGACAGTAAGTGTGTGTTAAAGTTGACCTTGCTGCTGGTCTAAGCTTATTTAAAAGGCTAAATGAACAACCTATTTTATATTGAGTCTGCCTTTGTGTTCAAGTTCTTTTGTACAGACTAACACTCATTCTCACTCACACACATCTGCCTTTTATTTTTTCATTTGCTTTAAAAAACTCACGTTTGCCTATGTTTTTGCACATGAACTAAAAAACTGCTTACGTTACATTACTGCCAATAAAGTACTTATTGAAGCCGTGCTAGCAACATGCCTTTGAGGATTTCGATGCCCTTCTTGGTTGTATAGTCCACCACTTGGGTTCAGACTAAACTATAATAATGTTGGTGATACTGTACATTTTCAATTGGCGACACCATCAGCTCTTCCAATACTCCTATTCATTACTTAATACCTGGAAAAACTACTGTGTATAGCATATGTTAGCATGCTAAGAGACTCAACTAAGATGGTGAACATGCTAAACAAGCTTGCTAAACAGCCAAATGTTAGCAATGTCATTTTAACCATGTGAGATCCTGATAAGAAGCTCCACAGCTATGTTTACATACAGTACACGAACATGGCTGCAGACTCGCAGTCTTTTAACTTGCTCAAGATAAACGTATACTTAATTCTTTATTGACGAAAGTGTTGAAATATGAAATCTAAAACATCGGCAATCCAGCGGTTTGGAAGTGATAATGAATTGTGTAATCTCAGATGTCAAATCATCTTGATGAGCCTTTTAAAACACACCATGCATTAATTATTCAGCTAAAGTTGACTAAACATTCACGATGATGGATTGTTTTTCCTAGAGCACGCTTTAAGGGTCTGCAAGCTGTTTTTATAGCCTACTGAAATGGAAATCAATGGCAGCCTGGAAGGTAAGAAATCAATCTAAAAACCTATAGCATGCTTTGGATAATGGTGTGCGGTTTATGTAAAGTATGCAGTTTGGAGTTAATGGTCTGAAACATGCAAGCACACCAGTCCGACCTTTCAAACAACATAAGTGTGATCGTGTGTGTATTTGTGTACATGTGAGATTGATGTGTGTGTGCTTGAAGGTTGGACACTCACGCCTGCATGGTTGTCGTGGCAGTTTGAAAGCTGAACATGTTTTCCTTTGGGAACCAGTTAGTGTCCTCTGCAATTAGAGAGACAAATGTTAAATCCTGGGTTAAGTACGAAACATGAAATATCTATGTGCCATATTGGCTAACGTTGTAATCAATATATTTGATATATGGATGCACAAAACCAGCGACAGCACCAGCACTTCACAGTCCACCACTCCACAAATGGAGAGAGGGAGACACACAGAAGGAGACAGCAGAGGGGAGAGACGGGGAGACGAAGAGTCAGATCAACAGACCACCACGTCACATCCAACAACACACCCTCAATCCCCACCAGAGCTGAGAAGAAATAGATTTGAATGCAATAGGAACTTACTTTCAACTGTTTTCTCAAAGTTCAAATGAAAAAAACATCTAAGTGTTCTAGTTATTGCTTACTTATTGCTTACTCAAGTGTAGACTGTGATTTTCTGCTTATTTCAACAGAAGTGGTTCTGAAACTTTAAAAAGGCTAGAAATATCACTTGTAAACAGTTTATTTTGTTACTAAAGTTGCAATCAGGCAAATTAAAGAAATGCTATTTCCTCTCTGGTCCAATACCAAACCCCAGCAAACCCACCAATGGGGTCTAAAAACATACCCTTACCCCCTCCCGCCCTGGTTTGGAATTCCGCGCCTCTCTTCTCCTCTGTGTCCTCCGCCCTCTCACCTCTCTCCAGCCCAGTCATCCGGTCCACACTCCACATCCGCTCTAGGCGTCGGTGCTGCTTGCCTGCCTCTCGGGATGCGCTCTCCAGGTCCAGAGACCCCTGGCTCCGCGAGGGGGCCCCGCTGCAAGACTCGCATGCCAGCCCGCTGCACTCCGCCTCCCCCTTTCCCCCCTCCCCCCAGCCGCGGATGTTGTGGGCGCTGACAGAGGTCTGCAGCGGGGGTTGAGACAGGTGATGGTGGTGGCCGTGGTGGTGCGATCCATGATGGGAGTGGGATCCAGTGACCGCAGAAGACTGCTGCTGCTGGTTGCTACTGCTGCTTCCACTCGCCCCCCCACTGCTGGAGGTGGTGCCAGAGAGGCCGTGGTGGTGGTGGTTTCCGTGGTGAGGGTCGTGATGGTTTCTGTGATGGTGGTTGTTGCCACGGCTGCTGCTGGCATGGTGGTGCTGGGTTGGAGACGATGTGGCGGAGGAAGGGGAACCCTGGATCAGGCCACTTCTGGAGGCCACCCCGCCACTCCCCGACTTCTCCTTCAGGACGTCCAGTTCTAGGCTCTCCTTGCTGCCCCGGCCGCTGTTCATCAGCATACCGCGCTGAGTGGTGATGGTGTAGACGCGGGCAGGCTGCAGGGTGCACTCAACACTCTTCTGTTGGTCCTCCTCCGCTGAGAAGCTGCGCTCAAGGGAGAGCTTTGATGCTTTGGTAGAGATGGTGATGGATGGTGGAGGTGGCTGGTGTAAGCCCAGCGTGGGTTTCACCTGGCCGGGATCCCGGTTGTCCTCACAGCCCTTGGTGGTGTTGGAGCAGGGATGGAGATGATTGTTGTTGTTCGGGCCAATCTTGTCACTCGGCGACTCCGGGTCGGGACCCACCAAGGTTTCACACAGTAGATGAGCTAGAATGGCGATGAAAAAAGACAAACATGAGTGTTAGAGAAGAATAATTACTCTAAATATCATCTTTCTTCGGTTATCAGCTTTTGCAGTGATGATTGCAGCTTGGCATTTCAGCAGAGGGTGAGGTAGGAGAGCACAAAGGAATAGGCAGAGCAGCATAGAGGGATGGACAAATGGCAGGATGGCTGAAACGCTGACCTGATCCGTTTCGGTTTTCAGGGTGTGTGTGGGACAGGTACTCTCCAAATGCTCGGGCTGCTCTGTGGACACACACACACACACACACGACACACATAAAGACATTAATTCATGGTTGGAAAGGAGGGGTGAGTTGAAATAAGAGGAAATGGGAGGGTAGAGAGGAGAAAAGGGCAAGGGAATTGTAAATTATAAACCTAATTGCCTTCTTTGTAGGCTTTTGCCACCCACAGATTACAGATGCAGCTGTTTTTATCTCCACACTTCAGGCAGCCACAGACTGAAAGAGAGAACGTGAATGAGACAGCCGGATGAGATAAAGTGAAGAATTGTTCAACTTCATTTCTCAGTATGACCTCAGTTTGCGTCAGTGGATGTAATTACAGCAGGCAGACCATAGGTGTTTTGGTTTTTTCTTGGTTCATAAATGGTATGTGTGTTTGTACCGCAAATACTGTATTTTCATGTCAACTTAACCTTGACAACAATTGAAGAAGATTGCTTGGATACGTGCTGAAAATGGAAGCTCAGTGACCACCGTACTGAATCTCATAATGAGCTCCTTTTCTTCTCTTAGTGTCTCTTTTACTCGCACACAGAAATAGACAGACAATAATACGCTACAGACGTCCATTCAGCCACATTGAGCTAAAATCCAATATCATAGAGGGCTTCAGCTTTTAATAAAATAGCCCCGGGTCTTGCAATTGAATGACACTGACCTCCTAATGTTCCTCTGTGTGACAGGACAGGAGAGGGAAATGAGCCAAAGGAGACGGGGCAAAAGAGAGACGAATTACTCCCAATATGTGCTTTCAATGTCAATCTGGAACTGAGAGGATATGAACCGCAGCAATAACTATTAGGAATAACGAGTCATGACTATTATTAGGAATTATTGGAGGGATAAAAGGAAACGAGAAAATGTGAGAACCTCTAATAGTGTATGCTATAAATATCAGGTAACTCCTATAGCGCTGTATGCAAACTGACTTTTAACACAGAGGTCACTAATAATCTATAACTTCAGGAAGACTGATCAGTTGTGAGTCAGCATATTCTTTTCCTTTTAGCAAACGTGGTTATAATGCAGCATTTATTAAGTTTATATCGATGTGGTCCTGAAAAATAAACTGATGTGTCCACAGATACAGTCCAATTATCAAAGGGGAACATTTGACGTCCTCCAGCACTTGCAGGAGAGTGGCCTGTTTTCTTATTCAGCGAGTGTTGGAAGTGACTGTGCAGGAGAGGCTCCTGAATGAAGGGCAAACACTGGGTGAATGCCTCCCTCCTGGCAGCTCTGTCAATTATTCAAGCCTGTCCAACACAGCAGGCGCACACACAGTCAGAGCAGGGGCAAGGAAAACATACTTTTTTTTAAAAACATTGCTATGATGCAACATCTTTCCTTCTCTCGTACACTAAGATCCTTGATGTATGGCAACCTGGTTGCAAAAGGAGAACAGATTTGATAGAAGTCTATAAGAAAAGGACCTTACTTATCACTTTTTTCGTTGTAGTAGTAATATTTTAAGTAGTTTGTGGTCATTTCAAGTTTTCTTTAATACATGTTTAATGCACATTAAAGCAGGGAATGCATTAGTTATACACAGTTGCCTATAAAGTTGGAATACAATATTTGTACATCTTCTCATGCAATGATTGTGACAATGTGATTTGTTCTTGATAGATAAAGTGTATATCTTCTCAAAACTTTATTGATCAATCTCTTCCAAACACATCACAGTGAACATTAAATAGGAGTAAAAAGTGGAATGTGTCTGAAAACAAAATTAATCCAACTTTATGGGCAACAAATAACCGTAAGTATATTACAAATAAGCATATTTTTGCTAGGCATAATTAGCATCACAGTTAAAGTGATTTACGCCTGCACCTTACTAACCAAGCTGGCCAACTAGTGCTAGCATTAGCTGCTTATAATACATGACTCACTTGCTTGTCTCCTGCTTCACCCTCTCGTCCAATCATGGCCACTTCTGGCTCTAAAAAAAACTAGATCACGAAGGCCAAAAACCAAAGTCGAGGCTTCAAATCCATAGTCTCGAAAACCAATGTGTGATGTCGCCGTGACGACCTCAGATCGCAGTCTAAGATGTCATCTTAAAGTTACTGTGTGTGTGAGTCAGTCTCAGTATTCAAAGGCAAAAAAGAAGAAAGAACAGAAAAAATGAAAGAGACAAAATATTAGTGTCTTTGTTTTGTGATCTGACAAGCAACCAGTCCCGTTAAGGGCCGTCGTGAAACATGTTTTATACGTTCTAATCAGCAGGTGTTCCTCTGAAGCTCTGAGACATTTTTATTTTGCCCTCCTGTTTCATTATTCAACAGGCTGGGCACTCTGATTAGAATCTGAAAACAATGGTGCAAGAGACTCGCATCATCCATTATACATGAGAGGAAACTGAGTCAGAAAGGGATATAGAAAAATCACTCTCGATCAATCCATTAAATAAACCCTCTCTCCTTGCTGTCTTATATCACTGTGGGCACCCACTCCAAAAATGACATGCGATCCCATCAGGGACACAGGTGCAGTAGGCGGCAGGGGACAGATACCCTGTGCACATGTGAAAAATGAAGGAGGACAAGAGGAAGAAAGCCTCGCAGGCAGATATGGAATTCGTCCCGCATGCTCTCAGACATGTGACAGGGGTTTGGGGAGAGACACGAGTTAGGGAGGGGAGTTTCTGAGGAGAGACGGGATTACAGCAGAGAGGAAGAGGCGTGTGTGGTGAAAAATGGGGGCACATTAAAAATGGAAGGGGGAGTAAACTAGAGAAAACAGAGGCAGACAGAGAGCACAGGTCAAGCGAGAAGCAAGACAAGCTCCTCAGGACAGATGCCTCTTGGAAAATCAACTCAACCCTAAAATCCTTTGTCATTTGGCCTCCTAAGGGGTCTCTACGGGCGTGTTTGGTACATCTGCGGTCATTTGCTATGATACATGTGTCAAATGGGAGTAAGTGAGGCTGAATAGAGATCTGTTTAGATATTCTGACAGTGATGGAGGCGACTGGTTGTATGACAGTTAACCTTAAAGGTAAAATAGATTTTTGCCCAGAGTGTCGCCCAACCATGCATATCTTCACGTCTCCATGTATTTTAGTACATGATGAACATTAACTTGCAGAGATTTCTAAATCGTATAGCTGTAATGTCTTCAAAACCGTTCCATGGTGGTATGTTCATGAGCTTATTGGAAAATGGGAATTGGCAACCAACAGTGTTTTGTGTTTTTTTATTATGAGTCTGTCGGCCATCAGACTGTTTGAAAACACAATCCCTATGTCAAAACTTGTTCACATTTGTACAGATACCCATACTGCCTATACACGTGAGTGCAGTTTTATGTATAATCCATTTTGTCAATGGTTCCTTTGTTGTTTTTCTTACATGAATGAAAGTTAGATATTCTGAAAGCTTTCTGCAATGCTTTTAAGCTGCCAACTCGGCTGTCACAGCGACCATCACAACAGAGTTCTTGGAAACCACTCTCCCACTCTCAAGTCCCCACATGAAATGACAAAATACCTTGTGTGTGTTATTGCCCTCTGAAATGACTTAGACCAAGTTGGAAAAACATCACACGGGGGGGGGGGGTTACCTTGGTTGGTGATTGGCTAATGGTTACACAAGCCAAAAAAATCATCATAAAGTGGCCGAAATTTGATCAGCTCATTTTCAGACAGGTTTTTATAGAAATGGATCAGGACAAAAAGAGAGGGGGTCTTTGTTCCTGAAACGTTCAGAATCTCTTTACACAGAGGGGACACATGTTTATGTATAAAAGACATGGAAAAGTGGATTTTGCATATTAGGTGACCTTTAAAGTCTTGACCTCTTTCGTGTGTAAACTTTGATTCTCATGAGATAATTTCAACTGACTTCCCAGCAAGCTTATGTATCTTTAATGTACACAAATGCCGTTTGGTCATTCGCTGATATGACAGATGCTCTCATCTTTCCTAGAGGGTATTCTCAAGCCACAATGCAAAGCAACAATGATGCCAATGATGCCACTTTCTTGGACAGAGCTCCTCTCCAAGAGTTACTGAAAGTCTGCTCTAGAAACTCCTTGTGGGTGCAACCTGAAGCTCCTGCTGAGTGAGAGTGAATATGAGCATATTTCTCCTCTTGTCTGGGTCTACAGTTCAGCACATACTGGAGTGTACTTAGCATTTCGAGGGCTGAATGAGTCAGACACAATTACACACACTCTACTCCTCCTTTAACACTTTTCTGCCACAAACTCCACTAACCACTTCGCAGTTGCATAGAAAAGGTAGAGAAAAGGTACACCTCAGCATCTCTTTTAATGGATCTAGACAGAACAATGCATAATTTACTTGACAGATGGAAACATTACAAAACTGTAAACATACCCATTAGCTTCAGCCAGGTGTGTGCTTACTAATGCATATGGTGAAACATTCTTCATTACTTATCCAGTGTTACTTTATTCTCTTTTTCTTTGCCACCTTTCTCCAACTGTCCTGTTTTTAAGCGTGTTTTACACCTGCAATGTTAGCAATCATCCGTCAAACCTATGCCCTGGGTATCTTTGCTGCAAAAGGTGTAAAGGCATAAAAATGCCCACCCACATTTGGATACATGAAAAATCATTTTCCAAGTAAAAATCACGGGACTTTTTTATCCATGTATTTTTTCTTTTAATGTTTATTTTATTATCTTTTCATTTTAATGACTGATTTTAAATGCCATTTTCTTAATGTCTTTCATTTTTTGTAAAGCACTTTGAATTGCCTTGTGTTGA